AATGTCTTTATACAGCCACACCAAATATACTTACGCCCTGTTTTCAGTGCGCTGTTATGCGCAAACAGTACTCTTATATTTTCTCACATAGCTATCTACGATAATACGCGTTGCGTCGGTCCGATGGTGAAGATAATTTAACAGCATGCTTTTTTTGGAAACAACTGACCTATTTTCTTTACAAAAAAAAAAAATAAAAAAAAAAAAAATTTGACTCTGAAGAGGACTAACGCTAAGGTTGTCGAAACATGTAACGATAATCCCGGGCTCAAACCATTTACTTTAACCTATTTTCTGTATAACCTCTTTAACCTATATTAGATTTTCAGAAGCACATGAGTACAGCAGCCTTGCTTTGACAGTATTTGGACAATTTGGATACAGAATATACCAATAGCAGCTTGTGCATAGTTATATGAGATAGAACGTTCATGCAACTCTTATACAATACGTTTATACTACTGGGATCTACAACTCCAATGATGTTAGGAGGTAATCGAGATATTCAAAAAATATCTGTAAAATCCACTCTCGCCCAACGTGAGGATCAAATGCTCAAGTTTGGTGTCAGATCCCATTTACACCTTTCCAGCTCACAAAAGCAGTCCACCGTTTACGTCTTGTTTTAGCTTCGGGTGATTGTAAAAAATTATAAAATACAATGAAATTTTTTTGTTTGTGTCTATACCTCGAACCTTTTTGTAGTACGCAACAACATTTTTTAATAAGATGGTCGGTATATTTTCAATCTTAACTGACCTAATTTACACAACTTTCCAATGAATAATAACCGACTGCCCTTGTCGCCTTAACATTTCTTGTAAGGTAAACCTTACACTATGGATGGGGTTTTTTTTAGGTTTGCTGCCTTTTTAGGCTATTTGCTTTAATATGATAGCTCACACACAAATTCCATACACAAAAGGATTCCATGAGTTTCATTGTGACGTCAATTTCATAAATTTGCACTAGTTTTATTTGCGCGGTTTTCTCCTTTTTTACTACTTGGAAATGAATGTTTATGCGATTGCATCGAAAAAACTGCAACTCCAATTTATATTTTATTTTAGACCTTAAAAACTCATTTTAATCAAAGATTTCAAAAATATTCTCACATGGGCACCTTAGGATTGGTTGATTTCCTTGATTTTTTAAAATGGTTCTTGAATTTTAGCAGCTAAAACATTCGCAAAAATTGAGGATATTTTTGTATTTAACGACTGTCAAAGAAATATTTTCATTTCTATCGTCACTCCAACAATCCTTTTTTTAATTTCACACAAGATTGAATTTTAATTTAGCACAAGGTCAAATTCCACTTTGTCACAAGATTAAATTTCACTTAAGCCAGCACGTACGAATTTAAACTTGCTTTAAGCATGAATCATATATCTCTGTGACTGCTTGCTTGTTTTTCTGGCAATGTATAACAAACGTTAACTATTATTACGATAAAGAAATACAAAATTACTACAAGTTTTTCTCAACACAAATAACGACGTTTAACATGCATATACTCCTTATGAAATTTGTGTTTGCGATGCTATTCCCTTTTGTAGGTAATATCTCGGTGGTTTTAATTTAGATGATATAAGAACAACTATTAAAAAGCTACGCCACTAACCACATCAGCAAAAACAAAGGATGCCTAAGTAAATGAACGTACAATTTTTTATATAAAACTTATTATAATACAAATATAAATAAATAACTAGCATAAAACTATTTTTTATGAATTTACTTACTATAAAGAACAGCAAAATCATTTCGGTGTTTGCAAAGTATTAACGCGATAAAGTGTTTTATTTTCTAAGAATAATTGAAATTTTTCTTTTTTAGGCAAATGACTGAATCTAAACAGTTAAACTACACCATGTCAACGAACAAACATTTAGATTCATAAAACATGTTACGTTATATACTAATCATAATCAAGTAATTAAAGCCAAACCTCCACGGACTATCGGGGGGACAATCGTCCAATCTTTCATCTAGTTGGGAAAGTTACATTTATTTGTCGGGAAAATATTTGTAAATGAGATAAAATACACTCTGATATACTGCAAGAAAGAAAGCGTAAGGCAATATAATAAAGATACTATCTAAAGATATAATAAAGGTGTTGTATAATTTTAAAAAGTGCATCGGGTAAGGTTTCGTATTCGCACACATTCAATCTGGGTAGCTGGTACAACCATTAAAAAGTCATGAGACAAAGTACTATGAAATATTTGGCTTTTTATCTTTAATTTGCAACAATAAATTAATTTATCTCATATATATTTGTATTCCAAATCATTGTATATGTTAATTAGTCCGTGTTGTAATCTGCGTAAATTGTATTTTATTATAAGCCCAATTCACACGACTTTGAACTAACTGGGTTCAACTTAGAGTCAATTTAATCAAGTTTAGTTTTTGCTTATACTGAACAATAAAAACACAGGGATAATCTACATTCAACTCAACTCATATCAAGAAGGAGATATTCTATCAGACATAGGTTAAAACTGGGTTAGTTTTCACACGCAAAAAAATCTGCTTGGGTTAACTTAAACCGTATAAATTAGGCTCTAGTTTACATCAACGTATAGCCATTTGTATTTACTTGTAGTGAATAATGAAATCATACAGGGCTTGTTGAACAATACTCCTGATTAGAATAAATACAAATGATTATACGTTGATGTAAACTAGAGCCTAATACAAGATTAGAGTACAAGTTAATAAAGGAATTTGATATCAAGGAACTATGACGTACAACCATGATCTTTAGAACTGTAAAACTTTTTTTATTAGCCATCATCAAAGTATGGAAGTGAAAATTGGATTAACTGCTAATTGACTCCGGTATTCAACAAAACTGCAAGCATTGCGTGTTATTAGAATATTGCAGTTTATAACTTATTTAATTCTTTCTTGAACTTTATCTGTCTATATCTGTTGCATAAATTACTTTTACGAGCTTTCAGGATTCATCGGGCAATTCTATGGCCACATACTTTATGTCGAGCAAAATAGCCCGTCAACCCCCAAAGTTTATACCTAAGATTTGGACCTGGTCGATTTGAATGCATATTCTTCAGGAATAAGTTTTCTACCTGTGTAATTGTGCTAAGGAAATAATCGCTATAGAGAGAGTGAAAACCAAAATTTTGGAGTCTATGACTTCTTTCAAATGACGTAACAAAGGAAAGGAAGCTCTAGAATTTAAAGACAAAATTTCTTTCACAGTTTCTTAAAGAGCTATTTTTAACGATTTTCAGCTTACAAAATGTTTTTGTAACAAGAAGACGTGATAGATGTAGCATGAATGCTGATCTGATGGTATTTGTGTCAGGGTTAATCTTGTTAAAATAACTTACAGTTGCTGTTTATGTGACGTTAAACAAATGCGCAGTGAATTTTGTTCGTGATAACAAATTTATTTAACTTTTTAGTTTTTATGACATAAAAATGTGTTTTAAATTACCAGAAATATGCAATAATGGCTATGTGGTAAGTCTTATACAGGCAGAGTAAAAAAGGCAAACAATTAATTCTAACGAAATTTTGAAATCCAAAGTGACTCCACAACAAAAAAAAATTTAACAACAATATAAAATCATTTTTTTTATCAACGCACAAAAAAACTTTCATGTCTATCGTTACTATGTGAAGTTTAAATCATTAATCACGTTAGTTAAAAGATTAAAATCTAATTTCGCACTAGATTGAATTATAATTTCGCACAAGATTAAGTCCTAATTAGGCCTAAGATTTAAATCTTATTTTGCACAAGACTCGATGGATAATTGGATTACAGTTAAAAAAAATAATCCACCACGTACAGATTCAAGTCCTCCTTGGTGCATTAAATCTTATCTCTCTGTGGCTTCTTGCTTGCTATTACATTATTATCTTAAGAATGAAATACAATATGTCACAAATAATTTTTCGCATCTGCTTATGGTATGCGCACAATTTTAATACAAAAAGAAAATTTGAAGTATTATGCACATTGAATATTTTGTGAAAAGCACATACCAATCATTCATCATTCCATTTCTTCTGACGTCAACAATTTCGTCAAAGCATTTTCTTACAAATAGCTACTTATTGTTTGGTTGAATGTCTTTTTGTGCTATTTCTTCGTAAAGATTGACAAAGACAGTTCTAGATCATTATTCAATTGCATGTACTTTGTGCACTTTATTTTGAAAGAGGGGATGGACAGCAAAATTTTAATTTTCATTCTTTCTGTAGCAAGCATGTGCTCGTCAAAATTATACAGGTATGGACATGTATAAAAAAACATCGTATATGAATATATATGGCCGCTGCTAACTTTGCTAAGAAGTAGCCCACTGTAACTACCCCTTTTTAACAGATTTTATGCGAGGATAATTAGCACATTTTATAAACGTATACTAAAAAGGCGACATAACATTATTTTTTGTCTACATTTGAGATCCTTCATTCAAAGCTTACTCCACTTGTTTCCGATGTCTACAATAGAGTTCTTATTTTATGCAATTGTATCTGCTTGCACATATACGCAAATAATTTACAGACCAGAATTTTGCAAGCACAAACCTGCAGAAAAGTGATTAATGCAACGAGTCTCTTAAAAGTATGATTTCATTGTCATTTCTAAACCAAAAATAGTATATTGACGCTTCTTTCATTAATATTTAATACTGCTTTCGTTATATTTCAGCAAAGTAATGCATGTGTATAGGTTTTGATGCCCATCGGTTTGATCATTTGTTTTAAGATGAAGATGTCCTGTTTGGTAAACGTAACATGCACTTCGTGTTCATGTAACTCTTTTTCACATGTTGTTGCATAAATAGTCGCTGTACTATTAATGCCAAGAATTTTATATATTATTTCAAGCAAATTACAAGTAATACGAAGTGGACTTAACGAATTCATGTTTAAGTACCCTCCAAACTAACCAAATCACCTATTTGTTTTTCAGAATTCCTTTAAAAAAAATTCGTTCAAACTTCCCTCGCATGAAGGTTTTTGATGTTGGACATCATGCAAGTGATGCAACATTTTCAAATGGAGAACATAATCTTCCATTAACGAATCTTGAAAATATGGTATACATTGGGGAAATATCCATTGGAACACCAGGACAAAAATTCAATGTTATGTTTGATACAGGTTCATCAGATCTCTGGGTTCCTTCAAAAAAATGCGATCCAGATTTTTGCAGTAAGTAACTCTTCTTGTTGTAATGTGCTTATGTCATAATGTAGTTGTTTTAGGGAGAACAGAGAGGATGGTAGATCTCCACTCCCCAACTGCCTTACGGCGTCTGCAAATCACTGGATTTCTCTTCAACAAATAGAAATAAAACTGTTTATGTATTTCATACAAACGTCATACATTAAGAAAGGCAAGCAGAGCAATACCGTCTTCTCACGTAATGCTGGACAAGCATCTCAAGTTGGTCAAATTTGCCAAAAATAGTGGAATTTAGGTCATTCATGATGATAAATGTACCAATCACCCCCCATCCCCTTAGAAAATGTTGGCCAGTACGCACACGTTTATTGCACACATGTGTTTTCTGTTATTGTTATTTCCAGAACATTTAAAAAAGTACGACAGCAAAAAATCATCTACTTATAAGGAAGATGGAAGAAAGTTTGATATTAAATACGCCATAGGATATACTTGTGGATATCTAAGCACTGACAACGTTGAGGTAAGCTAATTTTTTACAATACGAGGCCATTTATTTGTTTTACAATGATTGAAGAGTTTTCATTGTTGACACAAATCAAGTTATTTCAATAAACGCATCCTTGTTTTTAGTTTAAATTGCAATCGATCATTTTACAGATTAGTAATAAAAATTTTTGTAATCACACCTATACATTCATGTGCAAATATATTTTATTAGATTGAAGTTTAGTAATGTATGATCTCCAACAAAGATCTTTACATCCTGCAGTATAATATCAATCTTGAATGACAGTCGCGTAGAAAAGTGCGGAGCAAGGAGGTTAACCCCACTGCAAAGAACATAGGTAGTGTTCTCACATAAAGGCAAAATCAGGGTAGAAATTAGAAAGAGAGGGGGGCGATATGAAACTAGCTGAATATTTATGCTGCTACCAATCATTAATGTTTTACAAAGTATCACAGAGCTTAACACCAGAACTTAATGTCTACAGGGGTTACAAAGTGTACTTTCACACTTTCATTGTCTCAATAAAAATGTTCTCGCTAAATAAAATAGTAAAATTTCCTGCAAACCAAGAAAGGGTTTCAAGATCTTATGCTTATGTCAGTCGAATATGATATCTACAATGGAAGGGTTATAGACATTGAAAACATGGTTAAGCACTTTGAAAGAATGTTTTTATGCAGTGCGGTGTTTGAAATTAAATGAAGATATGATCTTCGCACTTTATGGACAATTTAAGCAATTGTCACAAGAACCTGAAAAATTCAGGTGACTCAACGGGATTCGAACCCATGATCTCTGCAATGCTCTGACCAACTGAGCTATGAAGTTACACAGTGGTGAGTAGGTCAATTTTGTTGGGCTCATGTTTTCTCGTGAAAGGAATGTCATATGAATGAATGTTTTTATGAAATGCGGTGCTCTGCACCGCACTGCACCGGCACCGCAGAGGTCATGGGTTCGAATCCCGTTGAGTCACCTAAATTTTTCAGGTTCTTGAGACGATTGCTTAAATTGTCCATAAAGTGCGAAGATCATATCTTCATTTAATTTCAAACACAGCATTGCATAAAAACATTCTTTCATATGACATTCCTTTCACGAGAAAACATCAGCCCAACAAAATTGACCTGCTCACCACTGTGTGAATTCATAGCTCAGTTGGTCAGAGCACTGCACCGGCACCGCAGAGGTCATGGGCTCGAATCCCGTTGAGTCATCTAAATTTTTCAGGTTTATGAGGCAATTGCTAAAATTGTCCATAAAGTGCGAAGATCATATCTTCATTTAAGTTAAGCACTTTGTTGACATTTTACCAAGAAGAATTGTATTTGCACGACAATACAACGTGTTGTAGACATCCTCCCAATTTTGATAAAAGTATTACTGTTAGAGGTAATAAATTTACTTAGGTAATCCTCTCTAATTATTTTGAAAGTTGTTCTTATTAAAGTAGGTAAAATTTTCTCGTTGACATATTTTGAAATTAAATGAAAGCTTAGTTTTGCTATGTTCAAGTAAAAATTAAAACTCGTGTTTTACCTGGAACAATAAACTTTCAGAAAAGTGCAAAACCACACTGTACAAACACGAATTGGAAGGAATTTTAATTTATAAATTTTCTAAGAAGAGCATGCCCCTGACCCTTCGAGGCTCACTCCTTCGGCTTTCGAAACTCTGCCCCCTTAAAAGTTCATGTTTGGAAACGCCACTATTCCCAGACAATTATTCTGTTATCATGTACCTGTTAGTATACTAGCAAAGCTAAATGAAAATTTAATCTCTACAAACTAATTAACAATATATTTAGCAGTCGAGTTTCTCTCGGTGTGGGTTAAGTAAACACTTTCTCATGCCTTGTCCATTTAATCTTGTCGCAATTAGTGCTTTACCATCTATTGTCGTCGATATTCGAGCAGATATTCGTGATTTACGAGCCTTAACTTGTTAGTGTCAATGCTGAATCACTAATTGTGTTATGTTTATTTTTTTGTGAAAACAATGGATTTCTAAAGAAATATTGTCCAAGTCATGATGGTGGGTAGGGAAATATCATACTATTAATCGAGTAAAAGTTTAATATAATTTCACTATTGTATTACATGTGCTCGACTGCTCGACTGAGAAAATGGCATGCAGATTAATGCTTATATAGAATTGTTCATGTGATCAGCTCATGTGACGAAAGGAAGATAAATAAAGGTGATTCCTAATTACAACGTTTGACTTAACAGCCTCACTTGAAAATTAGTTTCCTTAGCTACATGGACATGATTTACACTGATAAATAAAAATATAATTATGAATCCTTTACACAAGCAACTACCATGTATAGCTTTCGCAAATGCTTTTAATTTTGGTGAAGATGTCGGATCGGTGAACATATTCGATATATTATCACTTTTCATGACATATTTTACATTAATTAGACTATTTTTTCCCCGATAAATTAACAGCGAATATCAATGTTTGTAGCTCTTATGTTGCACAGATTTTTTTGTCTGATGTTATTCAACCTTCATTGTCACAAAACAAACTAATAGAATTTTAGGAATTATTCCAAAAGTAGAAAGAGAAATTTTTCTTCTAGAATAACAGAACTTAATTAAGGAAATGTATTCCCTCTTACATGTAGGTAAAGCAACAGTAGGTTGTTTTCTACTTTTCCATGAGTTCAACGAACCATTTTTATTTAATTCGAGACTATATCCCGTTATACTTCGTCGTTCCTCTGAGGAACCCCAATCAACATCATAATAGCCCATTTAAGACAATGGCTGCTGACTTTTTTAAAGACAAGCCTTTTCTCTGAAGCACTTTATCAAGTACCGTACAACTTGCTTTGCAGTGTTCAGGTCTAATGCGGTCATAGCAGACAGATGTTAAGACACCACGCTGTAGTATAAATTAGGTCTTGTGGAAATTATTACCTACACTAAACTTCTTGCTATTTCTTTGTATGATTTACAATTTATTGGTGGTTCTTATGAGTTCATTTTAATTAAAACTCCTCTCACATTGTTAAGATCTGAGCTCACAGTTTTGCAGGTTAAACTTAGCTATAGCTTTTTCAATATGTTTTTATTTGATTATCACACTTTGCCGGTAAATTGTACAACTAGAAACCATGATAAGAAGCAGCAGATAGTAAAACCAAAGGTTTTTTTATTCCTACATTGCAATTTTTTTTTCAGTCATTGGAAGAAGAAGGAATAGATTTACCTTTCTTTTCTAAAGAAATGAATAACAATATTGCTTCCAAACCTAAATGTTGTAGGATCAAGAGATCTGGATGGTTTGGGCCTTGCCATACATTGATAAGACGCCCAAGTCTTTCATTTTAAGACAACATTTAAGTTTTCTTTTTTCCTTTGCAAAGCTTTTGTAAATGCCATCCAACCAAACGCCATTAGAATTCTCATTGAAGTATCAGTAATTTTGACATAGACACAATTATCTGACTCTGATCTAACAGTAAATTGTTATGTTGTAACCCATACACAGATATGTTAAGTTTAAGCACAAGATTTTCTTCACTTCTTCCCTTTTTAAAAAAACATTCAGGTTGTTCCACATAAAGATAACAGTAGACGGGAGCAATTGCCGTCGTGACACCCATTTGTTGTACAATTAGTTTATGTTGTACAGATAATTGCAATAATGACGTCATTCTTGCTGTTAAAGATTCGTGCTGTTAAGTTTCTTGCTAATTAATATATCAAAAGAAAATTTTCATAAAATAAGTCCATTTTTTCTTAAAAAAAGAAAAAGGGTTTTTGCTGTGAAGAAGTTAATGTATCTCTAAATTGACAGATGACGCTTAAAACGTGCAGAGATAAATTTAACACGTAATCTTTTTGTCGACAGAGTACAAGATTAGTCAACTTATTTAATACAAACTCCATGACTTTGGATTGAGTTGTTGGGTTAGTGTTCTGGTTTTAAAATATTCTCTTAAGAATTATTGCGTTATTATAATTCGACAATTCACCATGGTGTTGGCACTTATTACTACTTTTAATCCTAAAAATGATCATTTTTACTTTTAAGCACTTAATATTTGCTATCCAATCTTAATTTATAAATTTAAGTTAAACCTAAGGCACCAAATTAATTAAAGCTGGCACAAGGTTAGTAATTTCGTAGAAGTCAGAAAGGTCGACAAAGAAATTATACCTAAAACTACACCAGCCAATGCATTGCATGTGTTTCTAATCATTTAACTTTTCCTGCCTTTGAAATTTTTTAGTTCGATTGGAATTTTTAATTACTTCTTACTTTGGCCAATTAATTAGAAGCTCTTTAAACTACAATTTACACTGACATTTCATTTTTTGCAATAGCATATTGCATTTTCGCACTGGTATTTATAATTCTATAATTTGTAATTTACAATTCTCAGCAAATCAGTCTTATAAGAATTTTTTCTTATAAATTATTGCAATTTTCATAAGTGAGTTTGACTTTTCCAATGTAATATGTCTAGCAAAATTTTGATAGGTTTTTTGCCATCATTGTTGAATGTGACAGCAATCTAATGAAACTATGGCATATTGAAAAATATACGTCCTTCTTCAGAACTCGAAAAATCTGTACCTCCCATGAATTAAGTAAATAACATATATTTATCTTATTTCATACAGATATTTAGCACACTAGACTGTTATAAACATAACAAAATAACATTCAGTTGTCTTATGATATTGCAAAATCTACCTTTTTGTGCAATTCGTAAGGCAGGCAATGTCTTTAGCGAACGTATGTTTTTCTGTTTTATAAGTGTATCATGCTATATTCAATTAATTCAAATCTAATGTGATTGCACAAAAAATAGTTTTATCCATTAATTTTCACACATTCTGTAGAGATTGATTTGATTACTAATGATACAATCAATAGTACTTGAATCTACAATTTCTTTTATTGCATTCGATATGCAGTGTACAAAGATTAGATTTTTGGTCGAATAAGCAGTGATGTAGCAATCCTGCAATTTTTTTGATGCTTTGTAAACTTTCTTGGTATTCATTCACTCACTGTAAAACAATGAATTTCTCAAGAAATTATGCTAATGATTGCTGCATGGCTACGCCACTGCTCATAAGGAAGAAGATATAATTTAACATGCAGAAGTTGTACCTACAGCAAAGAATAACAAACACAAATTTCTTCTTCTGCGAGAAATGAAGAAAAAAATATAACTGATTTAGTTTCTTCATTACTACAGCTTGTTATATTTTCGTATTTGAAAAAATGAAATGTAACATTTTTTTGAAATATAAAAATTAAGTCCAAGCAGAATTTTGTAATGGATTTCTGATGAAAATTCGACTGCGAATGTAATAAATTCAACCAATGTGTAATCATAATATGACCTTTTGTTTCATGTTTAGATTGATGGTTTAGTGATAAAAGATCAAACTTTTGCGGAAGCAACTTGTGATTACGGTGACAGCAGTTTATTTACTTCTGGCAACTATTGTGGTCTTCTTGGAATGGCTTTTGATGATTTAGCCGTGGACAAAGTGACTACAGTATTCACTAATCTGGTCACACAGCATCATATCAAAAATGTATTTTCATTCTATCTAAATAGGTATGTTTTGTTTTTAAGTTTTAGAGAACCATGATTTACATTTGAGATATTTTTGTGTTTTATCTAATCTACTTGTTACCATTTTTTTGAATTTTTATTGATTCTGGCATGTCTTAAAAAGTTAGTTTCCAATTTATAAACTAGTTTTTACGTACAAAAAATATTTTCAGAAATAAACCAAATACAAGCGCATTCAAAGTCGAGGACCTTAGGCAGTGCTGTATAAATTTATCAGATGGGAGGTTTTCTTGACGTTTTTTTCAATAGTGCCCTTTTAAAATTATCCATTTCAAAGGTAGAAGGTGGGCTCCTCCCCCAAGCGCCCCCCCCCCCCTTCTACAGCACTGATCCTAGGAATACACTTTCAACATCAATTTGGAAATTTTACTGGAAATTTTACATTGTCATAAAGCTTTTTGAAAAAAAGGCCATGTTTAAGCCCTGATCAAACCCTGCGCAACTACAAAAAAGGTATTTTGTAAAATAAACTTGAATATTTGTCACATGTACTCCTTGGTTCCAGTCCTCCAGTGTTTTTTCTGCTTTTTTTCCTTAATCTGTATTTTAGCTTTTTCCCAAATCAGTAGTTTGGCAAGACTGTAAATAGGCATTTTATTAAACAACCAGCTTAAAAGTTCTTGATTGATTTTTTAGATCTTTCAGAGATAGTCAACTAATGAAATAAGGTTATATACACTAAGAATCACAGTGATGCTGTAATTTAAACGGCTGCAAATTTTAAACATAAATTTGAACATATTTTCTCATTTTTTGTACTTATCATTTTTACTTTAGATAATATTTTTTTTGTTATGCATTATTTTAGGAAGACTGGGGAAACTCCAGGAAGTGAACTTGTCTTGGGCGGAACTGATCCTATGCATTATACTGGGAATATAACATACGTCCCTTTGACGAAAAAAAGGCATTGGTCCTTTCGAATGAGTTCTATTAAATTTGATGGTGATAGCGAAGATTACTGTGCTGGCGGTTGTGAAGCCATTGCAGATACTGGTACTTCCTTCATCTATGGTCCCCAAAATGAGATCAAAGCATTAAACGAAAAGATGGGTGCAGTATATGATTCTCGTGGCTTTGTAAGATGATTATATACGTTGTATATACTTGTGTTATATGGACAATTGCAAAGCGAGCCGGGTTGATTAATCTACGCATGAAAATCATTCCAACTTTGCTTGTTTCTAAAACACAAGATTTCTCAAAATTGTATCTACCTTGGCATGCACTCAGCTTTTTTTACCCATTCATTAGTTAACTTAGCTATGCTTACTTCAAATTGCCATCATCTTCATGCGAGTCTTTCACTAACAATTATTAATACTATTAATTATTTCTTTCTTTAATTATTTGCCAACTTTTTCAGACGTTACCTCCATTTTTTACAATTCCAGTGAGAAAATTCTTGAAGATTTCAACTGGCAGCTCTATTTTCAATTCCATCTTTGCTAATTATTTTTCAACTTAGCTATTGCCTTTTTCTATTTTCTCCTCTTAAATCTTTGCATGAATTTTAAAACTTTTACATATTTTTTCTGTATCGAGCTTTCATCTGCAGCCTTTAGCATTTCTCTTTATTTTCCTTTCACTGTTCATCCTATCATGACGCAAACTATTGTGCATCCTGTCTTCCTGAAGTGATTTATACCATATAGTTTCTGATTCAATTCTTTATTCTTTGATTTTCTTTGTGCTTTGTTTTTTCTCTCTTGCAATTAGGTGCTATTTAAACTTCTTATCTTAAAAGGTGCTCCCCATATGTTATTTTAAATATTTGCTTACTCCTGTTTCTTAACTGAGGATAGTTTGCACCATTGAACCTTCATTTAATTTTAGTTTAATATTAGTCTTATTTTTATTTTGATTTTTTTCATATATTCTATTCCTTTCAGTCTTAGTGGTAGTTCAATGGCAATTGGTAACAGATATGATTGTTATGACCTCAGCTCTGCAGATTGTCATCTATGGCTAAGAGACCTATCTTCCCTGTTTTTATTTTAAATTTTCTGATCCAGAGAATTATTTATTTGATAACAAAGATTTCTAGACGTTAAAATTTTCTGCTATTACATTTGAAGAGTACTGCTGAGGCCAAGGCCTGCATTTATATAGTTAATCGTCATATCTTGTGCCCGCCTTTAGAACATTTTATAGGTATGGAATGCTTTTTCTCAGAAAGCTATAACATAGAACTACTCTTATTAATCATTTTGGGCAGGAAAACAAAGCCTTGCTACGCCACTGCATGGCCATAAGCTAGTTCGTCTTAAATTTCTCCATTTACAACCAAAAAAGCGCTACAAAAAGCTTTACAAAATGCAAGTTTGTTCAATATTTATTTTTTTATATAGTATGTTATTTCCTGCTCGAAAATTCCCATCTTGAAGCCTATTTCTTTTACTATTGGTGGTAGGAAATTTGACCTCACTCCTGAACAGTTCTTTTCAAAAGTAAGTATAAAAATGGACAAGACGAGAACTATAGAGATATTTCTCCGATTATTTTATATTTACATAACCATTATGTATATAGCCCAGGATATTGATTTTTCATGTAGTCCTGTTGTAATCCTCGCTGATGGACAATATTACACACACAATAAAACTCACTGAATATAGGCTAAAGGGATAACATGATAACTTTTGTGTTCTATGGAAAAGTATTAAATCATTACATGGATGAAAACATGCTCAAAAAGCATTTCTATATTGCTGAAATGATGTTTTTGTATCATGTTTTCCTCTTTATAAAAAAGTCAAACAATTTATTATAAAAAAAACACATCAAAATTAAGAATTTTTGTATCTGCATCATTTTATATTTCAGATTACTGAATTTTATTTGATAGATAAAGAACAACAATTCTTTAAAAGTCCTTCGGTGCTAGTTTATGTCCGTTTTACTAAGGAAATGAAAACGCGCAAATATTTGATCTATTGCAGATATCAGACATTAGTAAATAAGCTACTATGTTCAGGCATAAACTTTAATGTGATTAGCTACTCTACTCACTATTTAGTTTTTTTAAAAAATTGTTGAAAAAGCAACAGATAGTGATTATCAAAAAAAAATGTCTACCATCTCACGTTTTTTGACTGTAGCTAAATTTGATTGTTCACTTCATACGACAATTTCAGAAAAACTAAAGTTGCCGCTTATTTATGATGATAAAATATTTAAAGGTACAATTAATAAACGAAAAATCATTTGAAATATCATTCAAAATAAACATGCAATGAGTTGGAGATGCTCACTTTTTAATAACAACCTCGAGAACAAAAAAAATGCATAATACAACGAATTTATTAACTAGAAATTACATAAGATCTGCATTGTGAAGGAAGATGATAAAAATCTAAATCTTGAACGGCAGCCGTAAATTGTTCACATTTGAAAAATCCTCAATTACACGCTCTATCACAAATAAAACTCTTTTGTAAAAGCAACAGATAAATTTCAAAAGTAGAAAGGAAATTAACTTTCTGCGACTTGGCAAACGCAAACCATTTTAGAAATACTCACATTTTTTGACTAATAGGGAGAAGATTCTTGCATAAGTTTATTCTGGTGTTGCGAGGACTATTGGAATTTGGGAGAGGTATTCCTTGGTCCGTATTATAGCGTGTATGATAAAGAGAAAAGCCAAATTGGATTTGCAAAGGCAAAGGAATCTTAAAAACTTGTATCAATCAACATCTCCATTGATACTTAGATAATTACTATAAAAGAATGAAACTGAAAAAAAAATTGATTGAAACAAAAATTATTAAGAACATTTAATTATTCTTCATTTGCTTTCTTTGCTATTTGAAAATTAATGTAAAAGAAATATTAAACTATCAGTAATTTCCAATTAGCAGTATGTAATATGTCTAAAAAACATAGTATTTTGATGGGTGAGGTCTACGTCTACAGGGATCAACTACTAAATTATTTTATGTTTTAATGCTATTAAATTTATATTTACTCAGTTTTCGGCCCAAGATACTACTAACACAAAAACCCATATTTTCAAGCAACTGTTGCCATGGTTACTCAGTTTATTCTGCCGCAATGGTGAAAAATTGACTCACATTCAAACATATAGCATTAAGAGAAGCATGCATAAAGTAAATGGTTTGAACCCGGGAGTATTATGGGGTGCCATATCCGCAAAAATTACACTAAATGTAATGATTCTTATTTTTAAACATTATATCTGGTAAATTAAATAATATTGACCATCCTATTTTCAATTATTCACTGTATTTTTTATCATTATTCAGCTTTATTTCAATTATGTAGCATATATTTTATCATTATTCAGCTTTATTTCAATTATTTAGCACATATTTCTTATCATTATTCAGCCTTATTTCAATTATTCAGCTCAATACTTATCATTGTCGTTCGTTGGGTTGTTCTTTGTCCTTTATGTTCGTTAGAACTTGTCGTAACGTTGTAATTGGTTTATGTGCGACACGTATGTTGTATGGTCGTAAGATACGCGAGATAGTCTCAGACGTACCTTTAATGTAAGGTATCGTTGCTGTTGTCACTGAGTTGTTCGTTTCGTTGGTTTCGTTGGGTTTGTAAGTGTTGCGTTTGATAAAGTCAGAGTTATAGTTGTTTTTGTCAAAAACACGTTTGAGATAGTTGTTTTCATTGTGTAGTCCGGTGAATGCATATGATTTGTACGTCTTGTTTGTGATTGTGGTGGCTTTGTGTGATGTAGGGTTGTAAGATGATTGGTCTAGTAGTCGGCCAGTATGTGCTGGTTTACGATAAACTGTTGTTCGTAGTTTTTGATTGTCATGTTTCACCAAACAGTCGAGAAAAGGAAGAGTTCCGTTTTCTTCGACATCTTTGGTAAATTGTATGTGGCTGTTCTGTTTGTTGTGAGTGTGAAAGTCATCAATTTTGTCTGCATGTAGTGCTGTGAGTGTGTCATCTACGTAGCGAAACCAAAAAGGTAGTGCATGTTTGTAAGTCGTGAGCGCCCGTTTCTCAATAGATTGTATTACAATTTCAACAACTACCACAGAAACGGGTGAGCCCATTGCTGTTCCATGTAATTGTTTGTAGTGTGTACCTTTGTATTGGAAGTAAGTCGAGGTGAGGCAGAGCTCCAGTAGCTCCATAATGTCTTCTGTCGGTAATGGCAGTACGTCCGTGGTGTTTGTAATGAGGGTTAGGGACCTTGTTAATGACAGACAAACGTACGAACAACTCAAACGAGACCCAACACCATTACTAGTACGCAAACTTAACAGCAAAATCTTCTCTATGAGAAAATCTAACATTATATCTGAACGTATTTACTATCGGGTGAGCCCATTGCTGTTCCATGTAATTGTTTGTAGTGTGTACCTTTGTACTGGAAGTACGTTGAGGTAAGGCAGAGCCCATAATGTCTTCTGTCGGTAATGGCAGTACGTCCGTGGTGAGTGTGAAAGTCATCAATCTCGTCTGCATGTAGTGCTGTGAGTGTGTCATCTACGTAGCGAAACCAAAAAGGTAGTGCATGTTTGTAAGTCGTGAGCGCCCGTTTCTCTATAGATTGCATTAACAAACCACAAACCACAAATACCCATGCGACCAATTGTATCATTCTGTGGTTCGCCTACTTAAGAACTCTCAAAGTACTTGACTGACATACTGCAACCACTTACAAACAAATCAAAACACAAGCTACAATCCAATGCAAGCTATAGAGGAACGGGCGCTCACGACATACAAACATGCACTACCTTTTTGGTTTCGCTACGTAGATGACACACTCACAGCACTACATTGATTGATTGATTAAACTTTATTAAAAAGAGGGTAACACGTGACACAACAAGTGTGAAAAACTTGTGACTACATGCAGACGAGATTGATGACTTTCACACTCACATCAACAAACAGAACAGCCACATACAATTTACCAAAGATGTCGAAGAAAACGGAACTCTTCCTTTATGTGTAAACATGACTATCAAAACTTCAGCAACACAGGGTTATCGCATCACATACAGACCGACTACTAGACCAATCATCTTACAACCCTACATCACACAAAGCCACCACAATCAGAACATTAACAAAACGTGCACAAATCATACGTGATTCACCGGACGCTCTACACAATGAAAACAACTATCTCAAACGTGTTTTTGACGTACTTTTGCTTGATTTTTTCAGCAAAAAGCAGTCGAAAAGCAGCTGAATTCAGCAAGAATGCATGACGTCAGGAGAACTTTAGAAATCGGAAAAAATGCCAAAAACGGTGGGCAAGCAACAGAAGTCCAATTCTCATGCACTAAGAATGTGCCGAGATATGTCTGCTTATAGAAAATGCAAAACGAGCGTCGGAGTCCTGCTTTAAAAGCAATGTAAAGACGAAAGAGAACATCGCCGGTCCCATTTACGAAAACAGCTGATCGAGTAAAGTATTCTTAAATACCTAGTAGTAAATGTCTATCCATAGACATGAATCACTGAAAAGTAATATCATTCTAATGCTTAAGACAATGGAATAGAGACTTTTCACGAATTAATCGAATTGATGGTCAGGCAGACCAATGCCGTTATGTCTTCAGTCAAGCATTATATAGCAATTCAAGGGTAATACGGAATGATAGCAGATGAAGTAAAAAAGAGCCATAAACACGTATATTATATGGGTAGCAATAGAGGAATTAGCTACCAACTTATGTAGAGTTTCTTGGAATGTATCTGAAGGAGAAACCTCATGGTAAAACAATAACAGCTGGACTGAAAGCTATTTTGAAAGATGGACTTTATCTTTGTGGAGCAATCACTGGCGGATTACTAATTACGGGACCTGTAGTGTAAAAAAAAGTTGTGAGCCTAAAAGTGATATCTATTCCTTCGCAAGTTCTGTCTGTTGAAGATGTTTGCGTTTCTCGTGCTCCTTTGCTTTTGCCTTTCTCGGCTTCTGTCTGTAACTCATATTGTAAACGATAAAGAATAATTTTAAAGTTCAAACGGGGTGAGCTCACTTCTTTATGAGTTCTGTGCATTGTGCATTAAAACAGTAGATCGTACAGTTTCCAACAGCATTTATGATCAAACTTTAGAACATTTAGCTAGTCTGCAATGAAAAAGAGTAAAAACTAAGTCTCGAAAGGAAGAGCCTGTAGGATTTAGCCTACTTAGCCTACTGCGTAATCTGCTGCTTGAGCAATGACATATGTACCATCTATCTCAGCCACCAACTATTCTAGAAACATCTGAGATTGTGCAGTCAATCACGTAAAGAAAAACCCTGGTCTATAGAGCATAAATGAATATGTGATCTCTTCTTTGTGAAGGGGAGGGGGGTTGGATTGAATTTTTTCAGACTTAACTATGTCTTCTGGATGTTTTTAAACGGTATATGGTTTGCGCTGCGCACGCATTGCAACAAGGTAAAGATGAGCCTAGCATTAAAACTTTGCATTAAATATCGTCTATACACTGGAGCTTCGGCTTTACGTATTCTTATGTAATTATTTCCAAATAAAAATCATCCTTAAAACTTATTGCGTTGTTTCTAGATTTTTCATAGTCAAAGAGTGAATCCAATATGTTCTTACATATTATTGAAGTAGAACCAGCACATCCAAGAAAACCTTAAGTAACAGGATCGGGATGAATTGGAGTAGTATAGCTTACACGATTGCATATGTGATGAATCTTTAGTTTTTCTCGTGATAATCTTGATCTTTTAACAAATCTTTTATCACGGGTAAAATCTCAGGATTTTCCACGGTACCAGGCAACTGAAAAATAACGCAAACTCGCTTGATTTTCCTGCAGACAGAAAAGGCGCCAGTTTACTACTTTATGATTTCTTATATATTTTGTCCAGGTCTCAAGTCAATGCCTGAAATGAATTTGTTAGGTTGCATTTACGGTCAGCAGTAGAGAACGAACGATGACGGTCAGAAAACACAAAGGGAAAATTAGTACAAGATGATTTCTCGGTCATCTACTAGCCAACCCAAAGGTTAGTTTGAAAGGAAAACATTCAAATCTTGTTTGAAAAAATACTTTCGACTTGAAAATTTTAATGTTGTTGAAAACCTTACGTACATTTGAAAAAAACGCGTGACTTAAAACCCATGCGTGCACGAAAAGAAGAGAATGATGTCAGACTTGGTTAGTAGCACATTGATATTTTGAGAACGAGAGACTGGTTTCTTGTTGGTGCACAACTTATCTCGAATTTTAGAGAAAAAAATAAGCGAGAGCCTTATCGTTTCTTCTAACTACACACAACTTAAGTTCTACAAAATCTTCAATCGAATTTATCATCAAATTTGTTGGGAAAAAAACGACTCTTCGATAAGTGTCAGTATTTATAGCGTTATGCAATTTACAACAGAGGAGAACCTAAAGTTATCTAAGATTCTGTCAGCAAGTGTGGAGTGCTTGTTAAAAGATATACGTACAGCACGCATGCACTATCTGTTTAAAAAGGGGCGGGGGTTTAGCCAATCAAAAGAACGAAGGATTTGCAGTTACCATTAAAATTTGCGCATCGTGGTGCGTCTTAATTTTCTTATGTTGTTTCACACGTACCTTATAAGGCTTCATATTAACAATGTTTTGCAAAGGAGAACGTAATGTTTTTCCAGATCTAGTCTACGTAAGAATAAATATTGGCTTAGTACAGTGAGTAAATTACATCGATATACAAACATATAAAATATCATTCTTTTGTTTTAGTTACATAATATATAGGCTGAATTTCAACAAACTTGAAGTCGAAAGGCTAAATTTATGGGAAAGCTAAATACTATCTTTAATCTAGCAAATGCGTTTTGTATCGTTCAAAGAATCGTTTAAATTCTTATTTGAACATATATATACTTTTAATAACTTATCAATAACTGAAAACCATGCATATTCGATCGAAAAGTAAAATTTATTATATATTTTTTGACATCACAACTAATATTTTGTGCAAAGATTTACATCACTTCAAGAAGTATATTTTACAAGTACATATTCACCTTGGGCAATGCTGGAACAACAATAGCTTTCTTAAATGCAACGACAGGTCCTAGATGCTCACGAACAGAATGTACAACATTCTTGACAATATCACTATGAGAAACTTCAACACCTGAATAATACAAACAAAAAAATATGATCGTAAACTCGCCATTTATAAAGAGACGAGGAATTGATTGAAGGGATAAAAATAAGAACAAATTTTTTCGTGAAATTTTGCCATTTTTAAGAAATGCGTTGACATCCCCAGTAATTCATGCAGAGATCTTGGAATTTGCTGAATAAAATTCTTATCTTAAAGCATTTTTCGTTAATCAATTGTTGATTACATATTTGGACAAATGCAAAATTCTGTAAATGAAGTATGAACCATTAACCACTTTAACTTTACAACAATAAAATTGCGAACAAGACGAACAACTGCCAATAATATTTTAACGACCAACTATATTGTAATATTAGGCAGTAGCGTAGCCAGCCTGCAGATTTACTCCGGCTATGTAAATTTTAAAGGATTACCATTGTTCATTTGTTTGGAAATCAAATGTTCTTACGTTCAGTAAACCCAAAAATATTTGCATAACGGGAGTAAAAAGTCAAGCTGGCAACGCTACTGATGTTAAGGAGTTTGAATAAAGCGTTTTAAGCTTTTGGCATGGTTAACTTTAGAGCAGACATTTTTTTGAGCTGCTTCACGTTTCAACGCTTTAAAAATCAAACAATGGGCAAATGGGCTTTAAAAGTTGAGATGTACATGTTCGAAATCGTAGACAAAATAAGCGATAAAACATCAAAATTTTCATGAGTTGAAACAATAGTTTGCAACTTCTCGCATTATCACACATTATCGATGCGTGTCGACAAATTAACACTAATCTGCGTGTATACTCTTCAAATGACATTTGACAAGACACAAACCAGACATAAAGCAAGTCAATATAACCCACCTTGTTTTGGAACGACAAATGCAAAAGGCACGTGACCTCTAATAGTGTCATCAAGGCCAACAACAGCAGCATCAATTACATCACTATCTTTAAGTATAGCCTGAATTAAAACTTAGTCGTGATTCATGTAAGGCGTACACACACATATTTAACAACAAATCATTCAACTGGGCAGAGCTGAATATATGAATATTTACCCCCAGCCCCTACCCCCAAATTAGCGTTCAGGTTTCGCCCCCTGAAAGAAAGCTTATGTTAATACAATATATTAAATTATTTTGTTTTTGATTTTGAGAGGATGTGAATCTAAGAAGTAACGTTGTGCCTTTACTAACAAAAAGATGAAATGAAACTCTTGGAATGCTTTGCAGACTCAAAGAGACCCTTGATCGGATAAATTGTGTAATGAACGTTCAAAAAATGGGTAGTTCATGAATGACCGGGGATGGAAAGTTTATAAGACGAAAAAAGGAAAAGGTCAAGATTATGTATATTTCATTTCAAAACGCTAAAATTTAGAAATTGTTACGAGGAATTATTTACGTTTAATCACCTCTTCAATAGCCTTTGTAGACAAACGATGACCAGCTACATTTATAACGTCATCACCCCGAGTCATTATTGAAATACATCCATTGGTGTCCATGATACCTTCATCCATAGAATCATAGTAACCCTATAAATATAAAACAATTTTCAAATGGAAGAAAAATAAATTGTACAAGGTCTTGTTGGTTTATTGATCTATAGGTATGCCATTCAAATACAATAATTTTTGCATTTACTGGTCACTTCTTATATTTTTTTCTGGAACTGCAACATGCTCCAAGAGCCAATGTCTTACCGGATACTTTTCAAAATAGCTTTCTACGAATCTTTCATCATTTTTCCACAGTGATGACGCAACACCAGGAGGTAAAGGCAAGCTTGAGATGGCAATAAAAACAAATAAGTTTTGGATTTTAATAAAAAGAAGTAAGTGTTGGTCTAAACTAATGGACTTTTTCAATCGACTTAGTCTCTTTATAGTTCGATTCGGCCATCGTGTGAAGTAAATTTCTGTGCTTTAGATATGCTGGACATTATCGCTTTTTTGATAGAAAATGGACATCATGTAAAGTAAATCATCACTCTTTAAATAAATGATGAGAGACTATATAAAGTACCTAATCATTATCTGGTTAGGATTGGAGATAATGTCACAAGTATATGGTTGTACTTCGATAAAGAAACCATAATACAGCAATTAGGTACGCACAACTTTTACTGTTTGTATAAAATTCTGTGGATTACATATAATATACCTTACTTTCATGTAATACACCTTACCGTATAACAACTTGCCCCATTTCTCCGGTTTTACAAGGAGTAAGATCAGGTTTGACAACATGAACTAAAGCAATTGTAATCGCATTTTTAAAGCCAGGAAAACTAAAACTATCTCTAAAACAGGCTCAAGCATCGAGCAAACTTTCGACTTTTAGGTTGAAGTAAAAAATATAAATGGCTAGAAAGTTTCGCGCTTACTTAACGTCGTGAACATCACAGGGTTTAAAGCATACCGTCAAAACCAGGAACAGGTCTTCCAGTAGTTTTCAAATGTTCCGGTGCTATACCACCAAGACCAGTTGTGTGGGCTGTTATTGGCCAGCCAGTTTCTAAACAAAACAAAGACAAAATACATTAATGAAACATATGTTAATGAAAAATTGCTCGCTACATGCATAGAACATACAAGGAACATGCAAAACCATTGACATAAACATGAAAGAATTCTCAAAACTATCAGAAACATACGACAGACACTAACATTAGCACACAAGGGGAATGCCCATTGCGGTTAGAGCAAGTTAATTTTTGTGAATTCTGATTATCAATTTCGCCAATCAAGCTATGACGACACTATATATAATTTTTCTTAACGTGAATGTAACAAACAGATCATGTCATCATCAAAATAAAAATAACTAAAAAAATAAGTGAAAGTGAAACATATGACCTACAAGCATAGCACTTGTGGACCAAGCAAATCAAAATGAGAAAATTAAAGAACCATTGAACAATGTGTTTGACTCGCAGAGAAATTTCAATGCTTCACAATGCGTCGAAAAATCCAACCACAGGTGGCCACTAAAGGAGACACAGCTGTAATTCCAACAGAAATAAATTTGGCTCAAACCTCAAACGAACCTGTTTGCCACCAATGATCATAAACTGGACATTGTAATGTATCGCTGGCCCATTCAAGAGTGTCACTGTCACAATGCTCGCCAGCAACAAACAGGTTACGAAAGCTAAGACAAATAAATAAAATTAATATGAAAAGGCGAATGATGTTTAAGAAATAGAAAATATTTTCCGAATTTCTATAGAGTTTTATAAAATAACCTGTTAAAATCACGGCACTGATTGGTCGAATGGTCAAAAAAATGGTGTTGATAGAACTCAATAATCCACGAGACTACAGTCTCGCGAGAATCTTGCAGGCTGCGTAGTTTGTGCAGGAAATTATAATGGCAAAAATATAAACATGCCATTAAAATATAAATATTTCTTCAAAATATTGTTTTCAAAGGCTATTTTATATACGAAATGAAAAAATATTTACTCGTTTCTATTGAATTATGTAAACACATGTGAAAGTTTGGGAAAAACTCGAAATTGCTTGAAAACAATCGTGCTTGCCATGCAATTTCTCGTTTCTCCCAAACTTTCCCGCGTTTTTATATGAGCTCTACAGAAACTCGGAAAATGTTTTCTATTTCTTAAATCACAAATTATTAAATAAATCATCAGATGAGTGGAATCACATCACAATCGTAGAGCAGCTTTAAAATAACTTCTGTATATAGCTAACAAAGTACATATAGCATATAATATATTTGTCAAATAGTAGAGCTCAGGGGCGGATCTAGGATTTTTCAAACATCAGTCATAAAACGTCGGAGGCGCTCCGCACTTGGGGGGGTCTGAGGCTATCTCTCCTGAGAAATTTTGAATTTCAGAGCCTTAAAAATGCCATTTTCAGCGTTTTAGAGCATTACAAAATGTATTTTGTGGGCATCGTTTTGCGTAAAAACAACACATTTTGGTTACGTTTTTTTCAAAAAAAAAATGAAGTGAACAATACTTGAATGTTTTGCCAAATATTTAGGCTCATTATCATGCCAAATATATGGCTCATTGGCATGTCTAGGAACGTAAAAGTTATTTTACAATTATGCTATATTGAAAAACAGATATAGCCTTTAAAAATTTCTACCAAGTTGTCAGGCATAGACCCCCCTAGAGACCCCCATTCAAACCCCTATGTAATGAGTTAAGTTAGAAATTTGGTACTACAAGTGACAGTTCATAGATATAGAAAAGCTCAGACTTCAAACCATGCAAGTTTATTGTAACCCTTTACCCATCTCCACATCAGTATTAGCAAATTCACCTTTTGAGAAAAAACTCAAAATTTTTTTCTGCCAAAGATTAAGCAAAAATTATCAGAGTGAAAATTTGCTGTTAAGGACAGCTTAATGCCATAAATGTTTATTAGGCATTTCACTTGACTATTATCTTCTTCAAGGTGTGCTATATAGCAATCACTAGTAGCATTGTATTATCAAATACAAACAGAATGTAACCAACATGTCTTTAATTATATAATTACATGAATGTTAAAATTGGTTCATGTGTCATGCTTACTGGTTATGATAAATATCTTTTCATATGATCAAAGCTCGTTTAAATGTAAATCTGAAATAATTTAGTTTAGAAATTATAATGATCATCAGAAAAATTACCTAGTGATCATGAAAAATACTTTACTGTTTTGCCAAATTTCAAGGTTTATCTGCATACATAGGAAGACATTTTTACTTTATATAAAATGCTTTTTATACATCAATAGCCCTTTGAAATTTATGGCAAACAATCTGGTATGAGCCGTAGATTAACACACCTTTACATCTCTACATGAGGTGTTCAGTTAGAAAAGGGGACAATATGTGACATGGGACAACATTTCATGTATGTGAAATACTAAGGTTTAATACCATTCCAGTCAAATTGTCAAAATAAAAAGCTTCATGGATCAGAAGACTCAAAATCACAGGTTATAGTAAACAGCTTCTCATGTAATCAATGTTAGTTTTCTCAAATCTTAAACAATATGTAGTATAACTGTCCAATGATTGAATGATCAATGATCATAAACTGAAAAGCCCCAAACATTTGTTTATGATAAAGTAAATAAAAGTATGGCGCCTTGTGGCTACAGATTTTTTGTCCATTGAAATATATTTGCAGGAATGTAGGATTTCGCTGCCATATAACGGTCACGATTCCCAAGCACTAATGAAATCATAGCTAAAAGTCCTTCGGCAACAACAATTTTAGAAGCAACAATCTGCTTACCATACGCCATATTAACATAAATCGCATCACACACTCGCATAAATTGACTTTGATATATTACATTCATGCATACACTTCAGTTGTCCTTTACTTACGATTTTGGATGTAAATTTCTGCTGATAAAACTCAAAACAATGTTGGCTTGCTTTTGAACATCAATGACTGAAATGTCGCTCGCGAGATCGTCTTTGCCAAGCATTTACAATTCATCCATAAACTTTTCGCCCTCTTGAAAAAATTCCCAGTTTGGAAAGCAGCATTCATGTCAATATATGAATTGGTAAAAGATTTCCATAAATTCCATCTGATTGTAGTTTAGTTTCTATCATGCTTTAGAAAATTATTATGAAACGATCAAACATTCAATTCAGACAGTGAGCTTGACTATGTTAGTTCAGTTGGCTATCAGTCGAAATAGGTCAAACCAATCACAGTAAGACAAAAATGTAAACGAACCAATTACACGTTAGCAAGTGGACTCCCTTATAGGTCCGGCCACCCCGCTTATCGGTCGAGATTATTCCAGATCGTCCACTGATCTGGCTATTGACCAATGAAATAAGCGTTTTTGGCGTTCATAGACTCCCTTATCCGTCGAACCAGTCAAGCCACCCCGCTTATCAGTCGGTTATTCCAGGTCAATTAAAATTCAACTGATCTGGTTACCAAGGAGATATTCATTGGATTAGTCATTAGTTTTCAATAATAAATAAAGCTGGATTTTTATCACGAAGTAAATGCGATAATAAAGTAAGAATAATTAATGAATTTTTAACTAATATGAATAGGTAATTTTTGAGTTTCAAACATCAGTCGCGCGACGGATTTGACATACTCTAGATCCGCCCCTGGTAGAGCTGTGTCGCATATCTTTCAATGGGTTGACTAACAATACGAGGTGAATTGCATTTATCCGAAGGAAATTTTACTATTTGTTCAACTCATTTGAAGGTTTGCCACTCTATCACAATATTGCAAAGTTTCCATGATAATATTATACATGAAAAAATTTCTCAATTCTGATTGGTTAAGAGCAGAGCAATTTATGGTAAACACTCGTGCAAAAATGTGAAACACAGTGCAAAAAGAAAAGAAATACAGTGCAATTTGTTTTTGAAAACTGTGCTCCTGATTGGTTAGTCAGACAAAGAAATGATCTAAAAGCCAGTCATAATATAACATTTAGAAGTCGGGAAAGTTAAATTATTGTAAACAGAGCAATTACAATGGCGGTAGTTTACATTTTACCGTTTACAAAGTGTTCCTGGATGAAAATACGAACACCACTAAAAGTAGATACCTTGTTCTAGCAGTGTGTGAGGAAGCTATGGTGTTGTGAAAAGTAATATTTGACGGAATTAAAATATACGAGCCGCCGAGCCGGTCGATATTAATAACTTGCCGGCAGAATTCAGGAATTTTTTCATGTATACTATTAATAAGTAATAGCATAGCTTCTCGTGAAATTTGGGAAAAACATGCACGAGTGAGTTTTTCAAAGACTAGAAAAATTGCACGAGTCCGAAGGACGTTTTTCCCAAAATGCACTTAAAACCATGCTATTACCTATACAAACTTTGAACAAAAAAAAAGCAATGGTGGCGTAAAGTCAACCACCACTATGTATGTCCACTATATGTTGTCAAGGTTTTGAACATATTCTTTTTCATAAAAGAACTTATTACTTTCAGGATTTATTATCGGTAACGAAATAACGTTTTATACTTAATTTTGCAAGCACGTGCGCACACTTCTACGACATACGTAGCTATAATATAAGACGTAAACGATTTTGCTTTGGAAATCCTTAAAACTACAAGCAACATGCAATAAAAAGGTTAAAAGCAAACTTAAAATAAAAACGAACTGTGTACGATTACTTACTGCGATAAGTTGTACTTTTTTATGATTTCACCATTTGGATCCTGCAATGTGATGAAAAATCTTTGTAAGAAATGCTCTGCATTGCTTATCTACATCTCACAATGAAATTGCACCATTTAATGGTGTAGAAAACAGTATTGGAATATTTTTCAAACAACAGGTCGTTAGTAAGTGTTTAATTAAGTGTTGATATATAAGTATTTATACCAGGGGCTGTAGAAGCATTCGAAAACGGATGGTGTCCAAATGTTTTGATCATGTTTACGAATAACAATACTTTTTGTCGATTTTAACAGCAATTTTTCATAGTCTTTTTTATACCATACGTAAAATCCATCTTAAATAGTACAACGGATAGGAATGTCATGGATTAAATCAAATAGCTTTTTTTACATTCAATAAATAATCAAACATATTTTCCTAAATGTTTCTGTCGCTGTTCATTACAAACAAATGCCTTGCAAATGGCATCAATGTCTAATGCCTAAAGCATATCTTTTTGAGCATGGTAAACAGCCAAGGCATTTAATCTTGGGTCAGTCATGGTACTCCTAAGCCACGTTTTTATGAGACGAAACTTACTGAAGTTCCGTTCAGCTTCACTTGATGTGGGAAAGCAAACTAACAACAACTTGCAAAGTTCCTCTACCTTTGCATGGGAACAAGCCATGCTGGATAAATTACTTTATGTACAATGATATTTATTATAGAGAACTAGATTACCGAAGGACCCAGCAGTAAAACACCAATTAGTTCTTTGAAAAATTTGCAAATTTTACGTGTGGCCTGCTTATATAGGACACCCGCTGTCTGAAAACTGCGTGTGTCCGCACGCTACTACTGTCAAACTACTGTGGAAAAAAATAAAATAATGCGTGTCATTCAAAAAAAAACATTCTAACGTTATTCAATAACAGCATCAAGAATAGAAACCTTCAATTACAAACCTCAGCTCTAATCATTCGAATGGCTGTCGGTGCTGTAAATAAACCACAAACGTTGTGTTGTTCTATCACACGAAAAAAAGCACCAGCATCAGGAGTACCAACAGGTTTGCCCTTAAAAAGATTGGAAAAAATTCTACTATATAAAGAGGTGCATACTATATCATACAGCCATGAATAATTCAAATTTAAATATTGCATGCTGTATGGCGACCTCAGAGCTGAAGTTGTAACTAGGGATCCAAGGATAGTGTAAAAATTCAAACAAACACTGCACATGTAATTTGAATGTATCTTAAACTAGTTTTATGAATTTATTTAATTACTTCATACTCCTTTTGATAATTTGTTTGTAAAAAGAGGTGAGCATCCATTGACTTCATGATGAACAAAAACATGAAAAAAAACTGCACAGTTTCAAACAGCTTCTGCCAAATTGACTTATCATTTCAGCCAACATAAATGTTTATTACATTTTTCATAAGCTGTAATGAACGTGTCACAATCAGGATGCTTAATAAAAGTTGGGGAAAGAGATCATACTTGTATATGTATTACGCACGGATGATATGCCGTATTAAATTCCCTTGAAATTTATTCTTTTCTGCTGATTATGTCTTGCATATATGACTATGAGCTCTAACTATCTCTCAATCTTCCTACGGTCCTGCTCAAACTGCTCTGGGTTCTTGAAAAGTGATTCTAACTATCGATAAGCACATTATTTTTATCAAATGCGAGATCAATCAAAAATAAAGAAAGGTTCGCTAACCTCAAAAAGTATTGAAGTACTTCTCGCCAACAAGGGAGCATAGACAATGTAGGAATGTCCCACAACCCATCCAAGATCAGATGCTGCCCACCATACCTTAAAAGGATTCAAAGCTACATTTAAACGAAGGGCATGGGCAGAGAATCAACAGTAAACCACGCAACTAGCAAAAAACTTTAAAGAACACGTTCATTATACCTATTAAGTAACGTTCTACTAAAAACAATAAAATAAAGAAGTGATATGGCTTTGTGATTATTACTCAAGACAATTAAAGTACACAATGTTCCAACCTCGTGATGAAGTAGTTGAGCTATATACAAGAGTTGACTCATTAAAATGTACGAAAACATTACCTTTCTCATGCGTTCCATACATCAAATGACATCTTACCTCGCCTGGTTTTACTCCATAAATATGTTTCATTGACCAGTTCAAAGCAACTGCATGACCGCCAGATGGACGAACAATTCCCTGCCAAAAAAGTTCACTTAAATACTCCCAGTTATCAAATATATATGGCTCCCTATAGCAATCGTTTCATTTTACAAAGAATCGAGGGACCTTAACTAAAGTTTGACATTATTTCGCAAAATGGAGAAAGCTATAAACATCGTTTTCAGGCGCCGCGCAAGTAGTTTCCATTGAAACCATGCAACTGTGGATATGGATTAACACGAATTAAAATATATCAATTCTCCTCCTCCTCTACTTATCGATCTTGCCCAGCCCCTGGTTTTGAAATATATAAAATGCAGGTTCAACTAAATTTATAATTTTCTATAGTACTTTAACGAAAAAGTAATAATATAACCTTCGGGTCGCCCGTGGTTCCTGAAGTATATAATATATAAAGTGGATCAGTGGCGGGCAATGGAACACACTCTGTTCGAGATGCTTTTGCCATAACATCATTCCAATCTTCATCACGACGTGGCATTAATTCAGCCTTCTCCTATGAAACATAAATGACTTTTAATTTTCCATACACGTTACAAGTCAAGTCCACTCTACTTATACGGAAGCACAGCTAGTCTCTTTATCCACATCAACTGTACCATGGGAATTATTTATTTTGTTGAAAAATGATTTGTTTTACTCAGTTGACCAAAAAACAAAGACTTTTGCCAATATTTCATATAATACTTGTGAATGAAATCATATGTAGCTAATTTATAAGCCTGCCTTTATTGCTATATCATTTTAGTGTCCACACAATATGACAGCATCTTTTTGCCATAGGCATATGGAACCGAAACAATTTCTATACATAAGCCCGCCACGTACAGGTATTTGCAATAAGCAGCGAGTTTGTTGGCGAGTTTAATTTCAAAAGAAATCAGCAGGGCAAACTGAATATATGGAGCGTTCTAGTTTCATCCCTGCCTCAGTGTAGTCTAACTATTAATCCTACAGTTTTGAATTTAATCTTTTTTCAATTTTAGAATAGTGATAACTAAATGACATGTTACGTTAACCAGCGCACGCGCACTACATTCCCTAGTAATTTAACGCATTAACATATAAATACAAACCATGTCCCTTTGATAAACCACACATTTCTGTGGTTTGTGCTTTGAAAACTTAATGGCATCATCAACTAATGGCTTGTAAGGTAGGACACCTTTTGAGTCGATTCCACAAGATGCAGTCACCACAACTTTTGCCTGCAGTATAGAAATAAACATTAAAGTTGAAAAAGTAATGTCAAAAAATAATACAAACAATGATCCAAGGAAAATGAAAAGTTCAGAATAAAAACACTGTCTTTTGACGAGCAGAGCTTAGCCTACCCGACCTTTTACTCACGTTATGCAAATATTTTTCTATTCACTTACAGTGAGAAAAATAGATTTCTAAAGAAATGAATTTGATTCAAGCATCATGAGGTGAACATCCATTGACTTCATGGCAAACAAAAACATTTTTAATAGAACCTTTCACAAACTATACAGGGTGTATGAAAAAATTGAGACTCTTGGAAAAGTTCTCTAAAACCAATGTGCTCGGTTATTTGACGTTCTTGGTAAAGCTGGTAACGAAACTTTTTACGCGTGGTGGACCGCATGCTCATTACGGAAAAGTAGCTAATTGACAGGCAAAAATGTTTCTGAGCAAATTCAATCGCTCTATTTTACCGGAAGTGACGCTTGCCATCTAATAATCCTCTTCTTTCTAAACAGTCTCTCAGAAAATCACAATTTTAAATTTCCACATACCTCAGCATGTTCAATTCTTCGTCCAAGTTCTTCTGAAGCAAAGCCACCAAAAACAACTGAATGTATAACACCAAGTCGGCTACACGCCAACATTGCAACAACAGCCTGTACAATAAATTTAAGATTGGTTACAGTGCTTATAAAACAAAAGTTTCGAACTTACAGTACACTTTCTGAAAAATTTTTTTCATATTTCGTTTCATTCTTATATCTTGTGTTCGCGTAATTTTACATAACCAGTGACATCTCATTACACAACTAAAACTTAAAATATCAGGTTTACTTGCTAATATAATACTTTAAATAAGCAGAGCTCTCTTCGTTGTGCGCTGATAATCGTAGCTATACAAACTTTTTCCCAAGCATTTATTCAGACTTTTGCAAAAAACTAAAGCTATTTCAAATTTTACGGCAACTCATTAAGCAATGTGACGTTACTAATAGTAAAATTTGACGTTACCAAAATTTCAACATTTCAAAAATGAAAATGAAATGAACAAGACATCGACAAACTGTTTTACAATTTTTACGGTAACCTAATGTGGTATTGGAAGCCTAATGCGGCGATTATTGGAGGAGGATGGGTGAAAGAGCTACGGGTCTATTTTGCAATTAAGAACATAAAGAAAGCAATCAACGAAACAAAGAAACCAATAATTTACGCATAAATAATTTATGATAAAAGAAGAAAAACTGTGACACTTCCACTTCAAAAACGTACAACAAAAGAATTAAATGAATATTTCTAGCACATATGCCACAAGAGCAGTCCTTTAGTTAAATTTAAAAGGTCATTACCTGAGGAATCATTGGCATATAGATAACAACACGATCGCCTTTACATAATCCAAAGTTTGACAAAACACCAGCAAAGAGGCTGACCTTGAAAATAATAAGGAATGGAGAGTGAAAAACTGCGCCCATATTTATATTATGGCAAAACTCACCTAAAGTGCCACTTTCAGCAAAAATTTTTAATCGCGATATTGAATTTAGGTGTGATTTTCAACGCATCAGTGAAAAGTTTTTACGTTTATCACATCGTTCCATTTTTATTGCTATTTAAAGTCAGCTCCTTTCAATAGACCTTGTCCGTCATTCGAAAAGTTTGGAACAACTTACTTTTGTGACGTCATGCAAGGGATTTCTCAATACAATATATATATACCAACTACTTTGGATGACGTCTGAATTTGGCTAGACCCAGACTTCATGCCACGACGAACAAGGTCTATTGAAAAGCAGCTTTGATCCTCCATAACAAGAATTGACCAAATTAAAAATTTTTAACCCATACGTTAGATATTACACCTAGTTTTGATATCGCTAATAGAAGTTTTTGCTGATAGGGTCACTTTAAAATAAATACGAAAAACAGAAGAAGCAATTCAAAGTTGCAGCACAAATAACTGTATTTCATTTACCTCATTCAGCAGATCTTGATAAGTAAATTTTTCAATAGTATCAATTAACGGACTGTCATAAATCAAAGCATGTTGATCTCCATGGCCTGCTTCAACATGACGATCAAGAGCATTAAAACAAGTGTTGGTTTCCCCACCAACAAACCTAAAAAATAGAATTCTTTTTCAGCAGACTATTTGATGAAATATAATACGTAGTTAACTCCGTATAGTGTTATATCGTAGACTCAACAATTAAGTTATTGAAATAAGTATATGTTATTTAGCGGCTGAGAGGTCAGGAGGAGTTTCCATCCGAAATTACCTGAACGGTAAATAACATATTATATGGTTTTGGTAAAATTTTAATTAAAACATTTTACTAACCGGCTGCATGGGAAGCCCGTACTAAAAAATATTTTGACAAGGTCTCAGAAAGGTTTCATTAACGTCATTTCCATTACAGTTTTATAATAAAGCAATTCACGTCACAACAAGCTGAAGCACGTAGCTTTTTAGACAAAGTTCACTTCTCCAGTCAGTGAAATTAACTCTCGCTAATTTAGGGAAGTATAATATCGTTATGATACCGACTCTCTATAATACGTAAATACCATCTGAATACATTTTGGTTTCTTCTTGATTAATTTACATGACTTGTATAAAGCAATTTAAAAATTTGAACAGCATATTGCAAAAAAAATTTGCTCTCGAAAAATAACACTTTTCGACCACCGTCAAGATGTCGTAAAAGCCACCCGTTACTTCAGCCAATCAGACTGCCAGAAATAAAAAGAAATATCACAAGGCATGTGTATTGTGTAAATAAAAATTAGTTGTAAGTTGTTCTCAAGTACTATATCATAAGCATGGTCAGATCTTCAACAGAGAGACAGGAGAAACGTCTGGAGTGAAATGGTAGGAAATGTTATCTATATATATTAAATGGTTATTTAATAAAGTGTTAATTAGGTTTGCTGTATTTTTTCAGAAGTCCTAAAATCATGAACGTCTTTGTTTTCAAAATGAACGTTATTCAGTATATTCATGAAGTATTTCAATTCCTGACAGCAAATTTCATACGTCAAAATTTCGTGCTAAACAAAAAATTTCCCAGGAGAATTATCTATCAAAGGGCCTTTTCACATGTGAACTGAGCTGACCGGGCTAAAAATTTGTCGCTAGTTAATTTTAAGTTACGCGAAAAAATTAAAATGTGTTTGAAATTAAAATCACAACGTTTAAAAGCACAAACATGTTATTAAAACAAATAGCAGTGACATTAGGTGGAATTGTTTAACTTATTTGTGAAACGTACATGATTTTTCATATTTTTTAGATAGCCGCCATATTCAATAACCGGGCTGGCCCCCTGATGCATTCACATGAACCTCTCAAGACAAGATCCCGCTTTGTTCTAAAAAGGCAAGGCACCTTTACAGAAAACATATTTATGCGTACTTTGACTTTTAATTCACAAAAAGGCATCATAAATCCATACAATATTTTTAAAAAAGTTATGAAAGATACAAAAATATTTTCTAAACAAAATTTTAGGGAAAAAACTTATATGAAAAACTTGACATTTAGCCAGAAGGACAACTTCAAAAACATGTTTACTGATGGTAAAAATTGGTGCCATTTCATTTTTTTAAAAATCGTTTATAGGAATCAAGTAATTGCATTGAATAAGGTCCTCAGCCTTTTCTGAATCTATGTATCATACACAATAGATATTTACTTTAAGTACCTGAATAGACAAATTTCTACAATTTTAATGTGTATTAAGTAAGATTAATTACCAGTTCAAAATGAACATCTATTTATGTAGCTTCAGGTTTATTCTGCAGAAAATGAGATTCCAGTATGAATGTTCAACATTGTGAAAGGAATAATCTAATCTAATATTACAATGTTGCATTTTAGTATTGAATTTACTCATTCAAAGGTACCATGATTTATGGGCAATTCTTGCCAATTTTCACTCCAATTTTTATGTCCATCAAATTTCAATCAAAACTGATATGTGCAAACCTGTATAGACTTCAATACAGGTAGAAAAATGCAAAAAACAGGTATAATTCAGTGACAAATCTAATCCAAAATTATTCCTAGCAAAATAAAGATTCAATTCTTATGAATATTATTTTCATTCATTGATTTTCCATTGAATGAGCACAAAATGACTTGCATATTGAGTGCAAAAATATGGTAAAATATTTATACACAAAAAAATATTATAGTCATGATGTACGACTTATTTATAGGTCTTTGGAGCTGTTCACATGTGTTGGCTAAGGCGATCAGTTATCAATGAGGCATTGAACAACATTAGAAAATAGTAAGGATCAAATAGTAATCTTCTGATAAATTAATTTGAACATTTCACACAATGAAACTTATGTAAATATATCATTTCAAGGTTACACTTTGAAAAAATCAAATCAAAAACCAATTTCGAGTATGTTGGACATCTTGAATATACAAAAAATACATCAAACTATTTTGGCTTCTTGTATTGATAAAAATTTTTTATAATCTAAAGATGTCCTGCATGCACATTAAGAATTTGTTTGTTAATTTATGTAAATATATGTTACTTGCAAAATAACAAAAACTAATTTGCACATGCACGTGTAAGAAGAATTTACTGAACTTAACATCTATAAAGTATTGTACACAACATTAACAGTAATAGTTACTAGTCCTTTCAAGGTTTAAAAAATACATTAATGCTTCACTGCATACAAATAACTGGGCTCAAGAGGAAAACCACTTGCCTAATTTTAGCAGGTCAATGTAAAATTAACATTCAAAAGTTCATGCAGCCAGACTGCCAGGTGCTTTGCCTTGGACTATATGATATGTAGTACTGTACAATAATTTATATCATGTGATACTTGGTTGGGTCAATCATGATGACATTTCACAGCACACCTGGTACTGGTTTATTGACTTTATAATTTCATGATGTCATCATAATACTTTTAAATAATATAGCGATCGCTCCTCTTACCATTTTGTAAATGGAGATTTCTTATTATGCACAACTTTTTCGTATGGCTTCATCCAATGAATACCCGTCGCTGCTTTATCCCAAAACTCTTCCGGATTTCTGATAGATTTTTCATACTGTTCGTGATACAAAGACCGATAAGCTGTTTTATGAGAACCCTTAAAGTATACCGGTCGCTGATAAGTCTTTCGATCCAACTTGCAATAATTCACCGCTAAATTCCTTGCAAAACACGAACGCAGTGGAATATTTTGACATATCCTAGGCATCGTCCCATTTAATTGATACATTGCAACTTAGTTATTCTTTTTCGTTCTCACATTTCGTACAATGAAAATAAGACAATACACGGCATTCGTATTAACGTCTCTAAGCTATTAGAAGACATCAATGTTCACTTATGATGTGAATTGCTATAGATTTTCCCAGTACCACTTAGATCTATAGAACGACCACTAACCCTTAGCCGGTGAACCATTGCGAGGTTCTTACACTTTTTGCGCATGCTCGCTGCAAAACCTTAAAGAGCTAAATTCTATGATGAAAGCATCATAGGAGTGGACAAGTCAAGTTTTGAAAGTCTTTTTCAAAGATTATTATTTCCATAGTAGAGCTTACATGATTGGCATCACTAGGTGCGTTTTGTATAGTTTGAAGTCACATGTAGATCATCTTCAAAAAAATGATTCCCAGAGGCTTCGTTATGCCTTTTTTAAATGCAGTATCTCGGTGTCTTGATGTGTTCATGCTGCTAAATTAAATTTAATTTCAGTGTGTTCTTCCTTACCAATAGACAAGGCGCAACTTGCCTCAAGCTAGGGAGTCTCTTTTAATGTTAAAAATTCCCAAACTTTTCAGGACTTCTCAATAGTAGCGCAAGAATTCCTGCGTAAAGCTGCGTTCAAAAATTCGATTTAGAGAGATATTGAGAGTCTCCGTTTTGCAGTCTCCCTTAAGTTTGACAATTCACAGCAAGTTGTTGGAAAAGAAAAACAAGCAGTAAAGTAATGAAGAATTTATAGCTACTGTCATTTAATGTCATATATTTTGTATAGATGTCTATATCCGGAGAACGGTAACCAATGCTTAGCACAGCAGCTTCTTGGACATCCTTTTATCTCTCCTAATCCCATGTCGCGCGGTTTAAGCCATAAGACCACTTCAGATAAGCTTGACGCTGAAAAATATCAAAGGAAAAATCAAAATGGCTATGATGTTGGATATGAGTTTCGTGATTTGATGCCTATTTATTTCGGCTTCATTGCGAGAACTTCGAGAGTTCGGAATGAATTTGAGATGTTGCAAATGCTTGGAAAAAGGAGGTTTACTTCAGTTGTCTAGGTTACTTTTTATTACATACAACCTTTAAATAGACGGTAATTTGGTCATGTGAAGGAAATTTTGTACGTGATTTGTAAATGCTTTATAAACGCTTAGGTAAATAATAAATTGGACGGCTGTCTCTATACGATGAAAAGAATTCCTTGGCATCCAAAACGTGTACTGCTTAATCGCAAAATTACTCGAGAAGAGAAGCTATTTCTTAGATTGAATCATGGAAAAATTGTATGGTAAAAAGAAATTTATTACCTAAAATGAATCAAAATTCTATAACTTAAGATTTGAAAGCGACTTCAACTTATAGTTTTAGACGATACAAATTGCTTGGCTTATTAAAGGTTATCCTTGGAAAAACTAATATAAAAAAGTAGATAATCCCTTTTTTTCATAAAGCCCATGGATGGTTTCGTTCATTATGAGAGAGTTATATTGTATAAGGAGGTTGTCTTTCATCAAGAGAGAGTTTTGAGAGAGCTATAACTACATTGTAAAAGGTAACAAGTAAAAAACGTATATAAACATCTGTAGAGTTGGTTTAAATTTTAAGTCGAAAAAGCTGGTGTTTGAACCTTTGCAGTATCCTTGGATGTTCTAGTATCTTTTGTGAGAAGAACTCTTGTAAACAAAAAGATAAAATTCGAAAGCAAAAAATCCCGTTTTTGGTCCATGCCTCCCCATGCCTTCTTAACTATTGGCTTCGACATGATTTTGCGAGTGAGGAGGGCACAAACTAAAAGCCAATTTTGACAGGGGGGAGAGTGTTAAAAATTTCTAAAACAGCAGTCGAAAGCGAAACTGTCCTAAAAATTGCCTCTGCAGTAGGAAAATTTTTCTTGATCACAATATAAATAGTTTCAATTTTTTAACTTCCCCATTAAACCTTAGCGGATTTGTACATTTTTCGTTAGATTGCTTATTGATTTTAATGAAATGTTTTCATGTTATAATAGTCACAGAATTGCAGTATTTTCATAAGGTTTAGACTTAGTTAATGCTTTTTCTGTAATTTTGTGTCTACAAGATTGAGTGAGTCTGTGAGTATATTTGTCCACAATCTAATACAAGCTCTTTGATATAATAAATGTGGTTCATGACAAGCATGACAATATAACTTGTTCTTCCTTGCCCACTTGAATTATTCTAAAAGCAATGTGTTTTTTTATCATTTCCAAGCATTTAAAATCTTTACCACTCAGCTGACAACGCAAAAGCGCTAATGCAACGCAAAGTAGTTTGCACAGCTAATAGTATGCTTTCCCTTTGCAGCAATGAAGTTGTACAAATTTCGTAAGAGTTAGCTTCATTAATGCCATGTGCTTCTTTTTCAATTTCGAATGGTGCATCTCTAAGACCCTATTCTAGGAGGCACGCGCCCACCTCCACCCCCCTTAGCGGCGCCACTGTCATTAACCACATCCACCTCGTTGTAATCATTGAAATTAATATAACTGGAAGTCTGGAACGCTACCTTCAGAATTTGTTGATGAAGCCGAAATTTGCAGGACTTTACTTAAGTCCCGCAAATTTGACTTCATTGGCTTCATTCGTGATTCACTCGCGAGAGTGTAGTGAAGAAAACAAAGCTATTTGACTATTTTATTTGTTTTGGTTGTAGAGTACAAAACGAATTTAAAAGGAAGTTTTTGTTTTGTGGTTTTGAGTAAAAAGTTTGTGTTGGGACTGTAATGAAAGTGTTTTGAAACAAACGCAATTTGATTTTGTGCGAAGAAAGTTGTCGATTGACTGGGAAACAAATGCTATTTACAGGAAAGAACATTGGCGGCGTAAATATCAAGGGGTTTGCAAATTTAAAAGCTAAAATTTCATAGCAAAACTTGTACAACTGTTTCATGTATAGCTATAATTTTGTATATGTTGCATTCATGTCTCTAAACCAAAACAACGAAACGTTTTTCGAAAGGTTTAGGTTGTTAATGTGTTTATTTTTACGGATTGTCTATCGTGTTTTTCTTTACGTTTTTTTCTCAAAGAAATAGACCTTTCTTTTTGCATTTCCAAATGATGAATCATTATCAAATCAAAAAATATTTAACCTTGGTTAATAATGTTATAGAATGATTTACTTTTTTCTAAAATGAATTTTTTTTGAAAGTTTTAATGATGTGTTTTATAATTTTAAAATTTGTTTGGCCGTGTGTTTCTTTTCGTGAAAAGTGTGGAAATAAGCGGCTTCAATATAACAGGGACAGGTAACATTCCAGTTATATTCATTTCATTCGTTGTAATACACCATTGAAGCACATGGACATTCAATCACACGCTTTGCTTGTCAATAGTGCTGTAGAATATTCATTAACACGAAGGAACAATCAAGAGCTCAAGTCCACTATCAATAACATTTATTTTGCCGCATAACAATCGGGGATATTCAAGTAGCATTAACGTGCACTCAATAAAATCAAAGGAAGGAAGACTAAGATAAAGCGAGCATTCAAATAAATATGTACATACTTTGTACGAAAGATGTCGGTCCCGCAAAAAATTAGTTTTTGCCAATAATCAGTCGCAACTGCAGTATAATGCACTTCTCCGTCTAACAAAGTATGTCTAAGTTTGTTTGAATGTCTGCTTTATCTTAATAATCCTTCCTCTGATTTTATTGAATACACGTTTGTGCTACTTGAATATTCCCGGATTGTTATACGCGGCATTAAGAAATGTTATGTTTGTCAACAAGTTCTCATGATTAGTCCTTAATCTTAATGAAGTTCCATATCGCTTTTGATAAGTCAAAACGCGTTATTGAATCTCCATAACGATAAGCAAATAGTGCAGACTTGTATTTTGGTGCACTATCCCACACAAGAATCAGCTTCGTTTTTGATTTTCCGCCTGCTTTCTTTACTGTTTGATTTTTGTACTTGATTGACGAAAAAATAGTACGAAAACGAAGGAACAACATTGGAGGTAAGGGGTTGCGGCTTACCATCTTCGGTTCATTATACAAGACACTACTGCAGCACTGATTGATTGTAAACGATGAGAAAATTTAAAGTATGAAAATATATCATACAATACTTTCAGCACATCAGTCGGATGCGGAAAGTCGGAGACTTCGAGAGTAATTATGATTTTGTAATCAAATTTACCGGCAAATCTTGAACTTTCCAAACACGGTGGAACCGTGAGTTCACAATAAATTTGGCGCAAAATATTTCTATTTACATTTCAGTTTAATGTTTTTTACATAAAGACTTCCGCTTCAAGAGGTCAATGCGGGACAAATGTTACATATTAACATATTTTTCTAGTCCTTATGGTGAGTTCGTCAACAAAATGAAATAAAATTCCTTCAAACCTTTTAAATTAAATAAAAATCTAAAAGGCGGAAATGCAAATTTTCAATTTTCTCGTGTTGCTTGGTCAGCGTATAATGCTGTAAGTTTATAATGCGAAAAGAACAAATTTTTATCAAATTTCTGTGATCTCAACAGGAAGTACGCAGTGTAATGCGATAGATCTTTGGTCCAGAGAGTTTGAAATTATGGCTTTATACCTTGTTGATTGGATTGCTCGTTGTACTTCTTCTTACGATCTCGGACGCTTTCATACTTTAATTATAAGTGTATTCTTCATAGTGACATCATTCCTTGGTTTTGTTTTCTCAGCAGTGCAACTTCGACATATGTGGCCGTTTCGTAATTCAGTGCGACGCAGACTATCTGCTAATTGGAAAATTATAGTTGGGCTGGCAATTTCTGACTTAATAGCATGTGTAGGTAAGGAAATGATTAAAGGATATTTATTTCTATTCAAGTCTTTCTTTAGGGGCATATTTTCTTCCATCGAGTTTCAGTAGGCTTTCATTTAATCGAAGCTTTAATAGAGGAAATGGAGAATTCACAAAGCAAGCACCCAGCATTATGCCTATAAAATAACAGCCAAACAATGAAATAAATAAGAAAGAATAAGATTTTAAAACGTAATGTCTTGAATCATGGAAAACACGCAACATCACAAATATCAATCGTCGAAACATACGAATTTAATTTAAGAAATAAAAGATGTTTACTGTGTTTACACAGGCTTATGCAAACCGACTAGACCTTTGGGAGAACTCGAGAGGAGATCAGTGCAAGCCCGAGACGAAGGTTGAGGGTTGCACCTGCTCGAGAGTGCAAGTCAGAAAACCAAAAAGATTAATTTATATTACACATTCACCTCCATGCAAAGTATTCACACCATTCATTTAGATAATTCAATTTTATTCGTATTATGTTTTACACTGCAGCAAGGATGGTACTGGTGATTATTTCATTGGCGTTTGACAAACCAAGTGAAAAGATATATATAATATTTGCATTTTTTGAGGCAAGTTATCTATTGCAGTCATTCATTATTCTTGAGTTGAAGGAAAAGTTTTTTGATTCAGCAGGTCTATACGTGTTATTTGGTATCTCTAATATGGCAATTTTCTCTTTTGTAGGCTATTTTATTCATAGGAATTGTTTCAAGCGTAATTTGGACTTCTATTTTTGCTGTCGATCAATGTTTGCAGATGTACAAAATTAACGGGTGAGTTTACTCTGAAAGCCACAAGCAGGTTTCTATCAAATAGAGTTGAATTGGTAGCCGAATATCGAAGCTTTGAAAGAAAGTATTTTAATTTACTTGTCCAGAGAGAGTAAAAATACATAAAGCCCGGACGCCAAATGCCATATTGTTTGACAGACTTTTAATTAAGAGAAAGCCGCAGTACGGAAAGTTAAATTTCATTTTTAATTATTCGCAAAAAGTATAACACATCAACAACTAGAGAAACGGTATTCATGTGTAGTTGAATACAAATTTCCAGTACATTTTTGATTGACACTAAATCAGATTCCAAAGTCGGGTAAAGGCTGCATTTTCACGTAACTAATGGCAATCGTAATTTTTATGTTGTTGACGGGTCGACAACGTATTTAAGTACTCAGTTAAATTTTTTCTCTTGTGACGCATTCTCCACCAATGAAAAATGAACTTTCAAAATTAGTAAGTGAAAATGTTAGCCTGAATGTTTCTTAAGATGCATAGCTAATTGGAACACAAAGGCGACAGTATCGAAAAAACTTAGACAACCTAAAATTGTCCAAAAAACTATCATTTCATTAAAAGTTCGCAAAAATGGATCAACGACTACGTATTTTGGCATCGTCTGGTTTAAAGTGTTTATATTACGAATTTTAGCCCCTCAGAGTTTAAAATACATAGACGTTGACAGATTTTTGATATATTGTGAAGAATTGATTGTTTTCTGGAGATTTTTAATTTGTCTAACTTTTTTTGATATAGCTGTCAAGAAACTAAATTCATGTAAAACGATATGTTCCCCACATACAGACTTAATTGTGTTGATTTTCTTTTCTTTAGGCCCATGATATTGTACTATATTTTGGCTTGGTTGCTACCAATTACTTATATTGCTGTTGTTTTTTTTATAAATTGGAAGCATAAGATTGAAAGGTAATTATACTAACATTTTTCAGTGTTCAAACAATTGATTTATTCAGAGTTAAGCCTCAATATGTATGGAGTAAATCCAATTCATGGAAGTAAAGTTAAATGCACGTACATAATGAAAGAACTGATTCTTCACATTGTCTACACTACTTTTTAAATGAAAGTTTTCTTGAAACAAACATATTTTTAATTACTGTGTGCTTCATGGTTGAATGCAAAGCTTTCAGAATTTAGCAAAATATAAAGTTCCGATAGTGCATGAGCCCACGAACCTCTTTAGCAACCGTCATAAAAAAAATGTTTTGAAATTGTCAATCTATATTAGATCATTGTGGTCTCATATCTATCTCTCTAGGTTTTCTTCCTTTCTTAAATCATTAACTCATCTCTAATTCATAATTTAATATATTTAATTAATACTATCAATAAAAAATATATCAAAAAAGTATACTATTAAATATTAACAATTTTGCATACTACAATACTCCTCTTTCATAGAAACTGCAAACTTTTCGTTGCAGGGCTTTTCCGTTTTGCGACGACTGTCTGTATTTGTTGAAACATAACTATGCGAGTGAGAATTGCATCTTCCAAAGTTCTACCTAATGCTGTTTTGAGGATCTCATGATCAATAATTATGTCATTTTTTTATTTTCTCTGGGGATTCTTTTACAGTTTGACATGTTTATTACAGTTTTATAATTGTCACAACAACAACATATGGGCATGGCTTTTAGTCATAAATTGTGACCAGTTTCAGTTTTGTCTCTTTTGCTTTACAAGCTATTAATTGTTAACGATGATGTTGCCATTTTGGCTTAACATCAGCTAATTGTATATTGTTTGTTATACGCCTGTCCATGAAACTTGTTATTTCTCCTACTTGTTTGTGCTTGTTCACAATTCTAAACTCAAAGGTTTTCTTTCGGCTAGAGCTCTTATTTTCCCTGAGGATTCGCGACTGTTTCCTTTTCAATGTTGCCTTGAGGGCAGTTTAATGTTAAATATGACGCTTCGATCCAAATGTTAGAAAATGTGGTTGGTATACTTATCTATCAAAATAGGGGGAGATTATCTGTTTTTTTATTGTTTCTGGACTTCAAGCCGTTTGTTGCAAATATTTTGATCAGTTTTGGAACAATTGCGGCAGCTTTTGTTCATGGCACTACTTCGTGTATCTCTTACGCTACACGATACCGATTGGTCCATGTTGGGAAAATTTTTTTCTGGCAGCAGTGTTTTCGTTTTCGTTTGTGCTAATCGACCTCCATCATGTGCAATATTAATAGCTTTCTGTTGTAGGCTATTTGCTCAGTTCGATTTTGGTTAAAATTTCTTTTAAACTTAGTCTTCGTTTGCTGCTTTTACAATTTTGATTGTTATTATACTTCAAGAGCACTGTAAACATCAATAAGATTCACATAATATTCGGTTTTTTGCTGTTGTTTAAGACTCGTTTCTACCAGATGTTTAATTAAAAATCAGCACGGCTACTACTTCCTGCATGTTTATAAATCAGCTAAATATGCAATATGTTTAAAGTGTATAAGCACGGGCAGATGGTTTTGCATTCCCATCGCCATAAATAACCTGAAGATTATTATGATCAGTTATCAGTTTAAATTATTAACCATTTGCGTAAACATATGAAAATATCCCCAATGAATGCAAAGAGCTTACCTCATACGTGACATACTTAAATGCCAGTCAAAGCACTACTTTCATAAACAATGACGTTTTCATTATACTTACTAGCCATTATATGGTAATGAATACACATAGCAGCATCTATAGGAATTTTCTGTGTTCTTTGTGGTACAACTAGCAAAGTTTTTAGATATAGTGAAATATTAGGTGTTTTGTTCTTTTTTGTAAATCTTCAACAAGTTTGCATGGGATCGAGTTTTGTTCCACTTTACATAAAGACTTGTCCAAAAAATCCAAAGCCTTTAACTACAAAAAAACTTTTCACTGGTTATGTTGCAAACCTTTGCCATAAATCCGTTGTAAACATTTTTCTTGGTTAACATCATGTTCTTCTTTTGTTTTCCATGATCAATATTAGAGAGTTTTAGTTTGGCGTTTGCAAATGGCAAACTGCAAAAGTCACGTGATCATGGCTTTGCGGTATATGTTGCGGTCTGAGGATTGGTTTCAAAGGCAAGAGCCCTTCTTGCGGTAGGCGATGTACAGCAAGCTTTTTAGTTATGAAACAGCCAAGTGACGTTTATTGCTAATAATAACTATATTTTTATGTAAGTATACAACATGAATATGCCTTTTTCATAAACAAACTTATAACAAAACATGATATTTAGCTCAGGACAATGCAATTTGTAAAAAACAAATGCAAAACGCCAAACTAAATTCAGTTTTTTTCGAAACGGCAAAAGTCAACGGCAGGCAGGTGGTCGAGGCTTGCAACTCTTTAGTTTTAGATGCAAGATTCTAACGCATGGTAAATCACGCGTAGTTTTTCCAGTAGAGTTAACTGAAAAAATCTTTGCCGCTACATTTGTTTTATGATTTAAATGTTTGTTTCTGAATAATTCTTAATCAGTGGCACTTTGTGATGTGCCGATATATTTTCTTTTAATTATATTTTTAGTAAGCGTGATAAAGGTTTAATTTTTAAAACAATTTGAACCATTTACTACAAATCAAATGTTATCTACCGTAAATATTGTGTGTCTAATTCTGTTTATGACATCATTTGCTTAGTTCATGTCAACACAAAGACATATACTCATCACTTTTGGGTACACATACGAGTACACAAAGGTGATGAGTCCACAGCAGCTATTTTATACACATGTATCACAAAGTCATAACAGGAGCCCTTAGTTGTTGAACTAACCCTATCTTATTCTAACAAGCAATTTGCTTATGAAGCAAAAGCTGATAAATTATTTTTTCAAGCCCAGCCAAATGAACAAAGTGATGACTTGTTAAATTACAAATAACTAACTTTTTTTCTGGATATTTCTAGCTGCAAGAAACCTATTGGTGTTTGGAAAACTGTATCAATTGTGTTTTCAACTTTTCCTTTTTTTCCTTTTCTTCTGGCTAATCTAACTCTTTTCTTCATCACTTACAAAAAAGGTAAATTCAAATTGCCTCTCTACATCACATAATTTTAGTTTGTCATAAACAAGAATAAAAAAATCATCAAATTAGCTAAATCGTTTGCATGCAGTGGATACAACTTTAAGAAAATTTACATCAATTTATCGACTGGCGAGATTTAAATCTTTAAAAGAGCATAGCAAGTGTTATGATTTCAGAAATATCTTTATTTAGCTCAATATAATGGCTACTGTTTATTTTGCCCAATCATATTCGTTTAAGTATGTGTCTTTATATTCAATTGCTTCTTAATTATCAACAACTATTTTTTCTTCAAAGCAGAATAAACAGAAATTTTGATTTTTAGAATTTTTTTAAACAGAAAATTTTTGTTTCAGACTCAACCTGAATTTTTCTGATAAATGTAAAAACTTACTGTCTTTAGGAAGTTGTCAACTCACTAAATCATGATTTTCAAGGTTTATTTTTAAAAATTTTTAAGTGCACTTTGATTAAAGGATCTGCTTAACTTGTCTGGAGCTATTAGCTACAGCAAAACAGTTATTCGAATCAAATGTGGTAGCTAGATTTTGGAATTGATAAATCCTCAAAATAAAACACCATTTGGAAACATTAGACTGCATGCGAGATACATATACACGATGCATAAAAATACACTCTTGAAAAAGTTCTCTAAAATAAGCAAAAACATTTGGTTATTCAAAGTACTTCAACCTTAACTGATAAAACAGGTAGCTAATGAAATATTTGAAAATGAAAATGCTTTTTAACAGGAAAGTATCTGCTGTTCAAAGTCCTTCGAAACCTGCCTTGTGTACAAAAATTACCCATTGGAAAAACCGTTTAATCCCCCTGAGTCAAAATATGGACTATGTTTTAGCTGCTATCAAAATTTCAAATAATTGACGCTTAAGACTTTGATGTTTTTGCGTTTATGCCTTTGAAACAAAGATTTATTTTATCATTTCAAATTAATAATATGCATTTCGAAAATTGCATAAAGTGCATTTAGCTAATATGAATTTGGCAAGCCAATTCTTATAGACCCAAATCTTGTAATAAAACTTATTATTAAATGCAAAACCCAAAAATCCAAGTTTTAAAGATCTTGCGTTGCCCACCGTTTTCCCCAAATTGCTTTAAATGTAGATAGCCTATACAACGCAGTCCATATTTTGACTAAGGGCGATTAAATTTTTTTTACAATGAATTTTTTTTATGCACAAGGCATGTTTTGAAACTTTTAACAGCAGTTATTTCACTGGTAAAAATTCTTGCATTTTTGAAAATTTCAGTGCCAGCTGTACCAGAGAGCGTCAAAGTACTTAGAGAACTTTTTTTTATGAGTCTATTTTTTTCACACACTGTGTTTACTTAACTTTCAATGAATAATTTTTAAAGTAATACCTTCTATGACTTGAATTTTTTTACGCTATTCCAATCAATTTTATATAGTGAAGCATCTGCTTAGATGTACTGGTATATTTTCCGATGACGAAAGAGAAGCCCTAAAGATTACCCGCAATAAATATGGTTTATATTTTGCTGTATTATTCTTCAGGTACGAATTCTCTACCTGGGCTTAAATTTTTATAGCTCATAGAATAAACTTTCCACATGCAAGAGTTTTGTTCAACAATACATTTATCTAAAAACATCATTGATAATAATTATTTAGAGGACATCAATCAAAAGCTACAATGAAAATTTATTACATAAAAACAAGAAACCAAGTACAAACTAGTTACTATTACTAACCCATTACCCGACAATGACTGGTTTAGCACATTCTATTTTATGAATCATCCACATAGCCACCTTTTTATCTTTGATTAACACAAATTAATCAAAAAGTGACTGAAGCAAAATTGAGAACAAAAATGTGACTAAAAAATATCTCAATACTACCAAACTTTTTATATCAAACAAATTGTTCACAACCATTTGTATGATTTGATTTATGATTGCTTTAGGAAGAAACTACAATGATAAAATTTTAAAGTACTATTTTCCTTTTCAAGCTGGTTGCCTTTTGTCATCTCCCAAATTTGTTTCCTTGCGATTGATGAAAGCAAACGACGGGGTTGGTTTATTGCTACGTGGTATACTGCTGTGAGTGCTATATAAGAACTGCTTCCTTTTTTGTTATAAATAATTCTTCTTACTAGAAATAATTTTTTCTCAGACGAAAATTCTAATCTGAATGAGGACGCTTTTTGCAAAAAGACCACTACATAATTACAATGATTTTATTTCGGTAATCGTGTCCATTTTACTTGGTAGTGTCTCAGTCTATCAATTTCGTTCTGCTGTAAAAAATTAGTTGTTTGGTTTCTTTATAATCGATAGATTAATAAAGGAAAAATATTAATGATGTTTAAAGTTTGTGTAACAGTATGATGGTGCAGCATGCTGACTGTGGAACACACTGAGAATTATTTTTCTCGAATTCTAACTTCATGATCAAGTCAAACACTGTATAAATTATAAATAGATTAACTTCTAACAATTTATACATCAAGTTTTGACACCATCAAAATTGAATGTATCACGGTAGCTATGTCAAGTACATTAAATTGTACTAGCTAAAACTTTTTTTTTTTTAAACAAAACATAGCAAAGTGAAAGAATTGAGAGAATGAGGCTTATTCATGCATCCATATGCATTTTGGTAATTTGTAATAACCTATTACAAATGAAAAGTGTAATGAGAAAATAAAAAACATTTCCCCTGTACTCAAAATTTTTACATATAACTGTTGTCATTTGGAAAAATGTAACTTGTTGAGCTGTTTATTTTGTTTTCAGGGGATCCTCCATTTGCAAGGCTTTTTTAATTTTTTTGTGTATCGTTACTCCTTCAAAGTTGAGTCAACTTTGCAAACATCTCAACCTGGACTACTACGACCACCACCAAATGCAGGGGAAATAATTCAGCGAATGATTTATCAAGAACCTTTAATTCCCAAGGAAAACAAGATTAAAGCCACACAAAATTACAATTCAATCAAAAAGCATTGCGTGTCATCGAAGAAAACTGAGATGCCACCATATCAATCAAGATTGCTGGGTGAATGCAATTGTTCATGCACCAATGACAAAGAAATTTGACAATACACTGTCGCAGTTAATATTAACGATATAATCGGTCTTTCCAATAATGATATGAGTTTTTAAGGGAACAAATGCCCACCTAATCTTTAATAATTGATATTTCATCCTATTCAATAGTTAGTTATAAAAAAACAATTAATTTGGTGTTTTGAGCATTAGTATTTGTTAAATTTAATCATTCACAATTTTAAATACAACAAGTTTGTTTTAATTTATAGTAAATGCTAGTAATGATATGATGGATAATACATTCATTGGCATATATTATTGTCAAATAGACAAAGCCGTCACAAAGGGAGTCGTGTAGGGTGAAAAGCACCTTCCTTCCAAGAAATAACATTTTGAGAAAAACAAAATTTTTTTTGTCATATCTGTTCTTGGTAAAAGTGAAATACTACTTAATTTCTAATTGACCAAAGTTTACAAACGATGGTAAATGTTATACGTAGGCACAACTCATTGGCGAAAAACAAAAGCTTTAAATGATCTTTTTTTCTCAAGAAACATTGCTGTATTTTTGTTGTTGTCAATTCTTATCGTGGTCTTTCTTCGTTTAGTGAAAATCTACTCATTTAGGGGATATCTGCTATGGCTTTGTTTTGAACTGCCAATTCATGAGGTTACGTGAGCCACTCTTTAAAAGCATTTGATCACAATTGACCAGTTGATGTGGTCATTTATTGCGTAGAAACAATACAGCGAAACATTTTTTAAAATCACAGCTCAAATTGAACTCTAAAACTTTTCTAGTTTTTAATATAAAAATGAAATTAATACAGGGTGCTGCCACCTTGTTTATTGAAGGGGAGATTCTCGTTTAACTTGCCATACTTTCTTAAAATCAATTGTTTTCTGCTGCTTAATATGGTGCTTCTTATATTGTTTTTTCTTTTCTGTATTTTGCTTGATGAATGTCAAACTTCGCCAATCAATATCAAGTCATTATATTCGATTAAGAAAATAAAACGACAGAAAAAGTATGAGAATTGGCTCACAGATGAAATCAAAATCATCCACCAAATTTCTTTTGCCATAAAACATGCTTGTTCAACCAACCAGGCAAAGCGTAATGAATTGGCATGACCAAATTATTTTGACGCATGTGATTACCTTAATGGCAGGTAGTCAACTCCCTTTTTTGACAAATAACAATGATGAAATTGCTTACATAATCTATAGTAATCCAATTCTTTATACAACACCAATTTCCATAGCAAAATGGTACCTCTTTATACCTAGTTAACATATTCTATAATTTTACTGAATAAATTTTACAACCATCAACAATGCTGCTACCAACGCAACTACCATCAACGTTACTTCACTTTTTGCCTCTTACTTTACTGAAAGTGCGTGGGAAGATTAATAATTCGGAGGGGGGGAGTAATATTCATATAATTATGACATGCAGTGTTAAAAATATATATACATAAAGAATATCCCCTACCCAATTATCAATGAGTCTACACCCTTTGTAAAAACCTTGCACACTTAATAAAGTCACAGAATAAAAACTATACAGAAGGGCCACTTAAGTGTGCGCCGTGTCCTCGCAGCCGCCATTATTTTAGCAAGATACTTAAGGTTTTCACATGTTTCCAACCACTGCAATTACATGACATCATTTCTTTACAATTAAATCAAAAATATTTCAATGTAAGAAATGACATCGTGTCATTTCAGTGGTTGGGAAAAAGTGAAAAGCCCTAAATATCTTGCTGGAATAATGGCTGCCGAAATGCGCGGCACAACATGCGCGAGGACAAAAACATCAAAGGCTCCGACACGAGTGACCCTTCTGTATATTCCATATTCTGTGACATAGTGTTTTTATTAATCGCCATATTGGGGGAGGGGGAATTACATGTAGTGAAAAGAATTTATATTAATTCGTTGCTCTGTTGAGCATCGGTACTTTGATGTACTCACTCAATATGACCACACTTATACGTCCCATGCTAACATTTTAAAGTCTTGCATGGATGGTCATCTATGTAATATTTTTTACTTATATTTTTTAAACGTTGAATTCATTTTATCTTTTGATTTATGTATTCTTTAAATGCATGTCGACAACCAATTATCTTATTAACATTACAGTAGATTTACTGGCTCAATAGTTACATGTCAATTTGTGAAGCATTAGCCGTTGAAAACAAGACAAATTTTAGGAAAATTCGTGTTTATCTGCAAAAACGTCGGTATGTTGGTTACCATATCAATAGCTAAGCTCAAACAGAGCATAGTGAATATACAGTAGAGCCACTCTATTGGATTTTTTTGTGCCACGCATATTTTATTACGCATGTGATTACCATAGTGGCAGCCAGTCAATTGCTTTTTTTGACCAATAGGAATGATAAAATGGCTAACGGCTACCAGTAATCTAATTAACTATACAGCAGCCAATTGTACCCGAAGTGGACCTACTGTACATCCCTATACTGTGGCTTGAACGATGAGATCCTTAGTATACTATTTTAACAATGAAGGTCTTGCAATTTAGTTTATTACACCGCAAGACTGCGAGTTTTTTCACAGCAGAACATGTTGAAAGAAAAGTAAATATTACTCTATATAATGGATAAATGTATAAGGTGATAAACTTATTTGCAACTCCTTACTTTTTTTTAATTAAGAGATGAACATCGCAACAAATGGAAAACAGAACATTTTTATAACTTTTTATAAAAAACAGCCCAACATAATGATAGAAAATTTCTAGTAATAGCTTTTTTGAAAATAAACGAAATTTAGACAAAAAAAATGTTGCATGAGATTACCAAACGAAATTAGCTAGTAGTTTCAACGTGGGAATTAACACAAAGTATTAGATTATAAAATTTACAAGAAAACAATGGACTGAATGGCCACGATATGTGATAGAAAAAGAACAACAATAAAATGTGCAATTACGAGATATGTAGAGAGATTTTCCCATTAAGTAGCAGACTTTAATTTTTTAGAAGCAATATAATGGATGAAGAGGAACCTACTTAAGACAGTAACCAAAAACAATCCAGAACTTTCTTTTTTTACAAAGTATATTCTATAATTTTGTGAAGGTTATAGAAAAGTAATATGAGCAGGTTTGAGCTTTGAAAACAGCAAACTCCAGGATTTTATAATAAAAAGGAACTTGAACTTCACAATAAACTTCAAATAAAGGATGACATTGTTTTAACCGTCATACATGTATTTACACACGAATCTCATCTCTAATTTAACTAAGGTAGTATCTTGGAAAATACCCTTAGAATGTCTTCATACAATGTAACGGAGGAATCACCAGGAGCAATTTCCAAATCTTGCCACCACTTTATGCTGATCTACCAAGTCTTTTTTAGCCTTTTTTCTCATGTAGAATATAGGACAATCTCGACTATAAAAATCATGAATGATTGATGTATACATTGGAAAAGACTTTACTGGCTCAATTGTAGACATGCATCCATCCTATATTCACACAATATCCACAAGAAGGTCTGGCGAAAGTACCTTTGTCATAAAAACGGCCTTATTCTATACCCCTATAAATTATTACATTTTGATAACAACATAAAAGAAAGCTTATGACTAATTTGGCTTGAAGTGCATGATTGCTGAGATACTTAAAAAATAGATTACATTTTACCGTTGTCTGTTCAGTCATAGAAACACAGCTATGACTTCATTTGTAATAAGAACTAAAAAAGTGGCCGCGAGCTCCAAGGCGAGCTGTAATTCAACATTTGAAAACTCGCTTTTTCTTTTATTTTTGCTCAAATACATCAACTGCTTCAATTATGTATTCTTAAAGTCTTTACTTGCTCATTTAGGTACATATTCAGGTAAATATTCAAATAATTTCGCCGTTCGCTTGTAATTTAAAAATAAGAAATTCCTGTGACGGGAATCCGTGCGTATGACCTCTTATAGACCATAGCTCTCGACAAATGAAATTGCCTGAATTCTTATGGCTATTATATAAAATTTATTCTCGCATAATTTGTCGCAGCTGCATGACTGAAAAATGTTCCAACATGTAAAAACCTCGAACATGTTAACATGTAAAAACCTTACATATGTTAAATAAATTTAAAAAATCAAAAATTACCTCGTACAAAGAACATCGTGATGAAAGCTTCCTTGACATTCCTGACATTGTGTCCAAAGTCGGGAGAATTTCTCCTTCAAATAATTCAAACTGGCAATCTCTTTTTGATAAATCATCGACTCTTGGCTTTTACAGTGTTTGCAAACCGCACCTAAATTAGAATAAAAGAGATTTCCGCCGTTGTGGAAAAAAACAACACTCTTCACTAAAGATAATTCTGTCACTAGCTTGAATTTTTTTACTTACTGTCATCGTCTAGCACAGTTTTACATCCAATGCAAGTGCTGCGTCTTTTTGCCAAAAATGCCAACTTGCCAATACTTGAAGCTATAACTGTCTTCGTTCTAGTGTGTTCTCCCTCTAAATTTGAAATCCACTAAAAATTAAACGTTTCTTTCAAAACCTAACATTACAACCCGACCTGTATTAAGCAATCACCGTACAAGGGATTTGTCTCCTGACTGTTTTAGTTATATTTAACAACATTTCATTTGTATGATGCGCAGTTGTTACCACACTCAACTTTTTCTTACAGTTTCAAAACAATGAAAAATTAAGTTTGACACATAGGACAAGATAACTATGCCCGCTTAATAGAAGTGACCGTTGAATAAAATGGTATTTATGATATGAAACTATTAAAATTTTCTGTACAGTGCCACATGACCACTTAACAATGGCTGACCCCTTACTACGGTGCCGCTTAATACAGGTTTCACTGTACGTCTTCTAATTCAAATAAGGAGCTTTTGAGAAAGCAAAACAAAACTTAAATGGGGCACTTTAACTTTTTCAATTGGTGATGGATCCAATTTTCTTTCTCATCTGTTGATGATTTTAATTTATTCTGCTGTTTTTGTCTTCATTTTCTAACGTGATGATGATTTTAGTTTATTTTGCAGTTATACTTCCACAATGCTAGATTATATATGTATTTTCACCAAGTAGACTTTAGCTTCACTTTGGAAACAATCGCAGTTAATATTTCGCCCATTGCAAGAAGGGACATCTCCTTTTGCAATTCAACTTGCAAAACTTTCAGAATAGAGAATTTTTCTATTGGCAATACTTTTACTCTGGAGACTTTTTCTAGAGGCAATACTTTAACTCTGGAGACTTTCTATTGGCAATACTTTTACTCTAAGAGATTTTCTATTGGCAATACTTTTACTCTAGAGACTTTCTATTTGCAATACTTTTACTCTGGAGACTTTCTAATAGAAATACTTTACTCTGGAGACTTTCTTTTGGAAATACTTTTGCTCTTGAGACTTTCTTTTGGAAATAATTTTACTCTGGAGACTTTCTATTGGCAATACTCTTACCCTGGAGACTTTTTTCTAATGGCAATACTCTTACCCTGGAGTCTATTTCTTAGTCTATTTTCTTGCAAATACAATGAAAGTCCAGCAGTTTGTGTAACCTCATGCAATTTTTCGCTCAACTCAAATGACAATGGTGCTAGGAGACAAGTAACATGACAAAATTTCACCATGTAAGTGTATCTAAATTGAAAAGAAAAATCATAGTTACTCACTGAACAAAATCGATTTTGCTTTATCTTCGTCAAGAATAGGCTCAAATATCCTCAACAGAGGATTGGTCAACTGATTTTCAAGATAATAACTCGTATCGATGGGTATGTTGTTTTCTAGTACGTAAATAGAATCCTGGAAAGCAGAAAAAATGAGAGAGTTGAGAGACTGAATGGATAATTAGGTTTTTTGGAAGTAAAGTATGCTGTATGAAGCCATATAAAACAGGAAATATTAATAAACGAGTCTCACGGTAAAGCTTTGCGCGCTTGTGTTTACTTCTGCTAATGAAATTCCGCTATCTAAAACAGGATTGCATAAACAATCAACTATAATATTGCAAAAAAAATTTGGAATTTAAATAAGATCCAGACTTGACTACATCGCGTTTGGAAGATGAAGACGATTTATATATACTGGATAATATACTATACTGGAAACTATAACGGATAAACAGCTGAGCAACCTGATGATGATTAAAAGGTTTTAGTGCAACCTGCTGCAAACCACCTCGACTCACGTACAAGCATTTGTACATCGATCAACAAACGAGCTCAAGGATTGTTTTCTGGCTAATCAAACATGAATACGTCTTTATTGAATTTAATCATTGCTATTTCTTTTTTATATCTTGGACTACCGCGATTTACCGTCCATTTATCGGACTTAGCAGTCGATGTAGACATATCGCTGCATTGACAACCTAATGTGGCGCCATTTAAGGTGCCCCGAAAATGGCTGCCTTTGCATGGCTAAGCGCGCAAAACATTATCGTGAGAATCATTCTTTAACAGACATCTTCGATAGAAATAATATATTACTGCATAAAATTAGTCGAGAAAAAAATTAAAAGACAGTGTAGATGGCTAATAATGAGTCTTAAACAGATAAATCTATCTTCCTACGATGATAAGGTGTTTTAAAATATTGATTTTATATATCATCCACGTAGATTCCTACCCATATTGGAAATTTGACAAGCACCTTTATCTCGGTAGCAGACTTGCAACGTCAGTGGCAAGATTTTAACTAAAACTCGTCTAATCAAGGAATCAATAGAGTGAAAATACCGTCTTTGAATCAGAGTGGGGTTGGGTTATTTTTAAATTCCCACTCGGAGAGCGTGTGTGAGCTTTTAGAATGCAGGTGCAAAGATGTACTTTTGAACTCCAATTGTGCATGCCTTCTAACGACGGTAAACTATTTTATCCGGACAAGAAATTTTAGATGAAATTTCACAAAAAATCGTATTCCGTGACATTCAAAAATACTTTATTTCACAAATTTTACGTGAAATTTTTGTGAGGCTCTCCAACCTCAGCTTTTTGATAAGCAGCCATTTCTTTAGCTCTAGCAACAATAACGTAAGGGACACGATCACCCAACTTTGGTGGTGATCCCGCAGCATCCCGCAGAGCCCTTAAAGTAGACCGGTCACTGATAAGTCTTTTGATCCAAATTGAAATAATTTGCCGCTAAATTGTAAGTTAAAAAAAGAATTTATTACCTAACATGAATCAAAATTCTTTAACTTAAGATTTGAAAATGAGGTCACCTTATAAATTTAGACGATACAAATTGCTTGGTATGTAAAAACTATTATAAAAAAGAAGATAATCCCTTTTTTCATGAAACCCATGGACGCTTTCGTTCTAGATGAGTGAGTTATATTGTATAAGGAGGCTGTCGTTCATCACGAGAGAGTTATGAGAAAGTTATAATTACATTGTAAAAAGTAACAAGTAAAAAACGTATATAAACATGTTTAGAGTTGGTTTAAATTTTAAGTCAAAAAAGCAGAAGTTTTTTAGAACCTTTACAGTGTCCTTGGATGTTCTAATTTCTTTGGGAGAAGTACTCTTGTAAACAAAAAGATAAAATTCGAAAGCAAAAAATCCTGTTTTTGGTTCATGCCTCCTCATGCCTTCTTAACCAGTGACATCGACATGATTTTGCGAGTGAGGAGGGCACAAGCTAAAAGCCAATTTTGACGGGACGGGGTGTTAAAAATTTCTAAAACAGTAGTCGAAAGCGAAATTGTCCTAAAAATTTCCTCTGAAGTAGAAAAATTTTTCTTAATCACAATATAAATAGTTTCAATTTTTTAACTTCCCAATTAAACCTTAGCGGATTTGTACATTTTTTGTTAGATTGCTTATTGATTTAATGAAATGTTTTCATGTTATAATGGTCACAGATTTGCAGTATTTTCATGAGGTTTAGATTTAGTTAATGCTTTTTTTGTATGTTTGTGTCTACAAGATTGAGTGAGTCTATGAGTATACTTGTCTACGATCTCATACAAGTTCTTTGATATAATAAATGTGGTTCATGACAAGCAAGACAATATAACTTGTTCTTCCTTGCCCACTCGAATTATTCTAAAAGCAATGTGTTTTTTTTTCATTTCCAAGCATTTAAAATCTTTACCACTCGGCCGACAACGCAAAAAGCGTCAATGCAACGCAAAGTAGTTTGCACAGCTAATAGTGTGCTTTTCCTTTTCAGCAATGAAGTTGTGCAAATTTCGTAAGAGTTAGCTTCATCAATGCCATGTGCTTCTTTTTCAATTTCGAGTGATACATCTCTAAGACCTTACTCTAGGAGGCACGTGCCCACCTCCACCCCCTTAGGCCACCCTTAGCGGCGCCACTTGAATCCCGCAAATTTGACTTCATTTGGCTTCATTCGTGATTCACTCGCGAGAGTGTAGTGAAGAAAACAAAGCTATTTGACTATTTTATTTATTTTGGTTGTAGAGTACAAAACGAATTTAAAAGGAAGTTTTTGTTTTGTGGTTTTGTGTAAAAAGTTTGTGATTGGGACTGTGATGAAAGTGTTTTGAAACAAACGCTATTTACAGGAAAGAATATTGGCGGCGTAAATAGTGAATACTTTCATAGAGAAGATTTTATCATATCAAGGGGTTTGCAAATTTAAAAGCTAAAATTTCATAGCAAAACATGTGTAACTTTTTCATGTGTAGCTATAATTTTGTCTTTGTTGTATTTATACCTCTAAACCAAAACAACGAAACGTTTTTCGAAACGGTTTAGATTATTAATGTGTTTACTTTTTACGGAGTGTCTATTGTGTTGCTCTGTACGTTTTTTTGTCAAAGAAATAGACCTTTCTTTTGCATTTCCAAATGATGAATCATTATCAAATTAAAAATATTTAATCTTGGTTAACAATGTTAAAAAATGATTTATTTTTTTCTAAAATGAAGTTGTTTTTGAAACACGCTTTGCTTGTCAATAGCGCTGTAGAATATTCATTATCACGAAGGAACAATCAGGAGCTCAAGTCCACTATCAATAACATTTATTTTGCCGCATAACAATCGGGGGTATTCAAGTAGTATTAACGTGCATTCAATAAAATCAAAGGAAGGAAGACTAAGATAAAGCGAGCATTCAAATAAACATGTACATACTTTGTACGAAAGATGTCGGTCCCGCAAAAAATTAGTTTGTTGCAAATAGTCAGTCGCAACTGCAATATAATGCACTTCTCCGTCTAACAAAGTATGTCTAAGTTTATTTGAATGTCTGCTTTATCTTAATAATCCTTCCATTGATTTTATTAAATACACGTCAGTGATACATGAATACTCCCGGATTGTTATACGTGCCATGAAGAAATGTTATTGATTGTCAACAAGCTTTCATGATTAGTCCTTAATCTTAATGAAGTTCTATATGGCTATGGATAAGTAAAAACGCGTTATTGAATCTCCATGACGATAAGCAAATAGTGCAAACTTGTATTTTGGTGCAATATCCCACACAAGAATCAGCCTCGTTTTTGATTTTCCGCCTGCATTCTTAATTGTTTGATTTTTGTACTTGATTGACGAAAAATAGTACGAAAGCGAAGGAACAACATTGGAGGTAAGGGCTTGCGGCTTACCATCTTCGGTTAAATTATACAAGACACTACTGCAGCACTGATTGATTGTCCACGTAAACGATGAGAAAATGTAAAGTATGCAAATATATCATACAATACTTCCAGCACATCAGTCGGATGCGGAAAGTCGGAGACTTCGAGAGTAATTATGACTTTTTAATCAAATGTTCCGGCTAATCTTGAACTTTTTCTAAACACGGTGGAACCGTGAGTTCACAATAAATTTGGCGCAAAATATTTCTATTAACATTTCAGTTTAATGTTTTTTACATAGAGACTTCCGCTTGAAGAGGTCAATGCGGGACAAATTTTACATATTGACATAGAATTCTAGTCCTCATGGTGAGTTCGTCTACAAAATGAAATAAAATTTCTTCAAACCTTTTAAATTAAATAAAATCTAAAAAGCGGAAATACATTTTCAATTTTCTGGTGTTGCTCGGTCACACTGAACTGATAATAGACTGGATATAGCTTCTACAGGTAGCAAAAGTGAAGCCTAATTATATATGCAAAATTCACTTCCGGTTACCACGGCGAGATACAAATTACTATAGAAATGTATGGCGGATAACGTTTACAAACATGGATTTTCGAATATTTAAGACCTTTCGCGACTCCTTACTTGCCTCATGTATTAGTCATGGATAAAACCGGTTATGGTTTTCACTGCTCGCTTTCCGATTTCTGAGGCAGTTATGATCTAGTATACGTTTCAGTTCTTTAGAAATGAGGTGAGTTACTTTTTTTATCATTCTTTCTTTATGTTGAGAGATTGTTGACGTTTTATTTTTGCTGTAACTTCATTTTTTCATGAGCAAAGTACTACTGATGCTTAAACAAGACAAGTCTATTTAGTTTCTTTCGCACTTTATCTTTAGTTTCCATTTCTGTGGTTGTTTTTCCCAAATGGTATAGTCGCACCTTGCTGTAGCATTTAGATATGGTCTTAATTAATGAGTAAATATGATTTTCGTGAACAGTAGTATCCAACATGTGTGCATCGAGATCCTTGAATGTGGTCCTCAAATCTATACCATTTACTACAGACAAAGCAATAGCATCAGGAATTCCTTTCCCTTGCGGTAAATTTCCATCTGTAGCTGCCAACATTCTCTGAAAGCACCTCTCTGTTTCAATGCATATTACTATTACACTTGCTGTTGGCTTAAACAAATTACCCCTGTCTTTTAAAGTCAGGAAAGCAGACTCATTTTTGTAGTTTCTTGAACCGACTGCTTCATGACAAACAGGAAAGTTTATTTTCTTTTGCACCATCTGGGCAACATAACCAGCCATGTACGATATTGCCGCCTTTTTAAATTCAAATACAGTGGAAAAGCTTGGTGCATCACTATAATCTTCATCCTCATCTCTGTTGTGATTTGTCCCTTGTAAATCATACTTTCGGATGAAGAGCAGCATCATCAATTGTCGTACTTGATTCTTTGTTTGGCATTTTATAGGTGTCCCCAATTACTTCCAATATGTTAGTTTCATCTTGTCTGGTCCAGTTGCCATTGCAACCATGGATACTGCTTCTCATCAAAAGTCTCTTGTATGCAGCCGTAAATTGTTCAGCTGTTGGGTTCAGCTGAGAAGCAGTATTCATGGCTGTTAAGGAATTAGCACAAGACAATGTGAAACTGATATACTGGATACAATTGGACACACTTATAATTATAGACCGTGGACACAGTCATATGTTGCTGTTGATAATTTAAATTAACTTAAGGGACAAACCAAAACCAAGATGATTATAAAGAGGGCCTGCAAATTCATACTTGGCTGGCTACATTACCTTGATGTTTCAAAAGCAGTATACTAAAGTGCCCTAATGTGTGTAGAACGCATTGTTAGATTTTAATGTCAATGAAAATCATACTTCTTTGAATAATTAAGCGCAAAGTGCGACTATACCATTTGGGAAAAACAACCACAGAAATGGAAACTAAAGATAAAGTGCGAAAGAAACTAAATAGACTTGTCTTGTTTAAGCATCAGTAGTACTTTGCTCATGAAAAAATGAAGTTACAGCAAAAATAAAATGTCAACAATCTCTCAACATAAAGAAAGAATGATAAAAAAAGTAACTCACCTCATTTCTAAAGAACTGAAACGTATACTAGATCATAACTGCCTCAGAAATTGGAAAGCGAGCAGTGAACTATCTTGCATTGGCAACGATGGGACAAAATACATTCTCGCATGTACAACTTTTAAATCACCACTAACGTCGATATTTTACAGCTATCGGAATCATTTTGATGTCAAATCGATTCGCATAACCGGTTTTATCCATGACTAATACATGAGGTAAGTAAGGAGTCGCGAAAGGTCTTAAATATTCGAAAATCCATGTTTGTAAATGTTATCCGCCATACATTTCTATAGTAATTTGTATCTCGCCGTGGTAACCGGAAGTGAATTTTGCATATATAATTAGGCTTCACTTTTGCTACCTGTAGAAGCTATATCCAGTCTATTATCAGTTCAGTGCTCGGTCAGCGTATAATGCTGTAAGTTTATAATGCGAAAAGAACAAAATTGTCTCAAATATTTGTGATTACAACAGGAAGTATGCATGCGCCACGCAGTGTAATGCGATAGATCTTTGGTCTAAAGAGTTTGAAACTATGGCTTTATACAATGTTGATTGGATTGCTCGTTGTACTTTTTCTTACCATGTAGGACGCTCTCATAATATAACTATAAGTGTATTCTTCATATTAACATCATTATTTGGTTTTGGTGGCGCAGCAGTGCAACTTCGACATATGTGGCAGTTTCGTAATTCAGTGCGACGGAGACTATCTGCTAATCCAAAAATTATATTTTGGCTGGCAATTTCTGACTTAATAGCATGTGTAGGTAAGGAAATGATTAAAGGATATTTATTTCTATTCAAGTCTTTCTTTAGGGGCATATTTTCTTCGATCGAGTTTCAGTTGGCTTCCATTTAATTGATGCTTGAATAGGGGAATGGAGAGTTCACAAAGCAAGCACCCAGCATTATGCCTATAAAATAACAGCCAAACAATGAAATGAATAAGAAAGGCTATATACTCCCTTATAGTAATTATGATATGTTTTGAGCTTAAGTTCATGTTTTGTTATGTCATGAAGAAACAGCATATAAGATTAAAAAACGTAATGTCCTGAAACATGGAAAACATGCAACATCACGAATACTAATCGCCGAAACATACGAACTTAATTTAAGAAATAAAAGATGTTTACTGTGTTTACACAGGCTTATGCAAACCGACTAGACCTTTGGGAGAACTCGAGAGGAGATCAGTGCAAGCCCGAGACGAAGGTTGAGGGTTGCACCTGCTCGAGAGTGCAAGTCAGAAAACCAAAAAGATTAATTTATATTACACATTCACGTACATGCAAACCTATCACAGCATTGATTTAAATAGTTCAATTTTATTCGTATTATGTTTTACACTGCAGCAAGGATGGTACTGGTGATTGTTTCATTGGCGTTTGACAAACCAAGTGAAATATTATATGCAATATGTGCAACTTTTCAGGCAAGTTGTTTATTGTAGTCATTCTTTATTCTTGAGTTGAAGAAAATATTTTGATTCAGCAGGTCTATACGTATTATGGGATATCTCTAATCTGGCAATTTTATCTTTTGTAGGCTATTTTATTGGTAGGAATTGTTTCAAGCGTAATTTGGACTTCTATCTTTGCTGTCGATCAATGTTTGCAGATGTGCAAAATTAACGGGTGAGTTTACTCTGAAAGCCATAAGCAGGTTTCTATCAAATAGAGTTGCATTGATAGCCGAAAATCAAAGCTTTGAAAAAAAGTGGTTTAATTTACTTGTTCAGAGAGTAAAAATTCATAAAGCCCGTACGCAAAATGTCACATTGTTTGACAGACTTTTAATTAAGAGATAAAGCCACAGATACGGAAAGTTAAATTTCATTTTTGATTCTTCGCAAAAAGTATATCACATGCACAACTAGAGAAACGGCAATCATATGTAGTTGTATAAAAAATTCCAGTACATTTTTGATTGACATCAAATCAGATTACAAAGTCGGGTAAAGGTCGCAATTTCACGTAGCTAATGGCAATCGTAATTTTTGTGTTGTTGACCGGTCCATAACGTATTAAAGTACTCAGTTCAATTTTTTCTCCTGTAACGCACTATCCACCAATGAAAAATGAGCTTTCAAAATTAGTAAATAAAAATGTTAGCCTGAATGTTTCTTAAGATTCATAGCTAATTGGAACACAAAGGCGACAGTATCGAAAAAACTTAAAATTGTTCAAAAACCTATCATTTCATCAAAAGTTTGCAAAAATGGATCAACGACGACGTATTTTGGTATCGTCTGGTTTAAAGCGTTTATATTACGAATTTTAGCCCCCCAGAAATCAAAATACATAGACGTTGACAGATTTTTGAGATATTGTGATAAAATGATTGTTTTCTGGAGATTTTTAATTTTTCTAACTTTTTTTGATATAGCCGTCAAGAAACTAAATTCTTGTAAAACGATATGTTCCCTACATTCAGACTTAATTGTGTAAATTTTATTTTCTTTAGGCCCATGATGTTGTATCATATTTTGACTTGGTTGCCATTATTTATTTATAATATTGTTGGTATTTGTATAAATAGGAAGCATAAGTTTGAAAGGTAAGTATAATAACATTTTTCAGTGTTCAAACGATTGATTTATTCAAAGTGAAGCCTCAAAATGTATGGAGTAAATCCAATTCATGGAACTAAAGTTAAATGCACGTACATAATGAAAGAACTTATTCTTCACATTGTCTACATAATCTTCACTTTTTAAATGAAAGTTTTTTGAAAAACAAACATTTTTTAATTACTGTGTGCTTCATGGTTATGTGCAAAGTTTTCAGAATTTAGCAGAATATAAAGTTCCGATAGTTCATGAGTCCACGAACCTCTCAGGCAATCATCATAAAAAGAATGTTTTGAAATTGTCAATATATAATAGATCATTGTGGTTTCATATCTATCTCTCTATGTTTTCTTTCTTTCTTAAATCACTAACTCATCTCTAATTCATAATTTAAACTATTGAATTAATACTATCAATAAAAAATATATCAAAAAAGTATACTATTAAATACTAACCCATTTTGCATACTACATGATTTAAATGTTTGTTGTTTAATAATTCTTAATCAGTGGTACGTTGTGATGTGCCGATATATTTTTTTAATTCTATTTTTAGTAAGCGTAATAAAGGTTTAATTTTGAAAACAATTTGAACCATTTACTACAAATCAAATGTTATCTACCGTAAATATCGGTTGTCTAATTCTGTTTTTGGCTGCATTTGCTTATTTTTATGTCAACACAAAGACATATACTGATCACTTTTGGGTACAACTACGAGTTTCCAAAAGTGATAAGTCCACAGTAGCTAGTTTATTCACTTGTATCACAAAGTAATAAGGGGTGCCTTAAGTTGCTGAACTAACCCTATCTTCTTCTAACAAGCAGTTTGCTTCTGAAGCAAAAGCTGATAAAGTATTTTTTCAAGCCCAGTCAAATGAACAAAGTGATGACTTGTTAAATTACAAATAACCATACTTTTTTTCTCGATATTTCTAGCTGCAACAAACCTACTGGTGTTTGGAAAACTGTATCAATTGTGATTTCAACTTTTCCTTTTTTTCCTTTTCTTTTGGTTAATATAACTCTTTTCTTCATCACTTACAAAAAAGGTAAATTCAAATTGCCTGTCTACATCACATAATTTTGGTTTGTCATAAACAAGAATAAAAAATCATCAAATTAGATAAATCGTTTGCATGCAGTGGATACAACTTTAAGAAAATTTACATCATTTTGTTGACTGGCGAGATTTAAATCTTTAAAAGAGCATAGCAAGTGTTATGATTTCATAAATATCTTTATTTAGCTCAATATAATGGCTACTGTTTATTTTGCCTAATCATATTCGTTTAAGTATGTGTCTTTATATTCAATTGCTTCTTTATTATCAACAACTATTTTTTCTTCAAAGCAGAATAAACAGAAATTTTGATTTTTAGAATTTTTTTAAACAGAAAATTTTTGTTTCAGACTCAACCTGAATTTTTCTGATAAATGTAAAAACTTACTGTCTTTAGGAAGTTGTCAACTCACTAAATCATGATTTTCAAGGTTTATTTTTAAAAATTATTAAGTGCTCTTTGATTGGAAGATCTGCTTAACTCTTCTGGAGATACTAGCTACAGCAAAACAGTTATTCGAATCAAATGTGGTAGCTAGATGTTGGAATTGATAAATCCTCAAAATAAAACACCATTTGGAAACATTACACTGCATGCGAGATACATATACACGATGCATAAAAGTACACTCTTGAAAAAAGTTCCCTAAAATAAGCAAAAACATTTGGTTATTCAAAGTACTTCAACCTTTACTGATACAACTGGTAGCTAATGAAATATTTGAAAATGAAAATGCTTTTCAACAGTAAAATATCTGCTGTTCAAAGTCCTTCAAAACCTGCCTTGAGCACAAAAATTACTCATTGGAAAAACCGTTTAATCCCCGTGAGTCAAAATATGGACTATGTTTTACCAGCTATCAAAATTTCAAACAATTGACGCTTAAGACTTTGATGTTTTTGCGTTTATACCTTTGAAACAAAGATTTATTTTATCATTTCAAATTAATAATATGCATTTCGAAAATTGCATAAAGTGCATTTAGCTAATCTGAATTTAGCAAGCCAATTCTTACACGCACAAATCTTGAAATAAAACTTATTACTAAATGCAAAAACCCAAAAATCTAAGTTTTAAAGATCTTGCGTTGCCCAACATTTCCCCCAAATTGCTTTAAATGTAGATAGCCTATACAACACAGTCCATATTTTGACTAAGGGCGATTAAATTTTTTTACAATGAATTTTTTTTATGGACAAGGCATGTTTTGAAACTTTTAACAGCAGTTATTTCACTGGTAAAAAATCTTGCATTTTTGAAAATTTCAGTCCCAGCTTTACCAGAGAGCATCAAAGTACTTAGAGAACTTTTTTTCATGAGTCTACTTTTTTTCATATACTGTGTTTACTTAACTTTCTATGAACAATTTTTAAAATAATACGTTCTATGACTTGAATTTTTTTACGCTATTCCAATCAATTTTATATAGTGAAGCATCTGCTTAGATGTACTGGTATATTTTCCTACGACGAAAGAGAAGCCCTAAAGATTACTCGCAATAAATATGGTTTATATTTTGCTGTATTATTCTTCAGGTACGATTTTTCTACCTGGGCTTAAATTTTTATAGCTCATAGAATAAACTTTAGACATGGAAGAGTTTTGTTTAACAATACACTTATCTAAAAACATCATTAATAATAATGATTTAGAGGACACCAATCAAAAGCTACAATGAAGATTTATTACATAAAACAAGAAACTAAGTACAAACTAGTTACTATTACTAACCCATTACCCGACCATGACTGGTTTAGCACATTCTATTTTGTGAATGATCCGTATAGCCACCTTTTTATTTATCAAAAAGTGACTAAAGCAAAATTAAGAACAAAAATGTGACTAAAAAATATCTCAATACTACCGAACTTTTTATATCGCACAAATTGTTTACAACCATTTGTATGATTTGATTTATGATTGCTTTAGGAAGAAAATACAATGATAAAATTTTAAAGTATAATTTTTCTTTTCAAGCTGGTTGCCTTATGTCATCACCCAAATTTGTTTCGTTACAATTAATGAAAGAAAACGACGGGGTTGGTTTATTGCTTCGGGGTATACTGCTGTGAGTGCCATATGAGAACTACTTCCTTTTTTTGTTATAAATAATTTTTCTTACTAGAAATAATTTTTTCTCAAACGAAAATTCTAATCTGAATAAGGACGCTTTTTGTAAAAAGACCACTACATAATTACAATAATTTTTATTTCGGTAATCGTGTCCATTTCACTTGGGAGTGTCTCAGTCTATCAATTTTGTTCTGCTGTAAAAAATTAGTTGTTTGTTTTCTGTGAAATCGATATACTAATAAAGTAAAAATAATACTGATGTTTAAAGTTTGCATAACAGGATGATTGTACAGCATGCTGACTTTGGAAGACCCAGAGAATTATTTTTCTCGAATTCTAACTTCATGATCAAGTCAAACACAGTATAAATTATCAGTAGATTAACTTCGAACAATTTATACATCAAGTTTTGACAGTATCAAGTTTGATTGTATCACGGTAGTTATGTCAAATACATTAAATTGTATTAGCTAAAACTGTCTTGTTTTTTAAACAAAACATAGCAAAGTGAAAGAATTGAGAGAATGAGGGTTATTCATGCATCCATATGCATTTTGTTGATTTGTAATAACCTATTACAAATAAAAAGTCAAATGAGAAAATAAAAAAGATTTCCCCTGTACTCAAAATTTTTTCAAACTACTGTTGTCATTTGGAAAAATGTCACTTGTTGAGTTTTTGAATTTGTTTTTAGGGGATTTTCATCCACTTGCAAGGCTTCTTTAATTATTTTGTTTATCGTTACTCCTTCAAAGTTGAGCCAAATTTCCAAACCTCTCAACCTGGACTACTACGACCACCACCAAATGCAGGGGAAATAATTCAGCGAATGATTTATCAAGAACCTTTAATTCCCAAGGAAAACAAGATTAAAGCCACACAAAATTACAATTCAATCAAAAAGTATTGCGTGTCATCGAAGAAAACTGAGATGCCACCATATCAATCAAGATTGCTGGGTGAATGTAATTGTTCATGCGCCAATGACTAAGAAATTTGACAATACTTGGTCGCAGTTGATATTAACGATATAATCGGTCTTTCCAATAATGATATGAGTTTTTAGGGGTACAAATGTCCACCTAATCTTTAATAATTGAAAAGTTTTATCAGAAAAGTTTTAGAGTTCAATTTGAGCTGTGGTTTTAAAAAAATGTTTCGCTGTATTGTTTCTATGCAATAAATGACCACATCAACTGGTCAGCTGTGATCAAATACTTTTCTGAAAACTATTCAATAGTTAGTTATAAAAAACAATTAATTTGGTGTTTTGAGCATTAGTATTTGTTAAATTTAATCATTCACAATTTTAAATACAACAAGTTTATTTTAATTTATAATAAATGCAGTAATGATATGATGGACAATACATGCATTGGCTTAATTTATTGTCAAAATAAACAAAGCCGTCACAAAGGGAGTCGTGTAGGGTGAGGCACCTTCCTCCCAAGAAATAACATTTTAAGAAGAACGAAATTTTTTGTCAAATCTGTTCTTGGTAAAAGTGAAATACTACTTAATTTCCAATTGACCAAAGTTTACAAACGATGGCAAATATTATACGTAGGCACAATTGATTGGCGAAAAACAAAAGCTTTAAATGCTCTTTTTTTTCTCAAGAAACATTTCTGTATTTTTGTTGTTGCCAATTCTTATCTTGGTCTTTCTTCGTTTAGTGAAAATCTACTCATTTAGGGGATATCTGCTGTGGTTTTGTTTTTAACTGCCAATTCATAAGGTTACATGAGCCACTCTTTAAAAGCATTTGATCACAGCTGACCAGTTGATGTGGTCATTTATTGCATAGAAACAATACAGCGAAACATTTTTTTAAAACCACAGCTCAAATTGAACTCTAAAACTTTTCTGGTTTTTACTATAAAAATGAAATTAATACAGGAGGCTGCCACCTTGTTTATTGAAGGGGAGATTCTCGTTTAACTTGCCATACTTTCTTAAAATCAATTGTTTTCTGCTGCTTAATATGGTGCTTCTTTTTATATTTTTTTATTTTCTGTGTTTTGCTTGTGAATGTCAAACTTCACTGATAAATATCAAGTCATTAAATTCGATAAATGACATAAAACGACAGAAAAAGTATGAGAATTGGCTCACAGATGAAATCAAAATCATCCACCAAATTGCTTTTGCCATAAAACATGCTTGTTCAACCAACCAGGCAAAGCGTAATGAATTGGCATGTCCAAATTATTTTGACGCATGTGATTACCATAATGTCAGGTAGTCAACTCCCTTTTTTGACAAATAACAATAATGAAATTGCTTACATAATCTATAGTAATCCAATTCTTTATACAACACCAATTTCCATAGCAAAATGGTACCTCTTTATACCTAGTTAACATATTCTTTAATTTAATTGAATAAATTTTACAACCATCAACAATGCTGCTACCAACGCAACTACCATCAACGTTACTTTACTTTTTGCCTCTCACTTTACTGAAAGTGCGTGGGAAGATTAATAATTCGGAAGGGGTAATATTCATATATTTATGACAAGCAGTGTTAAAAATATATATACATAAAGAATATCCCCTCCCCAATTATCAATGAGTCTACACCTTTTGTAAAAACCTTGCAGACTTTATATAGTCACAGAATAAAAACTACACAGAAGGGCCACTCAAGTGTGCGCCATCATCCCAGCAAGATACTTAAGATTTTTCTCATGTTTCCAACCACTGCAATTACATGACGTCATTTCTTTACAATTAAATCAAAAATATTTCAATCAAAGAAATGACATCGTGTCATTTCAGTGGTTGGGAAGAAGTAAAAAACCCTAAATATCTTGCTGGAATAATGGCTGCCGAAATGCATTGCACAACATGCGCGAGGACATAAGCATCAAAGGCTCTGACACGAGTGACCCTTCTGTATATTCCATATTCTGTGATTTAGTGTTTTTATTAGTCGCCATGTTGGGGAGGGGGGAATTACATGCAGTGAAAAGAATTTATACTAATTCCGTGCTCTGTAGAGCATCGGCACTTTGATGTACTCACTCAATATGACCGCACTTATACGTCATATGCAAACATATTAAAGTCTTGCATGCATGGGCATGCATGTAATATTTTTTACTTATATTTTTGAGAACGTTGAATTCATTTTATCTTTTGGTTTATGTATTCATTAAATGCATGTCAACAACCAATCATCTTATAAGAATTACGGTAGATTTACTGGCTCAATAGTTACATAGAAAATTTCTAGTAATAGCTTTTTTGAAAATAAACGAAATTTAGACAAAAAAATGTTGCATGAGATTACCAAACTTAATTAGCTAGTAGTTTCAACGTGGGAATCAACACAAAGTATTAGATTATAAAATTCACAAGAAAACGACTGAATGGCCACGATATGTGATAGAAAAAGAACAACAATAAAATATGTAGCTACGAGATATGATTTTCCCATTAAGTGGCAAACTTTCATTTTTTGAAGCAATATAATGGATGAAGAGGAACCTACTTAAGAAAGTAACACAAAAACAATCCAGAACTTTCTTTTTTTACAAAGTATATTCTATAATTTCGGTTATAGAAAATTAATATGAGCAGGTTTGAGCTTTGTACAGAGCAAACTCCAGGATTTTATAATGAAAAAAAGAACTTGAACTTCACAATAAACTTAAAATAAAATATGACATTGTTTAACCGTCATGCATGTATTTACACACGAATCTCATCTCTAATTTAACTAAGGCAGCATCTTGGAAAATACTCTTAGAATGTCTTCATACAATTTAACCGAGGAATCACCAGGAGCAATTTCCAAATCTTGCCACCATTTTATGCTGATCTACCAAGTCTTTTTTAGCCTTTTTTCTCATGTAGAATATAGGACAATCTCGACTATAAAAATCATGAATGATTGATGTATACATTGATAAAGACTTAACTGGCTCAATTGTAGACATGCATCCATCGCATATTCACACAATACCCACAAGAAAGTCAGGCGAAAGTCCCTTTGTTATAAAAATGGCCTTGTTCTATATCCCTATAAATTATTACATTTTGATAGCAACATAAAAGAAAGCTTATAACTAATTTGGCTTGATATGCATGATTGCTGAGATACTTAAAAGATAGATTACATTTTACCGTTGTCTGTTCAGTCATAGAAACACAGATATGACGTCATTTGTGATAAGAACTAAAAAAGTGGCCACGAGCGCCAAGGCGAGCTGTAATTCAACGTTTGAAAACTCGCTTTTTATTTTATTATTGCTCAAATACATCAATTGCTTCAACTAGCCATTCTTAATGTCTTTATTTGCTCATTCAGGTACATATTCAGGTAAATATTCAAATAATTTCGCCGTTCTTTTGTAATTTAAAAACAATAAATTTCTGTGACGTGTTCCGTGCTTATGACCTCTTATAGAATATAGCTCTCGACCAATGAAATTGCTTAAATTCTTATGGTTATTATATAAAATTTATTCTCGCATAATTAATTGTCGCAGCTGCATGATTGAAAAATGTTCCAACATGTAAAAACCTCACACATGTTAACATGTAAAAACCTTACACAAGTTAACACAAATATAACACATCAAAAATTACCTCGTACAAAGAACATCGTGATGAAAGCTTCCTTGACATTCCTGACATTGTGTCCAAAGTCGGGAGAATTTCTCCTCCAAATAATTCAAGCTGGCAATCTCTTTTTGATAAATCATCGACTCTTGGCTTTTACAGTGTTTGCAAACCGCACCTAAATTAGAATAAAAGAGATTTCCGCTGTTGTGCAAAAAACAACACTCTTCACTAAAGATAATTCTGTCATTAGCTTGAATTTTTTTACTTACTGTCATCGTCTAGCACAGTTTTACATCCAATGCAAGTGCTGCGTTTTTTGGCAAAAAATGCCAACTTGCCAATACTTGAAGCTATAACTGTCTTCGTTCTTGTGTGTTCTCCCTCTAAATTTGAAATCCACAAAAAATTAAACGTTTCTTTCAAAGCCTAACATTACAACCCGACCTGTATTAAGCAGTCACCGCACAAGGGATTTTTCTCCTGACTGTTTTAGTTATATTTAACAACATTTCATTTGTATGATGCGCAGTTGTTACCACACTCGACCTTTTCTTACAGTTTCAAAACAATGAAAATTTAAGTTTGACACATACGACAAGATAACCATGCCCGCTTAATAGAGGTGACCGTTGAATAAAATGGTATTTATGATATGAAACTATTAAAATTTTCTGTACAGTGCCACATGACCACTTAACAATGGCTGACTGCTTACTAAGGTGCCGCTTAATACAGGTTTCACTGCACGCATTCTAATTCAAATAAGGAGTTTTCGAGAAAGCAAAACAAAACTTAAATGGGGCACTTTTAAGTTTTCAACTGGTGATGGATCTACTTTTCTTTCTCATCTGTTGATGATTTTAATTTATTCTGCTGTTTTTGTCTTCATTTTCTAACGTGATGATGATTTTAGTTTATTTTGCAGTTTTACTTCCACAATGTTCGGTGAATATATATGTACTTTCACCAAGTAGACTTTAGCTTCACTTTGGCAACAATCGCAGTTAATATTTCGCCCATTGCAAGAAGGGATATGTCCTTTTGCAATTCAACTTGCAAAGCTTACAAAATAGAGACTTTTTTCTATTGGCAATACTATTACTGTGGAGACTTTTTCTAGAGGCAATACTTTACCTCTGGAGACTTTCTATTGGCAATACTTTTACTCTAGAGACTTTCTATTGGCAATACTTATACTCTAGAGACTCTCTATTGGCAATACTTTCACTTTGGAGACTTTCTATTGGCAATACTTTTACTCTGGAGACTTTCTAATGGAAATACTTTTACTCTGGAGACTTTCTTTTGGAAATACTTTTACTCTGGAAACTTTCTATTGGCAATACTCTTACCCTGGAGACTTTTTTCTAATGGAAATACTTTTACTCTGGAGACTTTCTATTGGCAATACTCTTACCCTGGAGTCTATTTCTTAGTCTATTTTCTTGCAAATACAGTGAAAGTCCAGCAGTTTGTGTAAACTCATGCAATTTTTCGCGCAACTCAAATGACAATGGTGTTAGGAGACGAGTAACATGACAAAATTTCACCATGTAAGTGTATCTAAATTGAAAAGAAAAATCATAGTTACTCACTGAACAAAATCGATTTTGCTTTATCTTCGCCAAGAATAGGCTCAAATATCCTCAACAGAGGATTGGTCAACTGATTTTCAAGATAATAACTCGTATCGATGGGTATGTTGTTTTCTAGTACGTAAATAGGATCCTGGAAAGCAGAAAAATGAGAGAGTTGAGAGACTGAATGGATAATAAGGTTTATTGGGTAAATTATGCCGTCTGAAGCCATACAAAACAGGAAATATTAATAAATGTGTCTCACGGTAATGGTTTGCGCACTTGTGTTTACTTTTGCTAATGAAATTCCGCTATCTAATACAGGATTGCATAAACGATCAACTACAATAATGCAAAAAAATTTTGGAATTTAAATAAGATCCAAACTTGACTACATCGCGTTTGGAAGATGAAGACGATTTATATATACTGGATAATATACTATACTGGAAACTATAACGGATAAACCGCTGAGCAACCTGATCATGAAGAACAGGTTTTAGTGCAAACCAACTCGACCCACGTATAAACATTTGTACATCGATTAACAAACGAGCTCAAGGATTGTTTTCTGGCTAATCAAACATGAACATCTTTATTGAATTTAATCCTTGCTATTTCATTTTTATTTCGTGGGCTACTGCGATTTACCGTCCATTTATCGGACTTAGCAGTCGATGTAGACATATCGCTGTATTGACAGCCTAACGTGGCGCCATTTTAAGGTGCCCCGAAAATGGCTGCCTTTGCATGGCTAAGCGCGCAAAACATTATCGTGAGAATCAATCTTTAACAGACATCTTCGATGAAGATAATATATTGTTACATAAAATTAGTCGAGAAAAAGATTAAAAGACAGTGTAGATGGCTAAGAATGAGTCTTAAACAGATAAATCTATCTTGCTACGATCATAAAGTGTTTAAACATATTAAGTTTATATCTTATGCACATAGATTCCTACGCATATTGGAAATTTAACAGGCACATTTATCTCGGTAACAGAATGCAACGTCAATGGCAAGATTTTTGCTAAAACTCATCAAATCAAGGATTCGATAAAGTGAAAATACCGTCTTTGAATTAGAGTGGGGTTATTTTAAATCCCCACTCAGAGAGCGTGTGTGAGCTTTTAGAATGCAGGTGCAAAGATGTACTTTTTAACTCCGATTGTGCATTCCTTCTAACGACGGTAAACTATTTTATCCGGACAAGAATTTTAGATGAAATTTCACAAAAAATCGTGTTCCGTGAAATTCAAAACAATTCCATTTTACAAATTTTACGTGAAATTTTTGTGAGGCTCTCCAACCTCAGCTTTTTGATAAGCAGCCATTCCTTTAGCTCCAGCAATAATAACGTAAGGGACACGATCACCCAACTTTGGTGCTGATCCCGCGTCTCTTTTCCTCATTCTAAAATATTTCACATAATCCTTAAACCCTTTCATCTTGTAAGTAAAGGGATGAAAAACATGAAATAATCAAGAAAAGAAACACGTAGACTTCTACCTTTCGGCCAACTCAGAATGGGCTTGCTTAGCCGAGTATTCTTCACCTGTTTTGGTTAGTTCTTTAGTAATGACCAATTGTGATATATCTATACGGTTGCACAGTAGATCTGATATAACTTGTTTGGTGTACTCAACTGCACCCATCGGGTCTCTGTGAAACATTTTGAATTTGAGAAACGAATATCGAAAAACATAACACACGAGAAAGCCAATTAAAAAAGCTTTATTATAATATACGAAATACATGAAATTACGAAAATAACGAACGAAGAGAGAGTGGGAAGACGGGAAAAATTGTATCAATTGAATGTAGCAGTTTGGTAATTTTCCAACGTTTGGTAATTTTCCTTGCATTCAACTTATCACAATATTTTACATAACAACAAAGACATTGCCAGTGTAGACTTCCATGATTTGTTCACAAGTTTAGTAATTTTACTGGCGTTGATATGATAGCAATATAAAAACCATACCTGCATGCAGCAATTCAAAATACTTTAATAACAACTGACCTGTCAATTAAGATTTTTTGTAAACAGCTGTTTATAAGACTGGCCACCAACGGCGCGTTATCACGTCTGACCTGATAAAAACACGAAATATTTATTCAGTCAATAGCTAACTGTCAGATGAGCCTGTGTAGACCTATAGGTGGCGAAATTCTCAAAATTTTATTTCACACCTTTTATATGCTGACATTGTTAAAGGCAAATGAGGCAGTGGAAGTTGCAATTGAACTGAACCTGTGCTTTTTTTAACTACCAATCACGCACTATTGCTCATGATCACAATACAACTTGATTCATCATGAAGCCTTTAAAAAGACCATGAAAAAAGTGTTTGCTGTTTCGGAAATCTATTGCTCCTTTGATATATTACACACGTGTCTATATACAAAAATATCTTACCGTTTCTATCCCCTTGCAGTCCATTTTATCATATGTTTCGGCCTTTGTGAAAAACAATCCTGCATAGCGCTTTTTGCTGATGAGAAGATACGGGAAATACACCTTGAAATAAGTGAAAAATCAATGTAAAGCAGTATTCGCGTTTCACCACTTTTCAACTGATGTAAGAAAAAGAGGAACGTCATGAAAGTGTTGTTTTTAATCTTTTGTAAAAACGTGGGTGTGATGTATCAACTGTAATGAAATGTTTAGACCACTTGTATAATATAGCGAATGCACCAACCATGATTTAATATACCAAATATATATAAAATGTAATTCCCAAATATATGAACTATACGGGCTGATATCATCACAAGAGTTAAGCTTAACATGAACAATAAATTGCATATGAAATTTTTCATGTTTGAATTGCGTTGCACTTTTTCGCTGAAATGGTCAAGAATATGCATTTTGTTCTTAACGTACTTTTTCAAACTCAAGTTTGATTGGTTGAATAAAATGTGACGTGACGTACGAAGCAGCTTCTTTTCCAAGCTCCATACTTTCTGCAACAGTTTCCGTGCCAAATTTTACCATAACAGAGTCTGTGTCACCATAAATAACCTGTAGTGATGAGCAAAGCTCACTGATGGTGACCAAAACTGGCGCCATTTAGCAATGTCAAGCGGTTTTATGATGCAAATGTAAGATTTTAATTCCATGTCATAGAATAACGATTAAACACAAGGGTCACTTGAAAGTGCAACGCGTCCTCACTTCCGCCATTATTCCAGCCAGTTCATTAAACTTTGTTTATGGGTTTGTCACAAGTTTCATACCACAAACATTACACGAAGTCATGTGTATTTGAGAATTTTTAGACTTAAGTAATGACGTCGTGTCACATGAGTGTTTTTGAAACAAGTAAAAATCGAAACTGGCTGGAATAAAGAGGGTCGACATGCGCAAGGACAAAAGCATCCAAGGTTCCGACAGAAGTGACCTTTTCTTCTCCAAGTCTGTTTTTTACGTATTCCTTGACCCGTGTATAAATGTTGTAAAAATTGAGTTTTTTCTTTTACACGTTGAAATTTCTCCAACTCCATTGGAGCCTGTTGGGGAATTCCCCATTAGTAAAAACATGGCAAACCTTGGCATCATGTTTATAACCATTAGCTATCGTAAACTTTTCTTCAACCAATTCTTTCGTTCTTTCAATCATCATTCTTCCAAAAGCTGTAACACTCTGAATGGAAAAAGCAAGATTCACACGAGGTCTAAATAACCAAATACGGCAGCAGGATTCATTAACAAACTTTCAACAAAGTGTTGAGAAGCTGTCGGTTTTTAAATGAAAAACTGCAAACAGAATTTCGTCAACACTTCTCGTAACCCAGAGGAAATTTCGTAGAATATATTGAATAAAAGAAACAATTTAAAAAATAAATTTAACATGCAAAACGAGAATCTGAATGTAATGAGAGCATGATCAGAAACAAAAGATGTTTACTGTGTTTGCACGGGCTTATGCAAAGCGAGGAAGCCTTTGGGAGAACTCGTGAGTTGATCAGTGGAAGCCCGAAATCGAAGGTCGAGGATTGCAACTGCTCACAAACGTCCTTGAGGTTGGCATAAGCCAGTGCAAAAACAAAAAAATCTTTTATTTCTTTTAGAAAGTAAAATTATTGCGAAACAGCCCTTTGTTTGAAACAAAGTTTCTTTGAACGTTTACAGTAACAAATTGATAATGAGGCAACTACACATTTACTTAAGCATGAAAAAATTGATAATGAGGAAACTACACATTTACTAAAGCATGAAAAAATTGATAATGAGGAAACTACACATTTACTCAAGCATGAAAAAATTGATAATGAGGCAACTACACATTTACTTACGCATGAAAAAATTGATAATGAGGAAACTACACATTTACTTAAGCATGAAAAAATTGATAATGAGGCAACTACACATTTACTTAAGCATGAAAAAATTGATAATGAGGAAACTACACATTTACTAAAGCATGAAAAAATTGATAATGAGGAAACTACACATTTACTAAAGCATGAAAAAATTGACAATGAGGCAACTACACATTTACTTACGCATGAAAAATAAAAAATCAACTAAGATGAACTACATCAGTATACTTACCGACGAAATTTGCAGACAAGGTAGTCTACCAACTTGAGCACCAGTAAAACCGTAAACAGAATTAGCGCTCACTTTCAAAGCCAACTGGCGACCGTCAAGTACCTTGCGAAACAAAACATAAAAACACAAACGTTTCACGATGTGAGCGGATACCAGTGTTCACATCGTGAAAAGGCATATGATAAAACCTTCAATATGTGCAGTTTTTTAAGTAAGAACACACGAAAAATATACAAGCATGGCTGCCCCAAACTGATCGTTAATCTTAATGAATGTGTTTCACAGCCCTACATCAGAAAGAGTTAAGACACCAGAACTAAAATTGGCCAGCGTCCGCCATTTTTGGTCCAAAAGCCAGCAAATATAGAGCTTTAAAAGGTTGAAAGACAAATTTTCTGTTGTGTTTTCTTATTCCCGAAAAGACAGCGATCGTTACCTTTGGAAATCAGTTGTTTATTGATGTCATGATAATAGAAAAGCATTTATGTAATGCAGTGGAGTTAATTTATACGCCTTTAATACGGTTTTTGCCACAAGGAAGCGCGTAGATTTCTAATCTTCATTGCTTTGATTTGCACTATTAAAACGCAACATGAAATCATTGTAAAAATTCTTTTATAATTTATCTCCTATCTAAAAGATGGTTATAATTTGCACTTTTGAACAAAAATGGCGGCTAGATACTCACGTGACCTTTTTTACCCAATCACTATGATCATAATGCAAAATGCGGAGAACAATACGTGTCCCAACTCTTGCAAATACCAAACTCTGACGAGTTTGACACATCAGAAATATTGATGATAAAAATGAGGAAGAAAAAATCAATGGAAAATCAAAAATGAAAAAACTTTATTTAATTTAAGTCTTTAAAAGAAAACAGTCTTACATACAAAGACCTTTCAAAAAACAACCGACCTGTATATCTAAGATGACAAGGAGCAAGGAAAAAACACACATCAAATCTCAGGTTGTTTTTCATCCACGCACTTGCACTTACAAATTAAACGTCAATAAGACGATAAAACGTGAATGAAAAATCAGATAAAAATGTAGTAATGGCACAGGACATGTCCATATGGGCCGTCTTCATGCTAAAATCGTTTGATATATCTTGGCGTTTCTTAAATTAAGTTCACCATTTAGACAACTGTCTTAATAAATTTGCATTTTTAAATTTATTTTCGTTAAAGGAGCAGTGTCACACTGAGCGCAACCCTTCTGCGCATAACAAAAATCGTAATCTGCGATTGCATTTACATATAATTTGTAACTACTTACGAAGCAGGTACGCAAAGGACATTTAGTTATGACAGCGAATTCACCAGAGCGTTTTTTTTAAAGTTATTTTAAACGCTACTGTAGTGTCCTTTGTACTCCGAATTGAATTGTATGCGGTGTTAAATCACTGAATTCTGTTCTCTATGGATTGTTGTAGAACATTCCATCCCTGACACATCTATCATTTCACTCGGATTACAAATTTTACCCTTATAAATCATATTATGCTTAGATAATAAAACCGTATGTTGCCGCCATATTTGATTTACTAACTTGAAAAAGCAAAAAAATGAAGAATGTAGAATTGTGTAGAATTTCAAGTTTGCGATGCGCAGCAATGGTGCGCACAACTCGACACTTCACCTTTAACGTTTGCCATTTCAGTTGACCTGTATGACTACTAAACATCTTCTTTACATGTCGTGTTTTCAGCATTTCAGTTGGGCGAATAAATTTGATTTAAATGCACATGACTTTGTGAGTAATATTATCCCGTTCAACGTTTGTTGAAATAAAAAACTATTCATTAAAAAAGAAATTCACCTTTTTTCGAAATGGGTCCGTTTCATTTTTTAAATCTAGTTTCGCCCTATTCAAATAAATAAAATAAGAAAATTAAATAGATTATCATAGTTAATGAAATAAGCTAAGGCTACGTGTATAATTGTTTCAAATGATGAAACAGTTTACCCACTTCTTTCTTGCTCCCAACAAATCCTCGAGGATTTCTGGTAAGATTCCCTTTCTTTTTGACGGTTTGATAAAATAAGATCCACATGGTGTTTTGATATATTCATCAGATGCAAGTCTAGAACAGACAAGTTGTTCAATTGCACCGTAAATCATTTAGGCAGCCGCGCTAGCATAGACAGAACCAATCAATTATGATTGGTTAAGAAAAGAGCAGTTTTTCCTAAATACCAGTGCAAAAATGCGCAACCCTGATGCAAAAAAGCGAAACACTAGGGCTTATTTCTCTTCAAAACTGCTCCTGATTGGTTAGTCAAACAAAGAAGTAATATAAGAGCCAATCAAAATAAAACATTTCAAAAGCGGAAAAGTTAAATTAATGTAAACAAAGCAATTACAACGACTGGTGTACGTTTTAAGTAGATTTTCTTTAGCGAACGAGTTTACTGTTCACCGTTTGCAAAGTGTTCCTGGATGAAAATACGAACACCGCTAAAAGTAGATAACCTTGTTCTAGCTGCGTGTGTGGAAACTATGGTGTTGGGAAAAGTAATATACTAAGAAATTTAAAAAAATACGAGCCGGTCGATCGACGATTAAACTCGCCGGCTGAAATAAACGCACGCTGAAATCAAAAGTCAACAGAATTGAGAAACTTTTCATGTATATTATTAAAATGTAATAGCATGGTTTCTCGTGAAATTTGGAAACATCCACTCGCAAGTTTTTCTTGTCCTTCGGACTCGTGCAATTTTGATAGTCTTTGAAAAACTCACTCGTGCATGTTTTTTCCAAATTGCACTCGAAACCGTGCTATTACATATACAAATAAAACGATGATGTTATTAAATTTACATAACAGGACCAGAACCACAGTATAGAAACAAACAGTATTCTCACTCTATTGTGCAACATGGTGTTGTAAATTTAATTAGATTACTGGCTGCGGATAGCCACCTTAGTGCTCCTATTGGTCAAGAAATGCAATTTACTGGCTACCACTATGCTAATGACATGCGTAATAAGATATGCGCTACACAAAAAATTTCAATAGAGTGGGACTACTGTTTGTTTCTATATTGTGCCAGAACCAAACCACTGAGAACACAAGAGGAGTATTGAAAGTACAAGCAACTTCTTTTAGGGTCAAAAAACATTTTCCAAATAAAAATGTCATTATCTTTTAGGTACACACAAATAATTAAAATATAATTCCACAAAAAGCCTTACGACGACCCATGACCGATGACTTCTAACAACAGTCTTAGCAACAAGCCTTACGACGATCCATGATCGATGACTTCTAACAACAGTCTTAGCAACAAGCCTTACGACGATCCATGATCGATGACTTCTAACAACAGTTTACATGAATCCGGAATGACTTTCGATCCGGAATGAACTCATTCCTATCAAAAGAAATCCTATTGTATGTTTAAATGAATCCGGAATGAGTCACAACTCGATCGGGATCGAGTTCATTCCTATTTTCATATTTTCATTCCGGATCGAAATTTACTTTTAATCTCATGCAAAGGCGAATTGAGTTTCATTCTGGAATGAGATTGTGATTAATGACAAAGCACGCATGCGCCATGCGTAGTCTCTTCTGGGAAATTGAAGCTCGTGAGCAAATAAGGCGGCTAAATGGGCTAAAATGAGTGCGAAGAAAAACAACAATTAGTTTCATGCAAGTGTTAAGCTGTATTAACGCAGGAGCAACAAAAAAAAGGGTTGCTATGTTTGTGTTCGCCATCTTCAAATTTCAAAATTCCTGCGAAATGTCAATCCTTGTGTTGATTTTCCATGTAAACACGAATTAACATCACGTTTCGATCGGGATTGAAAGTCATTCCGGATTCATGTAAAGACCCCCTAAGTTTACGCATAACGAATGTCTGTAGAATTCATACCACATTTTATGAAATTCGTTTTCTTATCAAAACCTGTACTTTTTGCGAGAAATTTTTTGTGATGTTTTGCTATTTGCTCTTTTTTTATGTACGTAATGAACCAGAGTCACGATAAAACTAGTCGCAAAGAAGAGGGAATTTTTATTCTTGCGATGCAAAAATTATTCATTTCTTTATATTCATCGATTGCTTTTCCATTAAATGAATACAAAACACTTGCAAAACGGGAGAAGAAAATGGTGGAATATTTTTCATGGAAAAATACAGCAATTCTAATACAAGAAATTGTTCAGCATAATGTATAGACTTATGCCAACATAAAGCTGTACAAATTTAGTGCTGTTTTGCAACGCTACGCTGATTTCGATGGTTAGAACGTAATGAAGAACTTACTCTTTGATGTTATGTTCATTAAGTAAACTTGATTTCGGTGGTTAGAACATAATGAAGAACTTACTCTTTGATGTTATGTTCATTAAGTAAACTCAATTTCGGTGGTTAGAACATAATGAAGAACTTACTCTTTGATGTTATGTTCATTAACTAAACTTGATTTCGGTGGTTAAAACATAATGAAGAACTTACTCTTTGATGTTATGTTCATTAACTAAACTTGATTTCGGTGGTTAGAACATAATGAAGAACTTACTCTTTGATGTTATGTTCATTAAGTAAACTTGTATAACATAAATTGTGAGCCATCATGATTGAAGGATATAAAGACGAGAAATCCAAAGTTGCAATAGGTGAATCATAATATCTATAAAAATTACACAGAGATTAAATTTAATAGTATGAAGACTCGTTTGGTTTGCGCAATTCACCAAGTTAAACTTCATATATCATTGAACTGGTTTTCGAATAAAATATCTGACGAAACTTGAACTGTAATGTACACAGGGGCCGGTTGCACGAAGCTATGATAGCGTTATCCATTGGATAGCAAGTTTTTTAAACTTTTATAAAACCTTTCAAAAAGCAAAAAGCATAAGATTCGAACTGAACAATCACAGACATAAAACATTGCTTCGAAGATTACAAAATTTCTTTGTCGTCAGAAAAATATAAAAACCTTTTTTACAAGTTTAAAAATTTTTGCTATCCAATGGATAACGCTATCCAGGCTTCGTGCAACCAGCCAAGGGACACTTGCATTCCGTATCAAGTCGAAGAAAGAATATTCTATTTTATATATTGTGATGTACAAAGACTCTTATAAACGTCGAAAAGTTAAATTGTGAATGAAATGTTCAATTTATTTTTGACGATTTCCTATCTGCCAAATATCATTTGAAAATGACCAAAAATTGAATAAGATTCTGCCTGAACAGCACACCAATGCCAATTTATTTTATCTTAAACTTCTCAACCTGGTCAAATAAGTGGTCTGCGTGATTAGCCAAATACAAGAACGAAAAGAATTTTGGGAAGGGGAGGTAATCAAATATGTACTTGCCGTATTGAGCAAATTTGAAATACATTGTACCCCCCCTCCCAATGTCGATCTTCTTAGGTTCATGGTCAAATAAATAACACCAAAGAATTTCCGTTATATTTACTTACCCTTTCGAAGGTTCTATAACTGTGGCACCCGCATATTCTTCCCCAGGCTCTATCTTCTGGGTAGGAATGACCAAATCTTGAGTTTGAGCCTAAACATTTTTAAGACCAAAACATACTCAAAATTTGTACAGACAGTTTAGCAACTTCGATACCAACATCAAAAGGTAAATTCAGACGATAAATATAAAATATAACATAGCCTTATATGTAAAGAGGTAGATGGTCTTTTGTGAGCTAAATGGTTTAAAACTGGGAAAATCATCTGAACTCTGAAGTTTGTATACGTATAGTAGCTATCCCTTCAGGCTAAAGATCACGTGAGAAGGACTAATGTTGTTGCTTCTATTAATAGATCTCATAAAATGAACAACATTATTCTCGTTGACCACGAGAGCGATAACCTCCAAAGAAGTGGATATGTTACTGACTACAATCATAGTCCTTCCCAGCACTTAGCTCAACTAGACGATCAACTTCTCCGTAATTCAGAATCTGTAATATTTAAGAAAGTTGTACACTAACTTTACGCAACAGCTGAGAAACGACTTTGATCTGCTGCCCTCTTGAAAGTAGATAACTGAAGGGTACACCAGTCACACGTGACATCTCCATGTAATTGATAATGCACATGAGTTTCTCTAAAAGTCGTAGAGGAAGTAGGGCATCCTTCAGGCAGTATACAGCCAGCCTTCGACGGGTCTGTTCGTTTCCATTCTAAGGATGGAAAATAATGTATTTCACAAAAGCACACGGTAAAAATATCGATTCCTGTTTTGGAAAAAATAAACGACGTGTAAAATAAACGACGTGTAAAATAATGGGAGAAACATATAATTTACTCATGTGTACACGTTTTAAAGGAACCTGCAGAAGAAAATACAGGAAAGCACCATGTTCCGACTTTATTCCAAAGCCATCATCAGAGAATATATATAATATATTAATCCTAACATGGTTTAATATGCACATGAAAACATGTGACTTGGACGAGATTTGAACTCGCACCTAATCTCGTCCAAGTCCCATGTTTTTCATGTGCATATTAAACCGTGTTAGGATTAATATATTATAAATACAGGAAACAAAAGCATACGTTCATAATCAAATTAATCCACTAAACACAATGAGAAATTCGTTTAATATAAAGCTTTCAAAGAAAATATTTTTACGCAGAAATATTTTCAAAACTACAACGGACCTGTAAATCTGTGATTATCGAATGTGGGACATCTTCTTTCTGCTCCTGCAAGAAGTGATAGCTCACAGAGTTCAACGTATACGATCGAAGCTTATAGTCTCTCAGCAATATATGTAAAAGATCGAACTGCACACGGCCAGTTATGTTGATGACTTTATTTTCTCGCTTTCCGTAAGCACGTGACTGGAACGTGGTGGTCGATACCGTACTTTTATCATCTTTAATCCTTCCCAATAACGAGAAGTCCGACAGCTTAAGCGTCAACGCACGATTAAGTAAATAAGGAAGGTCAAAGTTCACAATGTTGTAGCCGGTTATGACGTCAGGATCAACTTCGCTGACAAATTTCGACCATTCCTAGAAAAGTTTAATAAACATCTCTATGATATTCAATACATAAAAAAATTTTTCATTTGTACACATTCCATGATATCGATGTACTTTTATATTTTAATTTACCAAGGAAGCCGCAAGCCAAAACGTAAAATGTAAAATGAAAACGTTGCAACTTATCTCAACCTTACGTAATTAAACGCTAAAACTAAAAATCGCGCTACATCTCATTTTTTTCAGACACAAGTCACACAACGGACGTTTACTGGTATTTTTCTTCAGCTTTCACAAGAAAAGAAATAAAAAAATTTGTCAAGAGAACTTTTTTGAAACAAAATTTCACAGCTTCTTTGCCTCACCTAAAAATTGAAAGGTACCTCTGACGTCACATTGTGATTACATTTTTCACATACTGACATGAGTGGATGATAGAGTTTAGACGCGATAAAACCGAACTGAGTTTCTTAAAAAGTATAAAAACCAATTCGAGAAAGGATATCTTGCAAACATAAGTTCAAATTATCAAACAAGACGTTTAAAAATACACTATTTTGGTTTTATTTCAAAACCACGATCAGTTTGTCTGATGATGTCATCCGAAATCATTTTCTCGGATGATGGTTTTAAAAAAAACCTTGAAATATTTCACTTTTAATTGCCTTGTTTAATTACTTGAATTCAAGTCTAGAAGATGTCCTTTTTCGAATTATGTTTTATTTTATCTCTTATAAAAATTGTCGTCAGTTCAAGGATTGAGTTTCTTAAAGTCCACGTTCATTCTCAAAGACTTGACTACCTACCGCATGTCTGCACACGACCACCAACTATTTGTAAGAGTAGGAGATAATTTTCTTTGTTTTAATTGCAAACATAGCTACTTTTACTGTAAGGGAAGTCATGTGACCAAATTTGCGCACCGCTAATTGACTATTAACTTCGAGAATTGAAGTGCGAAACTGCATTCCCAATCATTCAACCCATGGTTACATGCAGGTCTAAGTATATTTATCAAAAGATGGCCGTCCAGTTGTATACTAAGTTGAAAGTTTGCCTACAGCTTCAGCCAACCTTGAGCAAATGCTTCTCGTCCATGTACGATTTCACTTCGGATCCAATGATTGAGGCACACGTTTCAAGCGTGAATACATTTCTAACGAAGGGATCTTTCTCTCCCTGCCGTATGACCATGTTGGCTATCTGAATAACTTGATCCTTTTCGGGCTCGGGAAAAATTCCTTTGCGACCAGCGCATTCAATATCAAAACTAAGTACGCGCACAGGTGCAATCTTTTGCCACTCTCCTAAATGAAAATAGGTCGTTTTCCAGAATTTAATGAGTTGCTTTATAAAATAAACTGAAACAATGAAATGTTTATTAGGAAGTCTTCAAAATTCCGCGCACTTTAACCTAGACATTAGCGTGTTTTAGCGAGTAAAGCCTGTTTTCCACTAGCCACGTATCGTAAAGTATCGTAGCAAAACGTAACATGGCGCATGCTTGCTTGCGCCTACTGACCATCAAATTCATAAGTACGCATGCGCCCTGTTACGTTTTGCTACGATACTTTACGATACGTGGCTAGTGGGAAACAGGCTTAATTCCCTCAGGAAAAGATCATTGATATAGCAAGCTATCTCGATTTCATGAAAAGTCCTTCATTTCTTTAGAAATAGACTCTTTCGAGCACTGAAATACTTAGATACGTAGCAATACAAAAATTGAGGCCTGCCGTTTTCATGAATCAAAGTATTTTAGCAATACAAAAATTGAGGCCTGCCGTGTTCATGAATCAGAGTATTTAAGCAATACAAAAATTGAGGCTTGCCGTTTTCATGAATCAGAGTATTTTAGCAATACAAAAATTGAGGCCTGCCGTTTTCATGAATCAGAGTATTTTAGCAACACAAAAATTGAGGCCTACCGTGTTCATGAATCAGAGTATTTTAGCAATACAAAAATTGAGGCCTACCGTGTTCATGAATCAGAGTATTTTAGCAATACAAAATTGAGGCCTGCCGTGTTCATGAATCAGAGTATTTTAGCAATACAAAATTGAGGCCTACCGTGTTCATGAATCAGAGTATTTTAGCAATACAAAAATTGAGGCCTGCCGTGTTCATGAATCAGAGTATTTTAGCAATACAAAAATTGAGGCCTACCGTGTTCATGAATCAGAGTATTTTAGCAATACAAAAATTGAGGCCTGCCGTGTTCATGAATCAGAGTATTTTAGCAATACAAAAATTGAGGCCTGCCGTGTTCAAGAATCAGAGTATTTTGTTTACAAGTTAATAACGTGTTTAAGTTTAGGAGAAGTAGACGACGATACCTTCACAAGGATGACTAATGAAATCGTCCCAAGCAATATCGACTTCCAACTGACATCTTGAAATCTTTCCAGATTCTGAATTTCTCACGTGATATTTCCCAGCAGGAAGTTCGATCCAGTTACAACCAACAACTGCAGTATCAACCATAAAACGAACCTAGAGACGGTAGCACAACAAAGGCAATTACATAATACCTGTATACATGCTATGGTTGGGCCAAGTCTGTTCGTTTTACAGCTATTTAACAATTATCGGATGCGGTGAAGCATGATATCAAAAATTATTCAGACCAAGGTCAACGATATATGACGAAGTGAAGCTGAGGAAGATAACTTTGACCACGTTGCGACTAGTCTTGATATCATGCAAAAGCCGCGTTCAATAATTGTTTTCAATAAATGTCAATAATTTGTAAAATGTCAATAATTTATTGAAAATATAAATATTTGTAATAATATTAAATATATGTAAAAATATATATATTTGTAAAACATAAGTATAAAATGTCAATAATTTATTGCAAATACAAAATAATTACAATAATTTATTACAAATTATTGTAAAATGTCAATAATTTGTAAATGTCAATAATTTGTAAAACGAGAAACCTTGAGGAAGATTCTCGAGGATACTTATTGTGTTAGCAATTTTCACATTAAAAAAATTTCGTCATCTACACAAAATTTTCAATGTTTTGTTTTAGGTTTTTAGCCAATGGCAATCAAGATTGAACCAAGATTTTATATTATACGTAAATAAAAGCAATAAAACGCGTGTGGTGATTGGTCTACATAGCTGTGCTTGCATTAGCAGACTCACGCATGTGCAAGCTCACCGATTTGAGCTCAACCAATCAAATCAATCAATCAATCAATCCAAGAGAATTTGCAAATCAGTCATGAATACATGTCACAGGAAATATTAAATCGTTTGTTTTAAATTTGTTTGTTTCGCGTTATTACGTATTATTTCATAAAAGAAATAAAAGATGTTTACTGTGTGAGCACAGGCTTATGCAAACCTTAGAGACGTTTGTGAGAACTCTCGAGTGTGCAACCATCGACCTTCGATCTCGGGCTTGCACTGATCAGCACTCGAGCTCTCCCACTTTCTCGCTTTTTATAAGACTGGGCAAAACAGTAAACATCTTTTTATTTCTTAAATAAATATATTAATAAGGAAGCGATGAGCAACATGGTAAACATAACTAAAGACGATTCTCACCTCGAATTCAACATTACTTTCATACGTTGTGTAAGCTCTCTCAGGATTGTCGTCATATCTAATACCAAACTCTAACAATCTTTTTGCTGGTGCAACCAGCTTCGGTAGAGCCATCGTGATTTGGAGAAATGGTATCTTTCTGTTTCCATGATAACCGTAGATACTTTCCTTCAGGTGAATATCAACAGCAAGCACTGCCTATTTAACATCATTCAAAAGTTGAAAAACGTCATGATAACCGTAGATACTCTCCTTCAGGTAAATATCAACAGCAAGCACTGCCTATTTAACATCATTCGAAAAGTTGAAAAAACGTCATGATAACCGTAGATACTCTCCTTCAGGTAAATATCAACAGCAAGCACTGCCTATTTAACATCATTCAAAAGTTGAAAAACGTCATGATAACCGTAGATACTCTCCTTCAGGTAAATATCAACAGCAAGCACTGCCTATTTAACATCATTCAAAAAGTTGAAAAAACGTCAAGCTTTGCATACACGGTGAATTAATTGAATGCATTTACAAAATTTAAAGAGGAGAAAAAATTTGTCCGAAGACGCTCAAAATTAAAAAAAACAATGCCTTTTGACTCGTAACTTGAATCAATTGTAAAATATTTCATAATGTACATTTACGTATTTCAATTCTCCATTGACTCCAATTAAATTTTGATTCACTTATCATGAAGCTAACATCCATTGAATTCATGGCAAATAAAAATATTTTTATTATAAAGCCTATAGACAAATAACCAGTTTTTGTCTTGACGTCCACGGTTTACATGTAAGCGGTATTGAACACAGTCGTCGAAATATTTTGCTTTTACGCATGGTGGGGGGAGGGGGCTTGTACAAGTTGAGTACCCACATAAAAGACATTGAGGGTACAAGTCCACTCGACCAACTAAAGGAGGTCACATTATTGAACTGGATATCCTAGCTCTGTTCCGAGAGAACTGGCTTGCTTGGTCATAAATCATCTGAGCACGCGCAGTCCAATCGACCAACTGTCCAAATGCATGGTCATGGAACGACAAAATCGATCAACTAGCCACAATTTCAGAGTAAATAGCTTGCTTAGTAGGAGGGCGCAGGGGGTAGAGGGGTGCTCATTCCCTAAATTTTCTAGTTCCTCCAAGAAAAGCTTTAACATGGAAGTCCGTATGATATACTATATAGTATTAGAGGGTAGAATTAAAATGTCCCGATTCGCAAAATGCGATGCACTTTTGACGACTCGTGATGCGGTAAATTGCGAAAACAGCGGATACACAAATTTGAAATAATATTAATTGCCTGTGTAAATTTTTCCAATACATGGTACTTGTCGTAGGTTGGGAAAATTTAAATAATGCAGTGTGTATACATTTACGTAGCTACAGAAACATTTTGAAAACAAATGGCTCAAAAAACCACAAAAATTATGCATTTAGCGTGCTCGATTGCGGACGTTTGCATTATTTTAAAAAAGAAAAAAGTATAAACGGATCATAAGAATTGTAGCTGCATATTGCAAATTCCAAGCATCAATTCCTTTCAATAACGTTTACATGTCGTTGTGGGTCCATTACCGCTAAATCATGAAATTTTAAACGTCTGCTGATTTCAAAGAGCTGTACTTTGTATACGCCATTGTAGCTACGAATCACGAGTTTTACTTCATTCTCATGATTTCACCAGCGTTTGTCAACCATAATATACGTAATGATTCTATTTCGCGAAATGTTTTGTTTTGGCTGAGTGAAACAAGATAGTAAGGGGTTAAGATAACAAGATAGTTATAACTTATCAAAACTAAATTCATGGATTTACGATGCATCTTTTAATCCTTAAGTCGCACCCAGGAAAGGATTGTGCAGAATGCGATTTGTTCATTTTCATTTGTGAGTTGAATTCACGCCAGCGGCCATAATAATATACCAACGTGAACAAATGAACTCAGCTTTGTTTCGACAAAATGTTCAACTAAAAATCGTTACCTGCGTGACATTGTCTTTATTTGACCTCATATCTTTCAACACAGCTTTGTTGAGTGCATCTTTGAATAGATGGCAATCATCCCTTTTCATATGCAAAGGAGCAGGAACAAAGAAGTATGGAACAAAGCCATGAACATGACAGAGGACACTGTTTCCTTCCATCGTTATACCATACATACGAGCTATGGGAACTGGACCAACTTTAGAACCAGGCATCCCGGGATGTGGCTTACCTAGATGCAAGTTCAGAGAAATTAAGCCATGAAAAATCCAGCACATTGTCATTTGTGTAAGTAAAGCAAGGGATACCAAGATAGGGATACTAAAACATAGAACTTTTCTATTTGAATATTTTCCTTTTCACATCCATTTCATGAACATTCCAAGAAAATAAACAGTGTTCCTTTAGGAAACACTGCGCTTCATATGTTAGTTTAATCGATAAGACAGCATCTAAGCAGAGCTTGCTAGTGATGTACAAGTCATAGACAGCAAGGGGTTTCTTTGAATTCTTAAACTATAAATGCTTATATGGTGTGACATTTTACTTTGAGCATTGCTTAAAGAGACAAAGCAATTTCCCACAAAAAGTAGTTTGCTACTCATGTATATGCCCATGTTGTTTATGTTTGTTTTAAAAAAAAAGTTAATCAACTTGTAACATTGACATATATCATCAAAGATGACAAGATCAAATGACAAGATCATAAAGAAAAAGTTGATGTTTTCACATGAATTTACTATCTGTCTTTAAATCAACTCAAATGTACGTATAACTATATAAATCAAATTATTGATGTGAAAACAGCAGTGTCAAAATTTGAATGCACTTCATTGTGTGACTATGTACAAAATTGCAACTACAGCATAAATAATTCTCTATTTTCAAAATTTCCATGAACATTCCAAACACCAAAAATAAAATTTGACTGTGACATAAAGCAAAGAAGTGTGCAAATCCTAAAATAGATTGACTGCATAATTACATATAAATAATATAACTATGTTAATTAATATTTGTATATTTACTTTTTTAAAGTTCACTCCACAGTATGTTTGATTATCAATGAATAAAGAAATAAAAGATGCTTTTTGTGTTTGCACTGGCTTGTGCAAACCAAGGAGACCTTTGGGAGAACTCGAGAGCAGATCAGTGCAAGCCTGAATACCAAAGTTCAAGCCAATTTCCCCAGTCCTGCTAGATATTAGCAACTGAAAGAGTTGCAAAAAAAACAACCCCCTACAGGGATATAATACTACAAAGATCATCGCTGTATTTAAGCCCTTTTAACTGTGAAATAACACGCAAACAGCTAAAAATGCTTCATCACAGTCTATGCATTTATGAGTGGGACTGAGTGACAGTATAAATTCAAATCCTCAACAGTCATACCTATGTAATGGTCGATGTCTAGTTGTTGAAACAAAATGTTATCATTTGCTTCATCTATAACCGGCAGGGGAGGTCGTCGCCATTTTGATGTAGGATTCTCGGCTATTCCAAGTTTTGCTAATTCTCGTTCAAATCCACTGGGTTTGACCTCGTTTAATTTTCTCCGTTTGTGGACGTCCTCGCTACTGTTATCACCATTGTCATTCTTTCTCTTATCGCCACCTTGTTCCATTAGCAATCAAAGGATCGACACAAAGCACAATGTTTTAATAAGAGAAGAAAAACGGTTGACGGGAAAAAATGTCTATATTTCACTCATTCATGGTTTGAGTAATATGAATATCTGAAGCCAAAGTTTGCAACATTTGCTGACAATAATTCGCGCCAAAAGTTGAGTTTCGTGGTTTCGAGATGAGACAAAATGTCGAGACGTCATGTAACTTGAATATAAATTCGTTGGTAAATGTATAATAGAAATTTACAACAATTAATACAAAGTTTGCGGCGCACAGTCTGTTACGATGGAATGGGACGAGTTATCATTTGTTTATACAATTTAGCTAGCTAAGTGGATTTATTGGGCCGCCTATGCTAGTACTAGCCGAGATTATGAAGACGTATAATCACTTATTTTCTTCTTTTCATTTAATGATTGTTGCCTTTAAAATTAAAATAATAGTAAAAATGAAAATCCTCTTTTATCTCAGGAGAAGTTGAATTTCAGCCTTACTCGCATACCAGTGTAAAATATGGCTTTATTTCGATTTAGTTCGCTGGATATCATTAAAGATTTTTGAGATCACGTTCTTTCTTTTTTAAGTTACATGCATCTTCACCAATCGTGTTAACCAATGGAACGCCGTCGATAAAGTTATTGGACAATGCATATACATTTAGTAAGATTTTATTTTTATAAATTTTTAAATGGGAACTATGCTAATTCATTAAGAAAAAGGAATGGAACAAAAACTAAACAAAATTGCAGATTCGTTTAGATCTACGGTTTGAGGATTGGTGGATCTGATTTTGAGGATTGGGGGACCTTGATTTACGGATTGGTTGATCTGGGTTTAAGGATTAGAGGATCTCGATTCGAACAAGATGCTACTAGGCCACACTATCGTCTATATTCACGAAAACGAAAACAAAACGAAAATTCGTGCACGAAATACATGCCAGACAAGACGTAAAATTGAAAGCATGTTTACAAAGATCGGCTAAAACGTAAACGGTATTATTGTTGGATTTGTCTCTGTAGTAGCCGTTGCAGTAACAAAACAAGCAAAAAAGAAAAGGTGTCTTCCTCTGGCAAGAAGGTTCTCCTTCTGAAGTTGAAAGCAAGCATTTAGCAAGACAATCAAAGGCCGATACTTGATTCACCCAATTAATAAACGACGCGATCGACTGGGATTATCTAACGATTTGATTAAAGAGTTACGAGAACCGAACAAATAAAACAGACTCATAAAATACTTGCGAGTGAGGACAAATTGTTTTTTCTCACATCATATTTATTAAAACTTCATGCAACCCCCCCATCTTTGTGTAGTAAGTTTTAGATTATTAGCCAATTGCATGCGTTTTCGTTGACGAAAAAGGTCAAAAGTTCAACTCTTGTAATAAGCACGAAAACGAAATTTTCGTTGCGTTTTTGTTCAAGATTTTCGTTGCGGCAGTTTTCGTTCTAATTTTCGTCAATATGGACGATAGTGTGGCCTAGGCTTTAGGAGTACGGGCTTTTTAAAAAACTTACAGCGATGTCCAGTGTTTCTACAAGTGCCTTGAAGAATTGCTTCACAAATATTAAAACATCTCAGTTTAATGTGGCAAATGTTGTGGAAAATAGATAATTACATATTCTACTGATCCACATTTTCAATTCAATGCTTAATAGAATGTTTAACATGAATGTGGCAAGAAGAGGGTGATAAAATAATTAACGCTCCAGTTTCAACACAGGCGGAGTTCATCGTCAAGATGGACCACGTAGTGTACGAGATCATATACGAACACGTGATTATTGCGTGATGAAGGTTAAAAACAGTCAGTGCGTGTTTTAAAAAATGGCAAAGGTCATGATACCCTGGAGTTCTTGTTCGACACATCTAAAACAAAGAAGAAATAAATTGAATTTAAAACCAATGAACTTTTTTAATCAAGATTTTCACCATGTCAAATGTTTATCAAAATGTACTCAACGGAGAAAACAACGATTCATCAAACGAAAATATATAACACAGCTGAACTGTGTGTAAGAACAATGGAAGATTTGAAAGTTTATAGAAAAATGTGGCCTTTATTTACCTTAATTTAGTTCTTGCAAAACTTGCTTACGTAATTAAGTACTAGCCGTACTTGCTATAATAATTTAGTACTTGCAAAACTTGCTTACGTAATTAAGTACTTGCTGTACTTGCTATAATAATTTAGTACTTGCAAAACTTGCTTTAGTAACATAGTACTTGCTATGCTAATTGTGAAGCTTAAGCAAAACTATTATTCATTTCCTTGAAGGTGACATGAAGCCAATTTTTTTTTGATATTTTTACTTTGAATCGTGTCAACCTAAGCGAATTTAGATGAAAAGTTCAAAAAAATTGTCCAAAAACAAAAATTTTATCAACTCGAATCTCAGTCAATAGCATGGTTCAATTACTGCGCGATCAATCTAGCGTTTATGACGTTATTTTGTTTGCACTTTGCAAGAGATAGCTAGTAACGAAGATGAAAACTAACAAACCAACACGATAAGGCGGCAGATATTGCTTTGCAGGAACACTTAATAAGGTTAGCTGTAGAAACACGATGTCAAAGAAAGATAAACAAAGCTTGAATGCAAACAAATTGACGTCACGCCATTGTGCAAGCTCTAAAACTTGTCCCCAACTTCCGAGCCAAATAAAGTTATATATTGCAGAGTAGTTTTGAGTGATTGCCAATAAACAAAAAAAAATGACACATTATTTTTTTTAACTAAGAAGATAATCGTCTTCCAATTATAAAGAAGAAAAAATTGGCTTCATGTCACATTTAAAAAGTTAAATAGATTCGTTGTTCTTCCAGTGATTGAACACAAAAAATTTGCGTCGTGGGAGTAAATAAAGCGGGTGGCTTTGCCACTGGCTATGCTTGCTATAGTAAAATAGTCACAGAATAATGATTAAACAAAAAAGTCCTTTGATGTTGGTGTCCCCGCGCATGTTGTGCTGCACATATCGGTCGCCATTATTCCAGCCAGTTGATAAAGTGTTTGACCAGTTCCCAACCTTTAGAATGATCGGAAGTCATTTCTTAAGTCGAAATATTCTCGAGTGTACTATTGAAAAATGACGTCGTGTAACTTTAATGCTTGGAAACAAGTGACAAACCTTAATCAACTGGCTAGAATAATGGCGGACGTAAGAACGCGTTGCGCACCTGAGTGACCCTTCTGTATAATCATTATTCTGTGATAAAGTGATACTTACCGTCCGATGGAGGCCTAGAACCGTTCATATACTGACCCATCATGCCACCAAACATGGATCCGTGTGGATAATACGAGTATTCAGGAGGTGTATTGCGAGGCATTCCGTTTGTCATCATTGATGGAGGTAATGGACGATAACCTGCACGTTGCATCATCTGCTGTCGTTGCTGTTGTTCAAACATGAGCATCTGTTCTCTTTGATATGAATTAGCATAACCAGGGTAGATTGCATCGGGCGGGAATACACCACGTGCGGGTGACATCATACTTCCGGCAGATCTCATGTTCATTAACGTTGACATATCGGAAGGCCCCGGTATTCGTGCATGAACGCCATGCGCCGGGTGGCCGATTTCCCCTCGAGATTCAACAGTAGCCATGTTGCTCGATGGCAATCCGATAACGGAAGTGGGCAGTTCACTGCGCGCGCGACTCAAATCCATGAAATTTCGTGATGGATCATTAGACCTATTACTATCTATCAAATGATCGGGTCGCCTGCTTTGGGACATCTCTTGGAGAAGGGCGGAAAATTTCAACGGATCTTTATTGGAACGCTTAGTTGGATGGTTATCGCCGTCCATTAGACTTAAAATACTATAGGGATTGCTACGTTTTTCACCCACTCTCTGTTGACTTGACTTTGACGTGAGATTGACAAAGACTTTGCCGTCTTCCGATTCTACAGTGTCGACAGAAGCTTTCACCTCTTCAACGCCCGTCATTTTGCCCGCAGAGCGGGTTGTAAAACCGTCCGATGTACTGGGGCTACTTCTTTGTATTGATGGTACTGGATTGGCAGGAGCCGGAGTTCGATCTTGGTTAACGACGAAGGGAAAGCGCAGGTCTTCTTCTGATGGATGGCTACTTGTTGGAATTGATACTCCTAAAAAATAATACGAAGACCTCTCCTTTATTTACTTATATTAAGTACATGGTATTCATATTGGCTTTTAATAACACGAGCGCTGATTGGCCGCATGCTCCAAAAGCCTGTGTTTTCCGCATTACAATATTCACGTCTGAATTGTATATACATTTAACTACACTGTGTCGTCCATTCTTAGCTTCGGGGGAGTGACCTATGGCTTCATATACAACGCTGTAGAAAAATATATCATTTCTTGGCAAAGAATTTTTGAATAGAAGAACTAAAACTGCCCAAACCTTCGATGCATTAGCTACATCAACTCACAACAAACACAAAGTGCAATCACCCTCCCCTAAAGTTTGCACTACGTATAACTCGTTAAAATTTTTGCCACTCATGACTAATGCACTACAATAAAACACGAGAAAAAAAGGTTTGTACTACTGTTCTACAATAATCACTTTTCTTAATGATTATTGTAGAACAGTAGTAAAATCTTTTCATAAATTTTCTCATACCTGTTTCACGAATTTTGCCGTCCATTTTAGTTCCAGTAGTCGCATTCTCCATCCCGATGTTCTTCAATCCTTTTTGGTCAGTTACTTCAGAACCTGCACCGCCACCATTAGTCCCAGGTCCCTGAACTGAGGCCGCCAGTTGTTGTTGAGAGGACACTGGAGGTCTGACACCGTTCAACATGACAGAGGGCCTCCATCCCGGAAGCGCCATCCTGGCACTAGTTTGCCAAGGGGCGGCCCCGGGTACCATAGGTGGTCTACTATAAGGATTACCGAGTCGATTGTCGCGATTATTTGTCCACATCATGGAACTGGCTTCACCTAAGGAAGTTCAAATAGCAAAAATGTTCATATTAAGGAGGAAAATGCCGCTTTCTAAAATTCATGGCTGATTTTGCAGCACAGGTTATTTTCACTAAAAGGAAATACGTACGTATTTGGAAGGTACCTTTTCAAAAATATAGAGAAGATTTAAAATACAGGTGTATATAAAATCCCTACTCAGAGTAATCTGAATTCCGAAATACAAACAATACCATCTAGATCTAATTCATGACATAAAGCACTTTGACTTCATGACATGTACTTTCATTGTATAACATCATGTACTTTCATTGTATAACATCATGTACTTTCATTGTATAACATCATGTACTTTCATTGTATAACATGTACTTTCATTGTATAACATCATGTACTTTCATTGTATAACATCATGTACGTTCATTGTATAACATCATGTACTTTCATTGTATAACATCATGTACTTTCATTGTATAACATGTACTTTCATTGTAAAACATCATGTACTCAGAATGCATGACATAAAGCACTTTGACTTCATGACATCATGTACTTTCACTGTATAACATCATGTACTCAGAATGCATGACATAAAGCACTTTGACTTTATGACATCATGTACTTTCACTGTATAACATCATGTACTCAGAATGCATGACATAAAGCACTTTGACTGCATGACATCATGTACTTTCACTGTATAACATCATGTACTCAGGACGCATGACATAATGCACTTTGACTGCATGACATCATATGTTCTTAGTTCTAACACAACAAGAGATGATAAACGTACCTTTCGTGGCAATAGGAGATTCACCACGCACTAAAGCAGGTGGCACTTCTTGACTTCGAATCGATACAGGAGTTTGCTGATTCATACGATAAGCGGGATGTCCAACACCCATCATGTGCGGGGGATACATGGACCCAGGTCCACGTGGGAAATTGTTCATATTATATCTAGGGTAAGCGGATTGGCCGGGGAACATTTGGGGAGGATAAAACGGTTGTCGCATGTATGGCATACGTTGAAATGCCATGGGATCTTGCATCATGCGTGCCATATCAGCAGCCATTGGGTTCATAGCAAAATGCTGCGCGAATAACGCAGGATTCGCGCGTGGATTAAACATTTGATTTGGTTTGTGAGTGTATGTAGTGGTCATTGAGTCCTCCTCCGCTCCATTGACGTCGCCTCTCTTCTTGTTCAGTTTGCGAAGTTCTGACTCCGTAAGTTCTTCTTCAAAGTCGTCGTCACTGGATGGATTATCGTCGTCTGGAAAATGTTTTTTCATCTGTCGCTGGAACACGCCCTCTAAAGTTTGAGCCATTTGCGTGTAGCCTGGGAACGAGTCGAAGCAGATATTTTAGTTACTTTTCGTTTCCAATACAATGGTGTAAAAGGAATGCAATGGTAAAAATTTATCATGGTTAACTACAAAACTCCGTTGAAAATTGAAGAAAGTTTCGACGTTTATGCAATTATACTTGAGTGGAGTACAAAAGTTTGCTCGAGCCGTAACTTATAAAGGTGCGACATTTTTTAAGCCTCTTGACAAATTCCTGTTGTGAATTGATGCAAAGTAACTGTTCTCGTTTTCAACGTTTTACGTATTAAAGAGTCATTGTCGACCACAATGCAACGCGCGCTCAAATGATTTTCGAGGCCATTTTCTTGGTTGTATAAATTGACAAACGTTGTATCGGTTTGTAATACATGGATGTACTATGCATCTTTTGTCGTTTTTGGATTAAAAAAGTTTTTTCAGAAGCTTGCTAGTGACTTTTTCATAAACTTATCTGTTTGGGTAGGCTAATAATTATGACAAGCTCAACAGTTGAAAACATGCCTAAAAGAAGAACACCAAAACTTGGTATTCAAAGAAATACTTGGCATTTATAAACAGACATTCTTGACTATTGTCGAAGTTATAAGAAGAGTCCAAGAGAAATATCATCGTGCGATGGAATATATTACCATAATTAGCACGAATATAAACAAACAAGAGGCGCGCGTTGCTAGGTGATGGACAATGATTCTTTAAAAAAGCCTAAGTTTTGAAAAAAATTGCCCAAAAGATATGATAAATTAGAAAAAAATCAACAAATATTCTTACTACTGTTCTCTCCATTGTACTCTAAACAGTTGTTGAACATCAATTTCATATCGGAAATGAACTAAAAATAATAAACAAACATAGAAACCTTTATATCGATTTGGCACTTGCAATCCAAGCTGTAGGAAATAGATGGATGTACGTTTCCTTACTATTGTAAATTTTCGTGATTATAATGGTAACGTAATTAGTAAACTAGTAATCGACTCGGTACAAACAATAGAAAGACAATCAGCTATGCTATTGCACTGCAAAATTATCATACTTCAATTATTATACAGCTTCTTACAAACACTCCTCTAAATTTAGTACCATTTCATTGCACTACCAACCTCCTTCAGTCCTTTGTAGTTTTTTTCGTCGATTTTCTTTTCGATCGTCGATAAATCCATTGGTTTCTACAAAACAATGGTACGTATTTAAATGAACAAAATATTTCTGACACTCCCCAATCACAGAAAGACACACTAGGAACTATAGAGTGTTTATATGTGACGTCAAAGCGGCCATGTTGGGGGAGTACATCGACTGATGAAAACACTGTATAGTGTGGCAGAATATCTCAAACAACGAAAAGAATTTAAGTTGTTTTATGTGGTATCGAGCTTCGGCACTTTAAAATATCAAATCAAAATGGCCGCTTTGACGTCAGACAAAAACGCTCTATTGTTGATACAACTTCTGACAGTTGTTGAAGGAAGTTTTAACTTGCTCAAACATTCCACTCAAAAGCGCTCTCTATCATGTTTGTTCCATACACACCGAAGCGCGCCTCAACACACCAGTTTAGGGCGTTGCAACAGCACACGCAACAATGTTGAGCTGACGCATACGCGATTTGCATGACCAATAATGGCAAAATCTTGGAGTATTTTAACCCGTGATCTCAAGTGTTAGGATCTTTATCACGAAATTTGATGTCATAAACACTTTAAAGTGCCTTGACACGAAAATTATGCTAGTTAAATTATGTTTGCAGAGACCAAAACTTTTGAAATGACAGTGTACTTCTAAAACAGTTAATGCATATCTCTTTTCCTTGGCGATATATTGAAGTTTTTGTTATTCCATTTTATCTAACTGGTGACGTCATACTGCATAATGAATCCCACAATGTTTCAAATATTCTTCAGTTTCCTGACAACTTTAGGTTGATACTAATAGGCAGCATTTTATACCATTAACCATGTCACAACAAAGGGAACTCTGCTCTTGTGAAGTAAGTATCGTTAAATATACCTAATACTCATTATACAATGTGACTGGTTATCATTATATAATTTGAGGTCACAAGTTAGATAAATCGCACAAAGCAAAAACCTTTATATCTCAAGAATTAAAAGTGATGTGAACAAACTGTTTTAGAATGTTCATTGTCATTTCAAAAGACCTCCATAATAAAAGTACAACTCAGATAGCAAACTTTTCGTGTCGTGGGTTTAAGGTTAAACATCTTGAGAGCATTTGCACAAATGGCTTAACTTCACTGAACATGCGCTAGGCAATAACTTCACTGAACATGCGCAAGGCAATGTCTTCATGAAAATATGATGAAATCTTACTTCGATGATCTCGAAATAATTGGGAGCATACGATTCTTCAACAGGCTCGAGAAAAGGCCATCCATCCTCGTGATTTTTTAAAGACTCCACCACTAAACAAAAAACACACACACACATAGAGATTATCTTTTATCTTGATAAAACATTCCATGTCCAGTCGATAATTTACAGTAAAACAATAAAAGAAAATGATTTAAAACAAAAAGTAGATGGAAACTGTATATTTTTGAAGTTCTCACAAATGCTTCTTCGAGACGCCTTGATAGACATGATTTTGGAGAAAAAAATTCACATCTAAGTCCAAGGTGCAATTCCAACTGCCAAAATGGCGCAATATAACATTTAGTCGACTGGAGTGCAAGAGGAACTTAATAAATAAACTAATGAAAAGTATTATCACGGACTTAAGCCGGCTGCCGCAGATCTTCGTGGGATAGGGCCCACAGACGCTTTAGTTGTAATAATGCAGCATATGAGACTTAAAGCAAATATATGTGAAACTTGGCTGCGAGATAAATTTATTTACCTTTGTACATTCCAGTAAACATGTCAATATCGCCTTCAAAAGCCCTAGAACATTCGATTAATTATATTATTCAACTGTAGATAAACATTTTGCATATAAACAACACGAAAAAAAAAGTTGCCCTAGAGATGTTGGGGTATTGAAAAATTTGATAAATTATTAAATAAATCATCATAAGTGCTAATTGCCATTGCTCTGTATCGATACGATAACCTGGGCAATCGTTAAATTGCTTTACACGATGACGGCTACCAACGAATAATGTTGCTAATGTAAGCGAAAATGAATACGCCACTTTATAAAGCTGGTTTTGAAATCGGGTATTTTCGAACTCAAGAGATTTTACCTCATTATTTGAAGTATGAGTGACCCCATTCTTCGTGCTGTGTTTAATTATCCGGGGTTCTTTCATATGTTATACAACTCAGTGGGAGGGTTCTTTTTCAGTGGTTGCTAAGATACCATTAATACATCGATATCCATCGCAATCCGTTACTTAATACCACTTACTTATCTAAATCATCGAGTTTTTTCTCCTCATTTTCCTCACTTTCCTCGCCGTCATCAGTCTTTTCCAAAGATTGTAGGATTTCTTCGGGAACGTCACCGCCATTCATCATTATCCATTGTCGTTCCTGACGCAACCTTGCTCTTTCAGCCCGTTCTGTGATGATAAACCCGAATCACTCGTCTTGGTAAAAAACTTTTTTGTTAACAGTAGTGAGGCTGTGGCTATTTTCCATAGAAAAATTTCAAACACATCGATGGTCGAAATTTTGGCTTCCATCAAATTTTTTAGTGAGTTTGAAAGAATTACTGTCATCTTATTGTTTCCAATAAATTTTCACAGAGGCTTATAAACAATGACGACTGACCCATGATAGTAACCCTCATTCAGCCCTAGAACCCAGCCTCCAGAACCTAAAACCACTCAACCAGCCCTCTTCAGCAAGGCCCCTCACCTCCCTCACCCAGCTTTTTAACAACACCCCTTACACAACCCATACATCCGACACCCACACACCCCACCCCACAGGACTTCTGCAATTTCTACGAATGCAAACCAGTCAGGCTAACCAGCCGTCAACCTACCCTTCTGACGCTTTTCGGCGAGAACTTGACGTTCCTTCTCCTTCGCTTCAGCTTCTTGCTTCTTGATCTCTGCTAATCTCTCTTTCTCTTGTATTCTTTCAATCTCTGCCTGTTTATCCTCTTCTTCTTTTTGCTGTGCTTTGATCGCTATTCTGTCTGATGATCTTCTGGGAGCCACTTCAACCAAAAGTTTCTTGCGAAACGCTTTTTCCTAGAGAAAATCCCAATACAACATTCCATATCTTCAATTTATTTCGTCGTAATATAACTCTTCACTACAGGCGGGAAGTTTTAAGTTTCGCAAGAGTTCGACTGTGAACTGAAACTACTTAAATAATCAAAACAAATATTGTCATATTGAAACTTTTGCAAACCATGTAAATTAGGAAGCCATGGCAAACATAAAAGCTGGTGAAAAAAACCTTTTGCCGACAACTGCTTCTTTATCCTTTCAAAAATTTAACATCCAGAGTGTTTGATTACAACACTCAGCATGTGTAAGAGAGAACCACTAAGCAATTAATTCCCGAAATAGCTTAAATAAATAAAACGAAGCGCGCTTAATGTTTTTGTTATGTGAAATAAAAACATTGTCAAATGAAGTTTACTGCAAAGCAAAGATACATGAATAGACATTATTCAATCCAGACATGGAGATAAAGATGTGTTAAAGAGAGCGAATTACCGAGAACAGACCTGCGTTTGTAACTAAGGTTTTATCTTGACCTACAAATATCACAGTGACGATAAACTTGTGGGTTCATAGTTCTGTTCATTATAATGATTCCCACAACCCACGCGTTGTCACTGTGCAAATTAATTTTTCAACACACTCCTCATTGATGCATTCAGCGGCATACAATCGGCGTTAATACATATATTGTTTTCATAGTAAATTTTCGTGAAAGGAATATAGTTATAAACGCCAAATATTTGAAATAGTGGGGATTCATTAAAAATACAACAAACACTACTTGACGTACTTCCAATTCTGATGACATCGTTATAGTGGGATTCATTAAAATACAACAAACACTACTTGACGTACTTCCAATTCTGATGACTTCGTTAAAGTGGAATTCATTACAAATACAACAAACACTACTTGACGTACTTTCAATTCTGATGACTTCATTATAGTGGGATTCATTAAAATACAACAAACACTACTTGACGTACTTTCAATTCTGATGACTTCATTATAGTGGGATTCATTAAAATACAACAAACACTACTTGACGTACTTCCAATTCTGATGACTTCATTATAGTGGGATTCATTAAAATACAACAAACACTACTTGACGTACTTTCAATTCTGATGACTTCATTATAGTGGGATTCATTAAAATACAACAAACACTACTTGACGTACTTCCAATTCTGATGACTTCATTATAGTGGGATTCATTAAAATACAACAAACACTACTTGACGTACTTCCAATTCTGATGACATCGTTATAGTGGGATTCATTAAAAATACAACACTACTTGACGTACTTCCAATTCTGATGACATCGTTATAGTGGGATTCATAAAAAATACAACAAACACTACTTGACGTAGTTTCAATTCTGATGACATCGTTATAGTGGGTTTCATAAAAAATGCAACAAACACTACTTGACGTACTTCCAATTCTGATGACATCGTTATAGTGGGTTTCATAAAAAATACAACAAACACTACTTGAAGTACTTTCAATTCTGATGACTTCATTATAGCGGGTTTCATTAAAAATACAACACTACTTGACGTGCTTCCAAATCTGATGACTTTCATTACCTGTTCAAATTAAAGACCTCGCCTGCAACATAATGAATTACCTTATTCTCCAACATTTGTGAAATCTCTGCAAGAAAATCCACCGTAAGAGCTTGATGTAGACGTATTTCTCTTCTGTTATGGCTTTTTGAAAACGTTTTAGTCAAATCTTCCCAATCTTCCTTCGTAGAACACACAAGCGACCATGTTCTTTTTGCATTATCTTCGAAGACCATATCTTCATTCCTTAATTCTTCCTCTGATTCGCTTTCTTCTTCTTCTTCCTCTTCCTCGGGCAAATATTCGCTATCGCTAGGCAATAATCATACATCGTGATCATTGATTGGTAAAATGGAGCTGGACAAACTCCGGGGTAACAAACTCGGACTCCGATTGAAAAAAGTTCCGATAAAACGTTTTAATGAAAAAAAAATTTGCTTTCTCGAAAGGCTAAACTATCAGACAAACATAACTTCTCACATAATAATGAGAAGTTATGCATATTGAAACCGTGTTAGGATTAATAAATTATATATATTCTCTGATGATGGCATTGGAATAAAGTCGAAACACGGTGCCATCCAGTAAACTGCTATAGTGGCGAGAATCTCTCGTCCATACGGAGTTTAAAAGAGATTTGACTCGTCTCCAATCCCTGTGGGCTTGGTAGCTCAACAGGTAGAGCAGCGGACTAGTATCCCGAAGGTGCGAGTTCATATCTCGTCCAAGTCACATGTTTTTCATGTGCATATTAAAACCGTGTTAAGATTAATATATTATATATATATAATAATGAAAGACGGAGTTCGGATTAGGGCTCAAAATAACGTCCAGATAATTCACAATAACCTCTCAAATGCATATTGACTGGCAAATATTTGCGTCAATAGTAGTTGCATTAACATAGACTAAATTTGTCCGTGTGTCTAGCCTAACAACTACAATATGTCTATAAAACCAGGTAGATTAATGGAACAGGGTTCAAAAACAATATTTGTTTATAGGTTACTTAAATAAGATGTATATATAAGAAGCTTTGTTTTTTGATTTTCCTTATTACAGTGTTTGATGCGTTAGAGCAGAGCGTCAATATTGTTAGGAAGAAGAAAATTCACAAAAACTACAATTTCATCCCGACAAGCCTGTTTCATGATTTCTCCCTTTTCTCCCCTGAAAGAGTATATTATCCCCTGAAGAGTATATTATCCCCTGAAAGAGTATATTATCCCCTGAAGAGTATATTATCCCCTGAAGAGTATATTATCCCCTGAAAGAGTATATTATCCCCTGAAAGAGTATATTATCCCTGAAGAGTATATTATCCCCCGAAGAGTATATTATCCCCTGAAGAGTATATTATCCCCTGAAAGAGTATATTATCCCCTGAAGAGTATATTATCCCCCTGAAAGAGTATATTATCCCCTGAAGAGTATATTATCCCCTGAAGAGTGAGAAATCATGTAATTTGAAGGTTAACGCTGTTATTCCTATTTTTTTGGAAAGTATCGAGATTTGTTTGCCCGACCGATAAATGGAGATCACGTTTACTTCGGTATGAATAGCTAATACAAACCAATCTTTAAGCCGTGCTGTTTTGTAGTTTATATTTCTTACGAAAAATTTGATAAGATTATGCGTCTCACAAGTGACGATCTGGAGCCGATTGCAAATTACTAAACTTTGATCTTTTAATGCAGACAGTGCACACATTGCAGTATTTCTTTGCATTCATTGCACAAAGTCACTGAAAAAGTTCGACATGAGCTAAGCGTTTCGAATCGTTGTCATGGCGACTTGATACATCAAATAATCCGTACCGCAGAGATTTGTTATGCGTATTAAGACTCGCAAGAAAATACGTAATAACCGTATGATGTCTTGAGCAATTAAACAATTATTGAATGAGGTTGGGCATGATATGAAGAATTATTCAGACCGAGGTCAATGTTATCTGCCGAAGCGAAAGCCGAATTCAATAATTGTTTTATTATTCACTTCAACTAACCGAAGTATTATTAAAAAACATCAACGTAAAATATTTTTAAAACCTTCGCTAATTTGTACTTGTCAGACGGTTTATTCAAGTTTTTCCGCTTAAAACATGTTGTACGTATGTTCAAAGCCAGCTTCTCCGCTTTTTTAGGGTTTTCCACATCCTTTTTGTTGAAAAACCTTCATTTTTTTTAGAAACTGTACAAAACATCGTTTCATAATTCATTTTTTCAAAACCGACCAAGTTAATGCGTGAATAATTGTAGAACCCACTATTTGTAGATATGACGTCATACCTACAGATATCGAGAATTATTTGCAGGTAGCTGACCAAAAAAAAGCCAAAATTGTTGACAAAGTGAATAGTAATAAGCTTTAACTGTTTTCAGTCCAGTAAAACAGAATGCTAAGATTATAGGCACAAACCTAACGATTTTTGTATAAAAAATTACATTGTTTAAGCTTCATCCAAACCAAACACTTCGACGTTTCATCCCATCAAACTGATTTATGGTAGACGCAAAGTACACGCCACAACGTGACTATGTTTTACGTTGTGGGTCATTTTGACCGGCCACATTTCAAGGTTTTTCACAACAATTATAAATCATTTTTCCTTTCAATGTTCTTTTGAAATATTGAACGTCAACTTTTGTACAGAAAAAGCGCACTTGTTCTAGTAATTATGAGCTGGGTGAGCTCGGATCGAAAGCTTTCATTCCTTTTTCATAACGTCAACTTTTGTACAGAAAAAGCGTACTTGTTCTAGTAATTATGAGCTAGGTGAGCTCGGATCGAAAGCTTTCATTCCTTTTTCATGTAGTGCCCTGATTAGATCGTTCCGCTCATTTATATCTACGCCTAAATCGTGCGTTGCCAGTTTTCCTTTGTGAGGATTTCCCCAACAGTGCTTTAGTGAGGCAAGGAACGTCAAAACTGAGAAGGAGTAGTTTCAAAAAAAATGCACTTTTATATTATTGGTGTATTAGTGACATTATAAGTACCTACCTGGATGTTTCGGCATCAGATTCCGAACTTGAATGCTTTTTCAATCGTTTTTTCTTCTTTAAGCGCCTCCTCTTTTTTGCCAGCTTTTTCTTTCCTAATTCCTTGGTGTCCGTCTTTTCAACATGTTCTTTGTATAATCTCGTACCGGAGAAATACCAATACGTGTTATTGCACGCATCGCAACCCAACGGCTCGACACGTAAACTATCTGCCTCCATGCCCTGAAAGAGGTAGGACAAAAAAGGCAATGCGCTGTCATTTTTTTATGAAGTATGACGAGGCCTTACAGATAGTAATGAACAACTAGTATTTTCCTGTAAATAATCACAACATTGCTTTGCAGGAATACATTATTTCCCACTAAATAAACACGAAAAACAACGTTTCACTGATTCGTGCAATGACAGTAAAGTGGAACTCAAAATTTCAAAAATCAAGCTGTATGGAAGGGCCAGCTTCGTCAGAGTAATTGACTTACTTTAAGATGATCAGTGACGTCATCACAGTCCAATCGCCAGTTGCAAAGATCATGTAAGATCTCCACTTTCTCCCATATCGACAACTCACTGTTTAAATGAAAAGAAAAGTAATGTTTCTGATATTGTTTTAATGAGGAGTGATTTCGATATAAAAAAAGAAAGAGCAATAAAGTTTAGTTAAAGGGCAGTTTAAATTGCACGATATTTATGGGTTTGAAGCCAAAATCACAACTTGAGATTGAAGAAAGGATGAACTTTCACAAGAAAAGAGTTCGCAAGAATAGAGTTAACAAGGATAGATTTCACAAAGATAGAGTTTACAAGTATAGATTTCACAAAGATAGCGTTGACCAGGATAGATTTTACAAGGATATATGTCACACAAGGATTAGAGTTTACTAGGAGAGACTTTACAAGGATAGAGTTGACAAGGAAAGAGTTTACAAGTTTCACAAGGATAGCGTTTACCAGGATAAATTTACTAGGCTAAATGTCACACAAGGATTAGAGTTAATAGGACAGAATTTACAAGAACAAGCACAGATAGAGTTACGTAACAAGGATAGAGTTACGTAACAAGGATAGAGTTACGTAACAAGGATAGAGTTTGTAAGTATAGACGTTATAAGGATAGAGTACGAAAACATCAGCTACCTACATCGCTACTAATAAATTCAATACAAAAAACCAGATTGTAACCAACAGGATGGTTCGGGATAAATATATTTATTTTGAAGTATCCTGACTTAACCGTGAAGATCCTTCACAGCTGGCATTGACAATTTGTACTTACTGATAGCTCACGTTGTCAAGAGGATTTTTCCGCTGCACTAATGGATCGTCTGTCCATCGCACTTTCAAGACTTCCGAAAGAAATGGTTCAAAGTTGCTAGCACTAAACAGAATATATTCTCTCACACTTCACCCTACATATAGATATACAACAAAGGGAAGTTCCATCAACGGCACGCACTTTATTAAATATTGAAGGGGAGAGATTTTGGGCTCGTCATAAAGGCATGAGATTCCTTGGGGAAGTCTGGTGGCAAACTTATCAAAGTATTTTCAAAATCTGGATCTCCTGGAATCTTACCCTTAAAGAAAGTCAATATGATTTAATACGTATGCTGGGACGTGTACAGTTCAGAAGTGTATGAAATAATAAATATTTAATGCCATAGTTAGGATATGTTTGCACTGGCCAATCATGGCAGGAGTTCTTTGAGGTTGAAACTAAAACAAAACTGCTGAACATCACTGGATGAACAGTATCAATTTTTTTCAAAGTAAAGTTTTGTTTAACGGCCGAAGCCATTCTCGTATCATTCATTTACTCTGATAATAAATAATTGACATTAAAGGTAAATCTTTTGTCATGTGTTCATTGAGTTAAGTGCCAGCGCGCAGATTTTTCCCTGCTATGATAATTTTTCTGTGTTCACTCACTGTCAAAACAATAGATTTCTAAAGAAATAAATGATGGTAATGTTCTGATACTAACATGGCACAACCTAAACTTCGTGGGTTAATACTGGCCATGCTACTGGTTATGCTTAATACTGGCCATGCAACTGGTTATGCTTAATACTGGCCATGCTACTGGTAATGCTTAATACTGGCCATGCTACTGGTTATGCTAAATACTGGCTATGCTACTGGTTATGCTTAATACTGGCTATGCTACTGGTTATGCTTAATACTGGCCATGCTACTGGTTATGCTTAATACTGGCCATTCTACTGGTTATGCTTAATACTGGCTATGCTACTGGTTATGCTTAATACTGGCTATGCTACTGGTTATGCTTAATACTGGCCATGCTACTGGTTATGCTTAATACTGGCTATGTTACTGGTTATGCTTAATACTGGTCATGCTACTGGTTATGCTTAATAATGGCCATGCTACTGGTTCATTTAAAAGATCAACCTAAGCTTCACTGGTTGTGCTTAATACTGACCATGCTACTGGTTCATTTAAAAGATCAAATTATTTTTGTAGTTTGCATTGCTGGAGTTATATCAGCCTGGCTACCGAAATGGATTCAATTTGGATTGTGTAATTATATTTGGGTCTGTTGTAATACATTCCACTGTCATTGCACATAACGTCACACTAATGGTTGACTTTCACTACGAATCAACCTTTCATCACAAAAGTATGACTAAATGCATAATAATGTCCAAATAAAATACAATATACTTCTTTTCATAAATACCAGCGGGCAATAAAAAACACTTACTTTCATAGCTTATGTGTAATCTACGTACTTGGCATTTAATGTTTCCAGCTAACACGTCCTATTATAAGCATTTAATAATGTGACACAAGTCACACAACATTACATTATGTCCACTTATTTGTCTAAACGTTTGGCTACCTGTGAGAAATATGAATGGTAAAATTTAAAAGTAAAGGTCAGTGAAAATACTTTAACTTCATAATGTATGCACAATGTACCATTTGCAGGTAACTAACTTCAATCATATTTGTTTTCCCACGTATTTCATTTCATAACTAAAATGTCAAGATTTCTGTTTAAAAACTTATAATAGTAAGTCGAAGCAAAACTAGAAAGATTTGTAGAAAAACAACAATATATCAACCAGCATGGATTACTGTTGATCCGTATGGGTGATGGATCACTGTGGATCCACATGGATAACTGTATATCTACTTATTTGTATTTCATAGCTCCACATTATCCCATGTTGATAATAAAATACAAACAGAATATGACTTTCTTACACCTATACCATAAGTCATAAGATTAGATTTTTATGCATCAAGGAAAGATTTAAAATGTCTCCTATATCACATTAACTAATATTTCTCATCTATAATTGCATAAATATTCACATCATTAGCAAAACGCGATTCAAATAGAAATTGTTAGTAGTGCATAATATAAAAAAATTTGGATGGAATGGTTGTTTGATGATAGATTTCACCAAAAACTACATAACTCTCAAGTGAAAGTTAATCAAACCAAAATATCATAAAATCTATCTAATCTGAAGAGATACAGTTCCTCTCACTATGCTTTTTATACTATTACAATCCACTCATTTACATTGCAATGTTACATAGATATTTGAAAATTAGGAGAGCTCGCAAGAGCGACATATAGTTCGTGTTCACGCTCATTTTAAAAGTGTAAGGACATAAAATCCTGCAGTTTCTAGTGACTGACATAACAAGTTTAAAAAAAGTTTAAACAGAAATATTCTTGTAAAGTACGATATACAAAGTTAATAAAAGAAAGTGCAAATGATTTTAATGGATCAATTTTGAATCATCTTATCAATGAAACATTTCAATTAAAAAGGATTGCTTTTGCTCACAAGCCATTAATAATAATAGAAAAATGGATTCATTTGTGAAAAATATAAATGAGCAGGATTAAACAAAAAAAAATCAGGCCACAAGCTGATTTTACTACAACACACATATGACTGGCTTAACAAAATCAGTGTCTTCAAAACACTTTTGTACTTTTATAAATAATATTTCAACATGGTATAACTGATAGTTTGTGTATAAAATCTGCTTGATATATAAGGTTTCAAACTGCTCAAGTAAATATTTATACAAGAAAGACAATCAAACAACGCACGAAGTACAATTTTATGTACAAATATTGAAGTTAATGACTGTTGAAGGAATGTTATTACAACTTACTTTATATCTGCTTTCTTACTAAACAATCCCCGTAATAGTCGAGCGTGTAAGTCTGCCAAAAATCGACTTTCCTCTTGACCTCCAGATATCACGAGTGCATCTTCAAGATCCTTTGGAAAACGAGTTTTTAATAGTTTGATTGACAAATACGATGTTATGATTAATGTGTTTCGTAAATTAAAGTTATTGCCAATGGGAAAACATATGGATTGTAGCTTTTATCAACAATCACGATGCAAATTCACTTTAGTATTTTCGCTACTGTGGCACGCGAGCATGACCCGTCCATTTATACAAATACAAGCTGATAAATGACCTCTACGAGTGAGCTCGTTTCCTCGTACTAACAGATAAACAGCTTACGAGGTATTTGTGAATATATTCAATAGGTAATTCCACAAAGCACTTACCTCGATATCAAAATCAGTCAGAGCAAATGCAGAACGAAAAAGCGAACAGAAGTGGGCAATAGAGGGAACTTGCCACCACGATCGAATCTCTACAAAGAATTTGCATCATTACGATGATTTAGAGGAACAGCTGGTACACATGATTGTTTTACATACAATGATATCAAAAATACGTTGTTCTTACCATCCATTTGTGTTGAAAAGCATAAAAACAACATTGAACAATAGCCAAATGACAAATTTCTACTAACTCCATCAACATCCGGGGATTTGCAGATTGAAAGCGACTGATCTAAAAATTTACTTGGAGTGTGGACTTAGCTATTTGCCATACTATTTGCTATATGCTCACTTCACATTGCATATACCATTCGCGAGAATATAAAATCAAGAAGTTTCCTTCACTTAACAAGTGAAGTAACGCATCGAAAACAGTTGTTTGACAATTAAAGTAACTAATCTTTAATCCTCAATTTGAAAAACATGTGCTACATGACTGATTTGAGTGACAATAATTTTTGTGCCTTGCTAATATATCGCCTTGAATGTTTACAAACCGCGAGAAACATCAAAAAGGTTACCCTAAAGAAAATGCGCACAGTGAAGAATTTGCGTGCAGTTAAAGCTTGTAGCCGTACAACTGGAAGAACTAGACTCTGAGAAAATGATTGTTTGTGTCTATTACCTAACCAAGTCTCAGTGTGTTGGTAATTTTAATAATTTCTATGTCTCAAGCAGCATTTTCTTTTGTATGCAACATCGTTGGTTGGTATTTCACTTTGGCCGCGCTTCGTGTTGGCTGAACGAGCAAGGACGAAATGCATCCTTCACACTTAATGTATCAAAAGGAACAGTTGTGATCGGATCCCCTTTTTTTTTATTATAAACAGCTAAATCTTGCCTCTTTTCCAGAGTAGACTAGTGAAGAATCTCTGAACAGCCGTTTTACTTAAAATGTTGTAGTAAAAAAGTAGCCTTTTTACTTAAAATGTTTGATCAGCCTTTTTACTTAAAATGTTGTAGTAAAAAATTTAATGGGTTGGAACTGATATTTCGAATCTTTCAATGTTGGTCAAACGCTTGACGTTATCCTGAGATATGAAATCTCGAAATTTCAAAAATTTTTCATTTCCTTTTCAATCTTTAACGAGTCAACCCTCCACATAAACTATAGCGAGTTCCAATGTTGCACTCTTGAATGAGATATAAATAAGAAAGCAGACGTCTTAACTTGAGTACGAAGAGATTGTTCAAACATAAAATCTGTCTAGTGTCTGCACAATTTAAATTGCTCGCATTAAAAATGAAGATAGCTTGTTACCCAAAACTTCAGAATAATCGTCGAAATGAACGTTTTACAAAGCTACAAAGCTGCCGAAATATATCGCCATTACTATTGACTAATTATTCCGTAAGCTTGCCTTGGTAGGATCGTTCCATCTTCAAGTTATTCGCCGGAAATTATACCTGGTTTGTTTGTGCAAAGAAAGCGTCCTCTATGACAAGACTAGTAAAAAACAACACGGCATAAAGCTCAAGAATGTCGTAAGATATGAATAATTTATGATTTAGTAGTGTCATAGTACGTTAGTATGCTTATATCGAATTAAACTATTTGTATTACATGAAAGCTCCATTAATATGGCTTGATTTTGATCTTAAACTTGACTGCCACATTGTGCCATTGTCTCCGGGCAATGAAGGGCCTTAGCTTCTCTTCTTTTGCGTGGTAAACACGTGCAAGGAGTATTAAAAATTTGTAATTTTTTGAGACAACCGGACGTGTAGATTTGCCTGATTTTATGCTAATTATTTTATTCTAAAAATGCTTGTACTTAACACAATTAAAAAAATTTCGTCCCTTGGATTGGTAATAAGCAGTTGCCCCAATACGTATACTTTGTCAATAAAAGACAAAAGCTAAGAAATGAAAATTTTTGTGATCGGATGCGAAGCTTGCATTTGTGTAATATCCTTAGCTTGTAGAAATGACTACATTTACAACAATTAAGAAAACTACAAAAACTCAGTTCTAATTCGTTCGGACGATATATCATTTGTGTGAAATTTACAGCGTCAAATTAACAATGAACAGTATACACTTATTGTATTGCTCTCAAGGGAAACAGGGAGTTTTGTGTTTTCTTGGAGTCTCAATGTTTCCCAAGACGAAATCGACTGTTTTCTTATTGGTACAAATATAGATTTTTACAGCTCTTTATACAATCAACGACTTTCGGGGGAGATTCGGCAGGCGAAATTTCGTTGCTAAATTCTAATGGTGACCACAGTCCACAGCATTTTTGGTCGACTTCCGAGTGTTTTCTAAATGCTCTTTCTTCATGGTTGAACATATGAATTTCGTCGCTCAATAAACTCGAGAACTAAATTATATTGTCACATATTCGGTCCATGATTGAAGTGGGACAATTTGATTATTTCAACACTCAGTATTTTTATAGCAAATTGCTAGATCAGCTGACAGCACTTACAGCAGACCATGTCCCAAAAACAACAAACAAGTAGCAACCGCATATGAATGTAGCTATCTTTTGAATTATCACGATTAAAAGGAAGCACGATACAATGTGATTTTAGGATCATGTTTAAGTTTTAGAATAAGCTTTCAAGAGGTGAACACTCGTTCCAAAAGCTAGCCATAAAAAGACGCGAAATACACAGCAAGACTCATTAAACAGAGAGACAAAGTAAATACAAAGTGACTCTTGCAGGGGGAATTCAAATGCATGATACAAAAATATGAAAGGTATTGAATGATGTTTAATATGCATAATAGTTTGCTAGACTGTGCCTAATAGAAATCAACCAATCACATCTTATAATAAGATTACGTGTCGAATTTCAAAAGTCACGTCATAGCTCACGGGACTCAGAAGGTCTCTTCCCTATAAATGAAATTATGTATTGATGGAAAAGTCATAAATTTTACAACACACTTTTAACGAAATAAACAACTTTCAAAAAGCTAATTATGGAACATGATGTCCCAGTAATGTTATTTTCATAATGAACAAAGTTACATATATCTAGAAAGAAACAGAACAACAAAACTAGCAACAACAAGAGAGTCTTTAAGTGGTATAAAAATTGCATGAACATGCTATCATTCATGCGCAGCTGTATTGTACAATAAAATGATGAAATGTAATATTTGTGTAAAAAAAAAGAAAAGAAATATAATTCACTTAGATGTTTGAAGCGGTATCATGCACACCAGTATAGCGCATAAGGCTTGATGCTAACTGTTTTCTTCATATTTACTAAATTTGTCTTTGTTCGGTTTACCATCTCGAGCCATTGACATGATAATTTTAACATCCTCTGGAGTCGCAAGCTTCCGGGGGTTACAAGCTGTCCATGGATCTTTCATAGCCAACTCACAAACCAAGTCAAATTTGTCCATTGGAAAATTCACATCGCTCAAGGTGCGTGGCATCCCACATTCACGAATGAAGGCATCCATTGCATCTGCAGCGGAAATTCCAGATGGAGCACCAAGACAATCTGCAACCAATTTGCATTTTTCAGGAATTTCAGGTTCGTTGTACTGGAGAACGTACGGCAAATTAATGCAAGAGGTGTAGCCATGATGAATATTTGCTGTACCACCTTGAACATGTCCAATAGCATGACTGCCACCATAATCTACGCCCATCATTACAGTTTCAACAGCTTTCCATGCACCAATCTGACATTGCAATCTTGCATCTATATCGCCGGGATCTTTCTTTGTTTTTGGTAAAAATTTTACTAACATGCGAAGAGCTGTAGAAGCTACAGCAGTTGATAGATGAGTTCCGTTGATGGAGCAAATTGCTTCTGCACAATGATCAATAGCACGCACTCCAGTCGATAGCCATAACCACTCGGGGGTATGGAGGGTTAACTCTGGGTCGAAGATTACGCAGTAAGGTTGCAAATCTGGGTGTGAATAAGGTTGCTTGTGTTTTTCTTGAGAATTTGTGATGCCAGAAATACACGTGAATTCCCCTCCACTTAACGTTGTTGGAACAACGATTTGGTTTATCGTTTCGTTGTACGTCCATTTTGGTGGCTCCAAAAGTTTTTCTTCGACGACATATTTATCAAACTGTTCAATTTGCGTAATGTTTTGATCAAGACATAAATTGACAGCTTTAGTGCCGTCAATTACAGAACCACCGCCGATACTTATAAGCAAGTCTGCGTTAGCATTACGAGCAGCTACAGCAGCCGTTAATACATCTTCACGAGGACAATGAGGTCGCATACCGTACCATGTACCAGCATGATTCTCACCTAAAGCATTTTCACACTTTGTAATTTCATCCGTTGTTGTGGCGAGCGTCTTGCTGGCAATTATGAAGCATTTCTTTGCCTTCCATTTTTCGACTTCTTTAACCAAAGACTCGGCTGCTTCGCCCCAATAAACTCGCTGTAGTCGAGTTTGTTGCCAAAATCCCGGTGTATAGTTCACCAACGAAATCATATCTATTAAACGTATCGTTACTATATTTATTCTTATTAAGTATAATGTAAACTTGACAAGTGATTGCAGTGTTGCTAGATGGGTAGCCTGCAAACCCGCCCGAGCTACCTTTAAAAGTAGCCCATAAATAGCCCAATTATATTTTGCAAGAAATAGCCTAAATTTGCATCAAAACAAGTAAAAACTAGCCCAAGTCTGTTGAAAATATTTAATTTAAACCAAACTACACATTGATATCGTATATAGCATCGTTTACGTCTTCTGTACTTTCATACATTTCTGAAGTAAACCTAAATATCATTTGAGGCCAAGGAGTGAAATTGTTGCAGCAAATTTTTTGCGTTGCCTTATATGATTTCACGTGCAAGAGATTCTCTAGTAGCGACTGTCCCATTCGATTTCTTAGTTTGGATTTTAGCAAAGCCATCAGAGAAAATGCTCTTTCAACTGCTGCGTTGCTAAAAGGAAGAGCCAAAATAGAAAGTGCAAGGCTTCCCAACTCTTGAAAATCGTGATCCCCAGAAGCATCAACATGATCAATGACGTCAATCCAAAATTGCTCAATCTTCTGGTCTTGACATCAATCCACTGGATTGAACCAATGCGACTATATTGTTGGTCAAGTTTACCTAAATCTCCGGAAAATAGTGGAAGAAACGACAGATCATGAAGAGATCGTTTCTGTTTGCCTGTAACAACACTTGGACTTAGATCAGCAATAGACTCAAGCCGCTCCACATTGCATGGCAACCTTTGCTTCATTTGCCTGAGCAACTCAACCAGAAATTGTTGACATCTACATTTGATTACATCAACCTTTTCAGAAGTTAAATTTGATTCCGCCAATGCCACTTGAAATAAAATATCAAAGTCGACCGCAGAAAGAGGCAAATGATTTCTCTCATCCTCTATGTCGTACGTGAGAGCTGAGCACCATGTTGTAAAGGTCACAGGCTTCATAGTACGGAAAAGAAACGCTTTATACAAACTCATAACATCAGTGAAGAAATGCAACGGGTTAGCAGAATCTGATTGAAACAGCTTATTTGCTCGGTTTAATTCTTTAAGGATAGGCAGCAGAAAAATTAGATATAATTTATTCTCCATGTCACCATACATTTGAAAAAGTAATTCTGCAGTGTAGTTGCGATCTTCATCTTTAGTAAGCTGAAAGTGTAGTTTCAGTTCGTCAAACTGTTGGAGTATTCGGTCAACAGATGCAGAAATAGATAGCCAACATGTGTCGGAGAGCTTTAAAATCTTCAAAGGTGCTTCCCCCACATTGATAGCTGAATAGATCTGGCGATACTTTCATTGCCTGGAAGTGCTATGAGAAAACCAGTTGTACGTTTCTGACACCATGAACTCCACATTCCGTGGCATTGCTTTAAGAGCATGTGAGGATTAAAGTTGGATAGAATTACAAATGCATCTTATATGTATTATGTTAGGGCATAGTTCACGAAATTTTGTGATTACAGAATTGTTCCTTCCACACATTGTGTTGCACCTATCAGTGGCCAAGCCTGTACACTGCTTGATATCAATTCCTTTCCTCTCAAAAATTCAATTATTCCTTGAAAAATGGCCTCTGCCGTTCCTGATTCAATAGACAAAAGTCCAAGTAAGCTTGCGAGAATCTGTTGTTTGGCTGCGCTGTAATACTTAACCATAAAGCACAGTTGTTTTTCATTGCCAATGTCAGTGCTTTCATCTATAATTAGTGAATAAGGGATATCGGCCAATTCTTGAAGTAGCTGTTCTAACATCACTGGTCCTAACACACATTTAATCAATGCAGTACACTTTGTTTTGTGGTGTTTAACATCTTTCCCTGAGACATCTTTAAATAACTCGCCAAGATGATCCACGGTGTTTAAGCTAGAATGACACGCGATGTGGACAGCGATCTTTATCTCTGTAACTTTTAGAAAATTGTCTACTTTTTTACTTTGACAACCTAACTCAAATAAGGTTCTTGAACTGGAAAAGGTTGCTCGTTGCGCTTATGTTTCTCAGTTTTTGCATGAGAAACTAGATCCCCATGATGTGCTCGAATTTGAGTTTTGCAGTACTTACAATATGCTTTTTGGTCGTCTCCTGGTACACTCAAAATCCATTCTTTCAAGATTTCTTCCTTTCCCCAGTCTTTACAATACTTTTTATGGTATTTTGCCCACTTTCCCATATTATTGTAGCAAATTTCTCCTTTGCACGTTAGCACAAAGCAGTTATGCGTCCGCCGGTTCTCTATAGGACTGTTACTATCTAAACCTAGCACGCAGTCAAACACAATTCTCAAAATGTCATCAATTTAATTTTCTAGTCAAAGTTATACATCAATTCCAATTCATGCTCCTTACTCGTTCACAGGCATCAACAAAAGACAATGCCGTCTTAATTTGACCCTTCTAAAATACTCAATAATCATAAGTTCCTTTTTCCGCTTTAACGATAAGTTCCTAGTCTCAAATAACAATCATAATTTATTTACATAATATCCGACAGTTATATTAGCACAATTGCTGTTTACCACGACAAAAACAAAAACACGTGGAAGCTAGATTATCAAATTTTTTTCTAGCCCAAAAAATCGCGCAAAAAGTTATTCCCAGCCCAAAAACCCGCAACCCGCAACATCCAAAAATTTCCCGCAAACAGGCTTATAAACCAGCCCAATTGGGTGGGAACACCGCCCATCTGGCAACACTGAGTGATTGTGATATTTGTTGTATGATAATTATCATAATATTGACCGAGCATAGACGCCTGTTGTTTCCCGAGGCGAAGCCGAGACATGACGGTGCCCGCGAGATATATCAGTCAGTAAGTTCTTTGTGTCGTAAATGCCAATTTTCAAAGAGAAAACAGAAAAGAACGTATATAAAGCAAGTTCACCAGTGTGCGGTGGGCTTTACATATATCTTTGAAAGCCACACAAAACAACACAATATTATTAAAGAATTTATTTTAAATTTTATTACAATGCAATTAGAAAACTTGGTTGTAAAAACTGCTTTGATGAGCATTTAAAAAAATAGCAACAACAAGAGAGTCTTTAAGTGGTATAAAAATTGCATGCACATGCTTTCGTTCATGCGCAGCTGTATTATACAATAAAATGATGAAATATAATATTTGTGTAACAAAAAAGAAAAGAATTATAATTCACTTAGATGTTTGAAGCGGTATCATGCACACCAGTATAGCGCATAAGGCTTGATGCTAACTGTTTTCTTCATATTTACTAAATTTGTCTTTGTTCGGTTTACCATCTCGAGCCATTGACATGATAATTTTAACATCCTCTGGAGTCGCAAGCTTTCGGGGGTTACAAGCTGTCCATGGATCTTTCATAGCCAACTCACAAACCAAGTCAAATTTGTCCATTGGAAAATTCACATCGCTCAAGGTGCGTGGCATCCCACATTCACGAATGAAGGCATCCATTGCATCAGCAGCGGAAATTCCAGATGGAGCACCAAGACAATCTGCAACCAACTTACATTTTTCAGGAATTTCAGGTTCGTTGTACTGGAGAACGTACGGCAAATTAATGCAAGAGGTGTAGCCATGATGAATATTTGCTGTACCACCTTGAATATGTCCAATAGCATGACTGCCACCATAATGAATGCCCATCATTATAGTTTCAACAGCTTTCCACGCACCAATCTGGCATTGCAGTCTTGCATCTATATCGCCTGGATCTTTCTTGGTTTTTGGTAAAGATTTTACTAACATGCGAAGAGCTGTAGAAGCTACAGCAGTTGATAGATGAGTTCCGTTGATGGAGCAAATTGCTTCTGCACAATGATCAATAGCACGCACTCCAGTCGATAGCCATAACCACTCGGGGGTATGGACACCTAACTCTGGGTCGAAGATTACAGTACGGTTGCAAACCCGGGTGTGAATAACCTTGCTTTCGTTTCTCCTGAAAGTTTGTAATGGCGGAAACACACGTAAATTCTCCTCCACTTAACGTTGTTGGAACAGCGATTTGGTTTATCTTTTCGTTGTACGTCCATTTTGGCGGCTCGAAAACATTTTCTTCAGCGACATATTTATCAAACTGTTCAATTTGCGTAATGTTTTGATCAAGACATAAATTGACAGCTTTAGTGCCGTCAATTACAGAACCACCGCCGATACTAATAAGCAAGTCTGCGTTAGCATTACGAGCAGCTACAGCAGCCGTCAATACATCTTCACGAGGACAATGAGGTCGCATACCGTACCATGTACCAGCATGATTCTCACCTAAAGCATTTTCACACTTTGTAATTTCATCCGTTGTTGTGGCGAGCGTCTTGCTGGCAATTATGAAGCATTTCTTTGCCTTCAATTTTTCGACTTCTTTAACCAAAGACTCGGCTGCTTTGCCCCAATAAACTCGTTGTAGTCGAGTTTGTTGCCAAACTCCCGGTGTATAGTTCACCAACGAAATCATTCTATTAGACGTATCGTTACTATATTTATTCTTATTAAGTATAATATAAACTTATAATTATCATAATAATGACCAAGCAAAGACCGCCGTTGTTTCCCGAGGCGAAGCCGAGACATGACGGTGCCTGCGAGATATATCTGTCAATAAGTTCTTTGTTTCGCACATACCAATTTTCAAAGAGAAAACTGAAATGAACGTATATAAAGGAAATATATACTTTCTTAAAGGAACTATAAATAAAATAGTAAAAAATATACTTTGAGATCTGATGATTCACAAAGGTTTAGGTCTGCTTAGTTATGTACTGAAAGTGATGAAACATTATTGA